GCTCCTGGTTATCGATAGTCCGGGGAACCTGCACCCCACTTCGACGAAGTTCATCCATCTTCGCCATAGAGGGTCCCGTACATATACGCCCCGTCTGCATCAAAGTGCGCAGACGTTTCCGCCGGGCCTCGCCGCTCCGCTCCTCACCACGAGCGACGCCTTCATCAACCCACTCGACCCGCTGTACCTTGAAACTCATACCATCATGGCGGCCCACCCACTTGCGGGATTTGACGCCGAACATGATGGCTGCGTCATAGTTTTCCAGGCGCGGGAGAACCAAGAGAGTGATGTGTAGGTCTTGGTTCGGAGGAGGGACGGGTGGGAGACGGGGCCCGTCGTCGGCTGATGCATCGTCGCCATGTTCTTTCGAGACACCGTTGGTCTTGTTGGCAGTCGTTGTTTCTTCCTTTGGTGGGGCGTGTTGGTATATGTCTTTGATTTCGAGGTCAAGCATGGACTCATCCACGTCCTCACCCCAGGCTCCACGGATAAATCCTGAGTGGATGGCTGCCGCGACCGGATCAGAATCATCCGTGTACACGCCAGTTCCCCACAAAGCGCGGCGCGCACAGATTTCTTCCCGGTGGCTCGTGTCGATTCGGAAGCGCGGTACGCGAACTGTAAAGGTGCAATTCTCCCGTTGCTCGAATCGCGGGAGAGGCTGGGGCGTGCTGGTGTATCCGAATTTGGAGCTCTCTGCCGAGGCCTTCGCGCTGGGGACGCTAATGCGAGGGGTGTACAGAGTTGAGCCTAAATGGTGTCGCGGCAAGTGAGCAACACTTGACAGAAGTGGCTCGAGGTTGACTGTGGTACGAGGTTCCCGGAGAGGAGGCACGGGGACTGGTTGAGGAGGATGGTGATGGTGGTGATGGTGATGATGAGGGTGATGGTGGTGGTGATGACCCGAGGCCTCGGCAGGAGTCGAAGTGCGATTGAAGTAGTTCGTAGACGATAAGGGACGGTGTAGACCAATTAAGGTGGACGCTTCTTCTTCGGGTTTGTGGCGATGATGGTGGTGACTAGGAGGGGTTAGCTTATACTGGTTTCATCGGAAGATATTGTAGAGAGAAAAAGAGAACATACTGGTGATGATGGTGCGGGTGACGAGCTCGACGACTTCCGCGAGCAGACGATGCTGCCCCACCGTTCAGGTCCATCTGAACATCTTCATCTCGAGACTTGCGCCCCCGCCGAGTGCCAGAGGCAGATGGTGGCCGTGCAACCTTGGGATCATCGGTTTCGCCATTAGTCGAGCGGCCAGTGAAGCTATCCCGTTTGAAGGGACTTGAGATAAGAGGCGTCGATGGTCCACTACCAGACACACCAGAAACACCAGCTGTCACACCTCCAACGCCGCTACCGATCCCAGAGAACACCCTGCCGAGTTCGTTCTTGATGCTGGGTTCGCCGGTGGCACCGATGAACGGAGCCTGCGCACCTTGTACAGCCTGAGGAAGTGGGGACGCCCGGCCACCACGTTTTCCGTCTGCTCCGATAGCCAAAAGACTGCGATGGGCAAGAAGCTCATCGCTGCCCTTACGTCTCCCATCTTCGCTTGCGGAAGCGAGTCCCAGAGAGTTCAGTCCTGCGGAAGAAGCTGTCGCTGGGGTCGATCCAAGCCGCTGCGGTTGTGACGGTTGCTGTTTACTCAGGTAGGGCGATTCTCGGGGAGAAGGCGTGGGTTGACCCGTTTGTAAAGATAAGGTAGGTTGACGAGCACCGCCAGGTTGAGATCCGAGGGACTTGGTATAGCTTTGTATGGCTCCGAAGCCAAAGGCTGACCCGGACTCAAAGGCAGGCAGTCGCTTGGTTTCCGGAGAAGAGGGATGCGAGCGGCCATGTTCCCAGTTGGAAGCGCTGGAGTGCCGATCTAAAGGCTCCCGCTCTCCGTAGATAGAGCCATACCGCCCCGGCCCTCCCAAGGATCCCTTTGTCTCTTGTGCAAGTCCCAGGCGATCTCGTTCTCGTTCTCGATCCCGAGGAGCGGTTTCTTCTGAACGACGATTACCATACAGACTGCCGAAGCGAGCCTGTTCCCTACTATGATCGCGAGCGTGTAGATCGACGCCGCCATAAGATAATCGGTCTCCCACGCCTCCGCCAGGACGCGAAATTGGACTATAGCCCGGGGGCCGTGCAGCTGTATCGGGGTTGGGTGGTTGGCTGTTGGAGCGGGCGATCGGGCCGCTGAAGCTCATTCGACGGGGCTCACTGTAAGGAGATTCGGCTGGGGAAACTTTGGGGGAGGGATGTGTTGAATGCGGCTTTTCCGGATATTGCGAGTGCGAAGCCCGTGATAACCCTCCATACTTTGAAGAATCGCCGAGCAAACTCGAGCCGCCTCCGGAGCCCGATCGATAGGGTCGACCTAGCGGCGGTTTCGAGAATGACTTTTCGGGGGTATGTGATCGGCGGAAGAGGGATTGATCAAGAGGCGACTGACGCGCTGGCGCAGAGGGTGGCGACATGGCAACAGAGGCAGAGGTTGGCGCACTGCCAAACACAGGTGATGGCCGTGAAAATAGGGAGCCGGGATCCCGAGCTGGGCGTTCTGGGTCGGAGCCGAGCATTGAGGAGATAGACATACTGCTGCCAGGGCGATGGCCGTACCCACTTGGTGGCTCACGAGAGAATAAGGAGGATGCGGGCGCGTTGGCGGATTGTGATCGCGAGGAATACGCGTGCGGAGGAGACGGGGGTGGCATCTGGCGAATTCCAAAGGCCGGCGGTGCAGATTGCTCTTGTGCTAATAGAAAGAGAGATGATTAGTTAAGTGTATCTTTGATTTTTGCATTTCTTTTCTTTTTTTGTTGAGAGGCCGGAGACCGCAAAATAGCCAGGAATCGAGGCAAGTTGCGAATCATGTTCCTGTCTGACGTGGTGCGGCGGATCACTGCGTCGGTGTGCAGTTGGCGCGCGTCCACCATCGAACTCACCGGAGTGCACAGGACTGCCACTACTGCCGTGAGGAGCACTGCGCGCAGAGTCTGGGGGCTGGTGATTCATCGCGACTACCACCATTCGATCAAGGGGGCAGCCTGGATGAATTTACGTAGATCCCGACGCAAGCGCAGAGGGCAGAAGCAGAAGCAGAGACCCCGTGACTCCGGGAGCTCGGCTGGGCCGCTAAGCCCGAAAGGGGAGACCTGGCGCTAGAACCGATAGAGACTAGCGTTCCCGAGCGGCGGATCTGCGCCACTGGGGAAGGCACGCAGGGGGGAGTGGCTGGGCAGGTGCGATGGAGCATATCATATACTCCATCCTGCACATAGCAGAAAATCCCCCCCCCCCATCCTGTATACCTCCATGCACTCTGGATCCGCTGCAATGCAGAACATTACAGATCATACCCCTGGAGAAAGCATACCGTGTGAGGTATCGAGCCCAAGCCGAGTGATGGTGACTGTGGGGGGGGGGGAGCAGCCGAGGCGAGAACCACGGGACAGGTCCGACCCCCAACAGCTAATCCGGGGACAAGAGAACCGGGGGAAAAAAAAGTCAACAAAAATTAGAAATCACCTACCTTCTCTCGTATGGCCAGTCTGAGGCTGAGAATGATTCCGTCGATGCACGTGCCCCTGCTGTCTCGATTCCAGGCTCGCATGGCGTCGATGTGATTGCTGTGTCTGGTTCCGCGGTGGGGAAATGTGTGTGCCAGTTGTCTCCCGACGAACACGATGCGACCCCCGTGAACCGGTACCATATGGATGCGAATGCGACGAGCTCGGGGGTGGGTATTCGTATCGGCTGCCTAGCCGAATTTTATCCTCTGGCCGATTGCGAGATTCGTTGGCGCCGACCGTGGAGGCGGTTGTGGACGTTGCAGCCGCGGCAGCGGCAGCAGCAACCGTGGCCGCGGATGTGGAAGAGGAAGCGTGGGTTCGGGGCCGATCACCATCATCGCGCGACTCTTGAGAGTTGCTCAGGGGGGAAGGCCGGGGCGGGTAGCTCTGATGGAGACGGCGGAAGAAGTCCATGCTGAGCGGCGCCGAGCGACGGACGCTTCGCAGTGGGTGAGATAGAGGGCCGAGAGAGTAGTTGATGGTATTGCGAAAGGGAAAGATGGGGTGCGACAAGTTGAATGGCGGTGGGTGAAGGGAAAAAAAGCCCCCAACAAGAGAAGGTGACGGAGGATCAGCGGTTGATCCCGCGGGCCAAACCCCGTCGGAGTTGGTGCGGGCTGGGCAGTGCGGAGAAGAAGATGCTGGAAGAGCCACAAGCGAAATGATGCGATGTGATGTGTCTACCCTTTCACCCAGGGGTGTTTGGTGGTCTCTGTGTGTTGGATGCCACAGTTTCTAGGAAAGGAGGAGATAAGGAGAGAGGAGAGAGAGAGAGATAAAGCCGGAGAAAAAACGGTGAGTCTGTTTAGCGCGATGGGGCGGGCCAAGACTGTATCTTGCATGTGGAGATCGGATCACAGCGTGAATCACTCACGCAAACACTGTGGCCAGGGTCTACCAGTTGGATATGTACATCATGGACGCACAATGTTGTTTTTGCTTTTCTTCTGTCTTTCTTTTCTTTTTCTTTGTGCCTCCCTTCTCTTCCCCTGCCCCAAAACTACTCAAATTACCCCTAGCCCAGGTGGTGACACCAGGATTTCCATCGACATGCGGTACTTCTACCTGACGCACGTCAGGCAGCACAACAGATTGACTCTTCCCTCTCCACCATGCTCTGCTGCCTCCGAGCCGTTGATGCACCCTGACGAAAATCCATTTTCTCTCTCCACGGACCACCTGGAGATCTGCCCACCCCTCGTGACGTGGCACCCCGCATGGGTTGCACAGAAGTGACCCTAACGAGAACTACATGTACATCCAGGATGGGATAGATGAGATCAGACCAGGGTGTGGCTTGAGGTTATGTTGGAAGAAATCTACAGCCTGCTTACAACAGAAGTGATGTTATGATCATTGACATTGGCATGGTGGGTATCATGAGCTGAAGATAGACAAGAGGAATACAAAAAATACAGCAACCGGGCGCATTTCCTAAATGGCACAGATTGGGATGAGATGGCCATGCGATGCATCATTCCATGAGGAGGTGTCTTCACTGGACGCCCAAAAAACATCGGTGTAAGGATGCTGAGCACAGCTCGACCAGGGAAGAGATTCGCTGGCGACGACAATCGTGAACGGACGCTGCACTACACGCGCCCCATTCCAGTGAGTCAAAAGGCCACGCTGACGGAGCAAGTCTAGATGAGAAACCAGATATGGGTAAAGTTCGTGAAGCGATGATTTTGGGTCCAGAACGAGCCAGAAGGAGTGAGCAGTCTCCTCTTCCTCCACGTCATTGGGAGAGTTGGGCTCGCTTTCAGTTTCAGTTTCAATGTTCATGGGCACCTGAATGTCGGCGAGGATGGAAAGATCTCGAGGACCCAACTTGGTAACAAGCGAATCGAGACGGTTCTGCATGTCATTGATAGCCTTTGGGCCGGCGTCGGATGGGCCCATCTGCAGCTCGTTGCCGTGCAGCCAAATGTCGGTGCGGAAACCATCGCACCCGGCGACAGCAGATTGCGCAAGGGCGGTGGCACGGGGATCAGAGCTGGGGAATGTGCAGGTGAAGTGCCAGTCGCGTGTGCTGTGATGGGCGAGGGAGGTTGGATGGGTTGTGCCCTTGCCTCCGACCGAGGGGAGTGCTTGTAAACACTTAAATGCCGCACTGGAAAGTCGGTATGAGTATAGGGGGATCGGGAAGGCAAGTATCGATCTGATATCGATTTTAAATCGGCAACTCACAAGCAAGCGAGTAGAATGCACACCACTCGAAAGAGACCGTCCTTCCAGCGGCGCTCTACTGAGGCGTACCATTCGGCGATGAAGGTGCCTAGGCCCGGGATACAGACGGTAGGATGCGAGCGGAGTGGGTGATCATCGAGGAGCCAGGGGTCGTATTCGTAACGCATGGATTCGGGAATAACATCATCCTCGGTCTTGGGTAGAGTCATCTCTAAGTTGGGGACACCCATGGCGATGAATTGGTAGGGCGAGCAGAGGGCGAGCAGCGAGCAGCCCGAGTGCGAGGGTGAGGGGCCATGATATACCGCGACGGTAATTCAACCGGGTCAGATTTGGGAAGCAAAGACTAGAAAAAGAGGTGCGGAGCGGGTCCAATCGCGCCATCTTAATATAAGCACGCCATGTCGATCATGCATGATATACGAGGGAAATGATAGTCAGCGGAGGAGGAGTTGAGTGCAGGACGGAGTAGCCCCTGGTAGCGTATATGGCCATGTCCATAATCAACACTCTATTCCAAGGCTGTATCGTGAGACAGTATTCATACGTTGTATAACACAAGAATATAAAACTTGAATGCTACAATAAACTCGTGTAGAAGGGTGGAGTCCAAGTGGATCACGTGGATCACACAATGGGCGGGCTGACTGACGTAATCCATGCCAAGACCCGCCAAGATCAGCCGGGGTTCTCCTCTTTCCTTCAATCCTTCAATCATCATTGCTTTTCTATTGCTTTAAAGTTTGCTATTGCTGTGTTATGAATCTACTACTGTTGCTTTCTGGAGTCTGGCCCAAATCACGCTGCGATAAACAGTCACACCCTGCACTTATTGGCTTCCGACCTCTCCATGTGGGCCCCAATGTGCATGCGTCGGCCCTCTCACCGACCTGGGGTAAGCTCATTTTATATCACCATGACTTAATTTAATCACGCGAGGGCCACTCTATCTCCCCAGTCAAGACGTGATGCGTCAAAATCATGATCGAATGATGATCGTCCCCTTATCAAACAAATTCGAAGGGAAACCGCCTGGACATAATTTGAGAAAATTACTATTTGTCGGGATACAATAGGGCTGAAACACCTGTGTCCACCGACACTGCAAGTTTCAAGTTGGCTTAGATACTAATAGACTCGGAGTAGCCCAGAATCTTCAAGTTGGAATTGACATTCGTACCTACTAACTTGTTTCACAAACGAGCCGGCCACCCCTCGAAATACAGGAAATATAATAAATCGCAACTCTAAATATCTCAACAACTAGACATAATTCTCGATTCTACTTTGTAATATAGTTTTCTATTATCATAAAGAGTAGTTCTAGCTACAGTTTTCTAATTTTAGATTATTATTCTCTGGAGAATATTACAAAAAAATACCCAGTAATCTAGAAGTCTGCAAGACAGATATATACATTTCTATCACAAGAATATTTTTTATATTTTAGACTTCGAATGTTAGTTCCTAATAATATTTACAATATAGTACCTGAGTATAGCCTTTAAACTACAGAAGATTTTTGAGATATAATGTTGTAATTTATCATATTTACTATGTGTTTTGGAGCGGCCCTCGCTTGTGAAACACGTTAGGTATTGAAGCTTTAGAGTCTCCGCTATTGGGAACATGAAGTTTATCCACCAATCTCAAGCCAATCATAAGCAAAACCCCCGGGGCCCAGCCATGAGATTAACCCGCTGGTCGGTCCGAGTCCATATCTAAGTTGTACAATTCCAGAATTTCCTCACCGCGCTGTATAAGACACCGACCTGAAATTTCCATCCACCTTTTGCTGATTATCGGTGCAATCCAAGACAAGACCACGCAAACAAAAGATATCCACGAATCCGCAACGTAGCCTTGGCCAATTGCGCAGGACAGTGCGCTATAGAAGTGACCCGGGGATACCGCACCTAATAAGCATGGAAAGTGGTAGGAACTTGAAGCTCGAACATGAAATTAGTTCGAGCTTTGAGTGCCTGTGGCGTTTAGTGCCGGGTTGGTACCAAAACAGCTTCAACCTGCCAGCTGTCGCTTGTGACGTTACAATCCCAGAATTTGAAACAAAAGCGTTTACAGAGACTCTTTAAAAAAAGTAAACCCGTTCTCAGCAAGCTTTATGAGCTGGGTAGAGACCTTCGGCACGATTTAGGGAAGTGAGCACATTTCTATCGATACTGGTTGGAAAGTTGACAGGCGAGTTTGTTTTCGTCCTTGGCGATCGAACAAAATAGACTCCACAAGGAATAAAGACCCGGAGAAATTCAACCACTCGAATCATAAGAAATACAGAAAGTGCGGAATTGGAATTGGGGAGGGATGCGAAAATTCCGCATCGGGAATAGATCAACCACGTAGCTTTATTCTTGACTCTGGAATGTGAGAGACTTCCAATCTGACAATGCTTGAAAGCGTCCAAATCAATATGGTTGCTCTTCTAATATAAAAGGAGAGCTTATTGGAAACGCCTAACGTTCAATTCCAATCCGTTTGAGTATCGTTTCATTATTCGGACCAACTACGGTTTATTGAATACATCAACTCCAGCACGAGTGATCAAGAAAATTCAATATGAAGAAACCCATTATTCAGAGCTTGGTGGCTCTTGGCAGCCTCGTGGCCTTAGTACAAGGTAGTAAAGAGCAGGACAATATCGATGGTCTCGCTGTAGACGCTCCGGGAGGAGGGCACGATTGGAATCCTGACTGGACTTCTACTTCTTGCTCGACCACGACCACGACAAGTAGTCCGACTTCGACATCTTGTTCGACTTCCTCGACTTCCTCGAACGTGCCGACCACTTCAAGCACCTCGACTACTTCGAGTACCTCGAGTACTACTTCGAGTAGCTCGACGACTACAACAACGACCACCACCACAACTACGTCTACTACGTCTACTACCACTACGACCCCCTGCACCGAAGCTACGATCAGCATCACTGTTTCAGGATCGCCTCCCGGCGTAACTACTGTGCCGGCTGCCACCCCGTGCGGAACCGAAACTGTGATCGTGACAACCTGCACTGATGAGACCATCACGATCACCACCACGGGGCCTGCAACCGGCGAAAGCACTATCCCGGCATCTTCGACCTGTGGTACAGCGACTGTTGTGACAACCGAAGTTCCACCGCCAACCTCGTGTCCCGTTAAGCCGGACTGCCCGCCCTCGGGATTGAACATCGACTATTACGCAAATCAATTCGGCTACAACGGGTACACAAGCCCTACAGCTGGTCAGAGTGAAGAAGAGGTAATGCCACCATCCTACTACATCACCGATGGACTTTCTTCCCTGGCTTCGTCAACCACGAATGTCACCTACATCCCACAGGATTATACCAACGACATCCAAGCCCAAGGCTTTGAAGTCATCTACCCGGACGCCAAAAACCCCAGTGTGCAGTACTTCGTCGGCTACACACGTGAAGTGAATGGCGGAATTGTCGTCAACGCGAACAATTACACCCTCGTCTACGAAGGATTCTATCGCGCCCCTACAACAGGCGACTATACATTCTGTGTTTCGGTCGATAATGCGGACTACTTCTACCTCGGTGACGGGCTTGCATTCGATTGCGGCGACGGAACTCCCGATCCCGATGCCCCAGCCTTGAACGTTGCTTCTGCTGGTGGTAACTACAACAACCCGGTCTCCTGCGGCACCGTCAGTCTGGATGCGGGCAATTTCTATCCAATCCGCGATGTGATGGGTAACGGGGATGCCGTATCTGCATTTAATCTAACTATCCAGGCCCCGGGAGAAGAGCCACAGAACGATAACTCGGGACGTCTTTACCCCGTTGACTGTCGTTTGAATGAGTAGTTCCTTTTGCTTCTATTCACAACAGGTGGAGTAAGAGGGACTTTTATATCGTCTTGATATTTTAGTCTAATTGAAGTTCTGACTGTGGCTACTCCATTTCCATGAACAACTATTAGATACTCTGATTCCGACTTCCCTGAACTACGATATCCAGTTATCCAAAGCAGAAAGAATGAACCCGGAGGATTCTGTAGTCAGTTTACACTTCTTAGAGCTTCGCTTCCGAGCGACCGGAATTTGGCGTGTGTTCGAATATCTTGCTCTTCGTCTCATCCAACCGTGCCTCACTTGTTTTAAACAATCGAGGGAGTCCCGTCTCTTCAAATGCCACCCCATTCACGATCATCTTTGCCAGGCCTTCTGCTGCGAGGAAGATCTGCGGCATACCATGTCCCGTGAACGCAGCTAGAATGTATTGATTTCGCTCTCCCGGCACTAATCCAATATGGGGTAGCCCATCCGAAGAATATCCCATGACTGGTCATCCGTTAGCAGAGGGTCTAATTGGTTTGATGTATGAGGGAAACTTGAACGCACTCCCAGTCCATACTCGATCAGTATAGGCATGGCTATCTTCCCACCCAACAAAATTGCGCTGCATGTAGCCATCCCAATAGCGAATTGCAGGCTCCAGCACGTAACTGTCATCGCTCACGTTATACCAGTTATTCAAATCGTGAATGAATGCTTTCCGGGCTCCACCGACTACAATAGATCCGTCTCTCCGGGGAATTAGATAGTCATAGTCCCACCCGCCCCAGCGAAGAGTATAGGTACTCGTCAACCGGGGTGCAGAGGATCCTGGGGGAACGGCAATACGACTGCATGTGCCTCTTACCGGAACAATCTTCCCCTGATACCGGGGAACAAGGGCAGAAGTGTAAGCGTTGGTCGCCATCACGAGAGTTCCAGCGGCGACAGATCCGCGCTGAGTATAGACTATCCATGGATGGGTCGATCCAGATATATTCGACTTTGAGATATTCGACACGGGTGTGTGCGTTTGCAGGTTCACGCCTTGGGACACGACTTTCTCAAGCAGGTGCAAGACAAACTTATACGCCCAGATATGCCCCGAGTCATACGAGAAGCACCCAAGCGCACCTTTAACACCAGAGAACTATAAGGCTAGTTAGTATGTCATGAGGGAATGAATAGGTAGACGCAATGCTCACTGCTTCTGCATTTTCAGCATCAACGTACTGGCCCAACTTTGTCGCAGCACATCCGTTTGCCACGAGCCCCTGGAATCCTGTCTTCAACTTTTTATAGTGATTTGGATCGAGCTGCACGTCGATGGCTTTAGTCACGATGTAGTCGCAATCGATTTTCTCCTTCTCGACAAACTCCTTGATTGCATGAACATGTTTTGCCTCGAAATCTGCAACTTCAGCTGCGGCGTCAAACCCATAATCTGTCGCAAGTGTTGATACAAAATTGTAAATGTCAGGCTTAACATGTCCACCTTGAACCAGTTAGAAAGCTTCGTTACTAATGGGATATGGAGTGTATCTCACCATTCCGAGCTGTAGCACCCGAGCAAGCCTGTCGTGCTTCCAAGATGGTAATAGAAGGCGCTTTCGACCCCGGTTTGACTTGGCGTAAGATATGATGCGCGATAGAAGCCCCGGCATATCCAGCCCCCACGATGACGATATCACATCTATCAGGGAGATTCTCGGTCGAGCGATGGTTGTCTAGGACGTGAGGTTCCGTCCTCCAGAAGGGGAGCATCCCGTTTGGAACAGGAAGATGCTTATCCGGCATCTCGAGAGTGATGGTCAATGTTTAATTCGAATCTATGATGAAATCGATATCCATTTAACTGTAAACACCAGTAAACAAAGTAGTTGAAGAGGAAGCTGGGAAATGGCGGGGGTGTTGCCCCACCGCAAGTACCGCCGGTGGCCTTCCCGCCGGACCGGCAATCTTGGACCGGTGGGACGCTTTGGGCCCCGGGACGATCCATCCTTTGTTGCCATCAATTGTCAGTTGTTGTCACTGACAACAATGAAAGTGGCAACATTCTATTACATTTGACCTCGGCTTGATTAAAATAAGTGCGAAAATTACAATGGGTTTTCCTTGTTCCTGCCCGTATATTGTGCACTTGTAGCAGAAGGGCGTAGCGTGTGGTAGTAGCTTCTATTTTGATCTGAACAAAATTATTCAAGCTAGTCTAAAATGTTGAAAGTTCACTTGGATAAATGAGGACTAATAGTAGTATTTTGCATGTATATTCAACTGTCAAGAGTATAATTCCGATCTCGAGTGTCTCATGCGGCCTGACTAGCAATAATCTTGTCGGCCATTCCCGGCAAAGTATCATCAATCACATCCATTTCCCCAAATAGCTGTGTCAACGGCTCTTTCTCCAGCACAGTGCAGTATGCGCCCTTGAATCTGATTTTTTGTTGGATTAGTATATAACCTGGAACACGAGAATTGTGATATCGAAAGACATACCCTGTTCTACGAGCAGCAGAAACGTCCCACATATGAGCAGCAGCAAACCAAGGCTTCTTGCCCTCATTTTCATCCATCAACTTGCCCAGTAAAGGTCTATAGGCGTCGAGGTCTGGCTTGCCAACTCCAGCAGTATCGCAGGATAGCAAATGCTCAGTCGGCATCTCAATACCCGCTTTCGCAAAGTACCCACCAACACGACGGAGATCACCAGCAGTAAACGCCCAAACGGTGAATCCCGCATCACGCAGCTTCTTCACACATTCCACGGCACCGGGGCGCATGGTGAGACCGGTGTATTCGCTCATTATGTACTCGAGATCCTCTGGCGAAGCAAATTCCCTTGGCTCTTGAATCCCACTCATCCAAAGAATTCGATAGAACAGGGCCTCAAAGACATCGCCATATACTGCGTATCGACCGGATATGCTGAGGTTGGTATACTCTCGCTCAGATGTTTCCATCCACATTTGACCGAGCATATATGGCTTGATACCTTCTGCGCGTAGTCGGTCGCCTAGACGGCGGTCAATTGCGTCGTAAAGATATTCATAGCTTACAAGGGTTCCGACGATATCGAAAACGACGTTCTTGGAAGAAGCCATGTTCTGTTGCGAGGAAGATGTTTTGGCTGTAGAATTTGGCTTATGCCAGTGTTACTTGGCATAGAATAGATATAGGGATGCTTATCTGTTGATGTAATTGCAGACAGTCAATTTATGCTTCGGGGTGAAGTAGGTGGTTGTGAGTCACAAGTAGGAGGACCAGAAAACGGCGAGGCACTAATTGATGGCAAGGGGGGGTAATGTCGACAACTGAGGAGCCTGAGACGAGTCGCCCCAATCCCGGTTGCCAAGGTGGAGAAGACGTATCTGATCCAACCCCGCTCTCTCACTCCCGGCGGGAAGATACAGATATCCTCCCGGTGGGTGGGGTTTACTTCTTAGAGATGTGAGGAGATAGTCATGAGACACTCAGGCAAAAAGATATATGTATTCTTCATGGTTGTAGAAATCATGCTTTGCCCAAAGTCGCTTCCGCAAAGGCTACGCCAATTAACCCAATGGCAAGAATGAGTGAAACTTCACTCAGTCATAGTATCGCCCCCGAGAAAGCGGAAACAAAAGGATCAGGAGATGTGGAAGTTGACATTGAAAGGACAGCCACTGCGGGTACTACCCATAATGGCAGCTCCTCGGACTTCTCTGCGGTTGGGTCTGCGGGATACCATCGATCCCTCACCCGGCGCAAAGTTATGATGATGACTTTTGGGGCTGGAATAGGAACAGGGCTCTGGGTGGGAACCGGCCAGGCCTTGCTCTATGGTAAGTTGAAACCTTGGAATACATCTACTCTCCAGGTCATGATGGAACTACCCTGGGGCGCTACTAAGTTATCATGATGCTGATTGTGGCGTTCATAGCTGGTCCTGCTGGTACTGCTTTGACTTACACATTGACTGCGTAAGTGAGATGTCCCTTGAAATCTATATGATGCCTGTATTAATTTAACTCCCAAGGATCATTGTTTACGCTCAATATTCTTCCATTGGTGAAATGACAACATACAAACCGGTACATGGAGGATTCATCCGGCAATGTATCGAATATGTGGACCCAGCCTGGGGCTTTGCGATCGGCGTCAACTTCTGGTTTGCTGTGAGTGCCCCACGAGCATACACAATTCCCTTTGACTCACAGCATACAGTGGGTGATGATTATTCCGGCAGAAATTACTGCTGCGGTTTCCGTTCTGAAGTACTGGCCACAGACCGACGTGATACCCTTGGCTGCGTATATCACCATATTCCTAGTGGTAATCGCGCTAGGGAATGTTTTTCACGTACGGGTCTATGGATTTGTCGAGTATTATATGTCATTCATCAAGTGTTTTGCCGTAGTCTTGATGATATTCTTCATGTTCATTATGACCTCTGGTGGGATTGCTGCCACGAACGGCCCGATTGAGTTTCGCTACTGGAAGAACCCTGGCGCATTCAACAATGGCTTCAAGGGAATATGCAAGGCCTTTGTACAAGCTGCATTTAGCTTCGGCGGAGGTATGAAATCCGCGAATATGCTCACAAAATAGAATCAGAGATTAACACGAGGCAATAGGCGAGCATATCGCAGTTATCGCAGGTGAAGTCGCCAACCCAAGACATACAATCAAGAAAACCGTGCGACCAGTATTTTGGCGCATGTTCACTTTTTTTGTTGTGAATATCTGGCTAGTTGGAATGTGTGTTCCTTCCGACGATCCAAGTTTGAATGCCGAGGGGACCTTGGGAAGCCCATTCGTGATCGCTATCAAGAGAGCCGAGGTATATGGGTTGGCGCACGCAATCAATGGCTTTATTTTTCTAAGTGTCATCAGCTGTGGAATCACCAGCGTTTACGTCGCGAGCCGCAGTCTAACGGCTATGGCGGATATGAATATTATTCATCCCTTCTTCGGATGGAAAGACAAACAAGGAAGGCCTTATGTGTCGCTAATTATTAGTCTTGGCTTGGGTGGTGGGTTATGTTATCTGAACGTTAATAGTGTCGGTGTGATTGTCTATGGTTGGTTCACATCATTGGTAAGACCCCGTTCAAACATTCGAATTATAGAGGTATGAATACTTACAATTCTTCAGGTTGCCATTGCTACTTTGTTTGAGTGGTCTTCCTGTTATATTGCCCACCTCCGATTTCGACAAGGCTTGAAGGCCCAAGGGAAAGATCTTCGGACTCTGCCTTTCAGAGGATTTCTTACTCCTTGGGCACAGTATTTAAGCCTTGCGATAGTCGCATTCATATTTGGCTGCGAGTTCTATCTATCGTGTTGGCCATTTGGCGAAGAGGGTTCTGTGAAAACTTTCTTCGCGAGTTACCTCGCGGCCCCTCTCTTCGTTTTTGATTATTTTGCTTACAAGGTACCTCCATCTTCAAAATCTTACCGAAAAACCCAGTGGCGCTAATACTTGAGTCAATTTTTAGTGGTACTATAAGACGAGCATTGTCAAGGCAAAGGATATGGATTTCTCAGAAGCAAGATTTTTCGATGAAGAGGAGCGCCTTGATGCCATTGCAGCTGAACAGCAGGCCCAAGAGAAAGCAAACAAAAAGCTAAACTGGGTGAAACGCGCTCGGTATCTTGTGTTTGGCTAGTACAAGATAAGAGGGATTGACTTTTAGTGTAAATTATACATCCTTAGTTATAAAATATCAAATTTAAGATGTTCCACCAAAGACATCCGGATCGAGCACCACATCGCCGACTGACCAGTCGGGATTAAAGAAATCTGTGATGTCATGCATCTCATTGTAGAACACGCTTTCGTCACTCCCTGGCGAAATATTGAATTTAGGACTGAAAGAGGAAAGCTCCACATGGCTACCGGGACCCCTATCCTTCTTCATGGATTGGGTCCAGTCCTTGAATCTGGCATAAGCCGATGATGCAGTCTGCTCCGTGTTAACACCCATGGTATTAATCTCGTGTTCCTTCGATGATAAATTTCGAATGGCTACTTCAATGGCCTCGATATATGAGATCTCTGACTCTGAAGCCGTCCCACCTATCATTTTTCGTATGAGAACCATGCCACGATCTAATCCTTCTTGCAGCTTTGGTGAATTTCCGACATTCAAGCTTTCAGCAAGAATAACGAGAAGAGCTGCACGACAGGAACTAAATTCAGTATATGAAGCACGACAGAGGCCAATATTTTCAGAGAGTAATTGGAGAGCGTCGAGAATTTCCAGTGCACTTTCCACACAGTCTTCTACTAAGCCTGACCAACGAGACTTAGTGGTGGATGATCCGATTTCTGGGTGCCGTTCCCTTTCTTTTGATTCGAAGATAAAAGGACGGCCCATGTAGATGAAAATGAGCATATAGCACATCTTCAGATGGCAATTTTGTCGAAATAATTGCCCCCGCGGATTCAAGTCCTTGCATTCAGTATTCGTAGAAAGAGAATCCCACGACTGTTTGATCGAACTTCGCAACCGCATCAGACGGTCGGAATAGTCTGACATCAATCTTTTTGGACATTTCTTCAAAAGAGTTCTGTGATCGTTAGTTAGTCATTGGCACGTATCAGCTAGATAGTGGCAGCCTACAATGTCTCCGCTACTTCACTGGTCCAAAAAGCCACACTGATGAAAGCCATCATGTTGGAAAAGTTAGGCGATTTGAACGCAGGATGCGCTTTGGGTAAGTCTGCACTAATGTCCGACCGAGCGATTGAAACAGGCCGCCCATGCATGATGCTAGTTCGACTGGGCATTTATTAGTATGTTTTTTAATAAGAGTGTTTGGAAAGAAAACATACCGTTCCAGGGTATAGATTGACCAAAATAAGCGATTTCGGAACTCATTAGTCCGACTGTCACATTCCACATCAGAGCACTTCCGGTGCATCCCATTTTGAATTGCCATTTTCAAAGCCAGGCCGAAATAAGTATACGATAGACCACCGGTTGAGACAGGCAATCCGTAGGCGGCAAGAAGTAAAAAAGCTTGTGCACTTTCCTGTGAAGCGGCCAAAATGACATCTGGGATCAGCTTGCAGGCAACGCGATAGAGAACAAGACCGACAGAATCTTCAGAGCAAGTGGGAGTCTCATCCACGGCATTCAGGCTAGGTGCTGACTTGTCCTCTTCCATGTGCGCCATCTGAGTTCCTATAGCTAGGACAGCAAATAAACTACAAACCCAAGAAATATCATTCGTCATGTATTCGCTATCAGGGTCGTAGCAAATACTTATTTTTTCCTCAATCCAGTCTCGCTGCATCCAAAAATTATTGACCTCTCCATACTTGAAGAACACATTGACAAGAAATTCCGCGATTGGTCTTGGGGGCAATTCACTCAATGCCTCGGCGATGACTCGGATGGATGATTGAAGATGGGTAGGGCGCCAGTATTCTTTGATCTGAAATCATTAGTAGACGAAGCGACTAAAGGTGTCAACAGAACTGACTGTAGGCTCGGTTGATTTACGTTGATCGCTCATAGACCGTCGCAACCTCTCTGCAAAATTCCAGTGCGAAAACTCTCCCGAATAGACTGAAGACTATCAGTATTTAGAAGTGTTTGAAAAGGAAGAAGCTCTGATTCACTCACATGCGACGTCACTTGACACAAACTGGACATCGAAAGATTCGTTCACATCCCAGGAGCCCTCCACACCATTCTTGGTTGTACATTTGGCCGCAATTTGCGCCAAACTTTCTCCGTCTAAGGGGGACGTCTCCGAGAAAATGACGAGCAATTTTCTCAAGATTTTCCAATCGTCGGACACTGTCATTCAGCTCTTGAGGCATGCAGGCTTTTGTTTGTAACGTGGACATCGCTTTCTTCGAGGGTGGCTGGGGTTGAAAGTGACAAGGTCGACCTAGTCGCTCGCATCGCCAACAAGGTGGCCCGCCTTCGCATTTTTCCTTTTGTTTGCGACATGTCTCGCATCTGAATAAGGTCAGCTGTTGTGACCCAATAGGGCCAGTCTCGAGTTTTCGCTACCCACACTTACGCTAGCGAGGCGCGTCGTTTGTTCGCATCGCGCTTGCGTTTGACTGCACGCTCTTCTACCTCGTCTCGAAATTCTTGAGACATCGATTATGAGTGACAACTGGGTGTTGATCAAGCAGGAAAAGCGAAATCGGCAGGGGAGGGGCCGCTAGAATCTTCCAAGGAGACAGGTTTGTTAACTGCTGCATGAATTGATAGGCAACGGTGCTTATCAACCGCTTCGGAGTCGCAGCATGCGGGGTAAAACAACGAGCCACTTAAATTCGCTCTTCAGGGGATAACGGCAAATCAGAGTTTCGGGCCCATGCTATCAGTATATTCAGTTTCTATAGTTTGGAGTACCCTGTCGTGACTCGTTACCCCCAAAGTCCCAAGGTTGGAGGTTGATGCTATACCCGCTACTAGTAGTACTCAAATCTAAAATCGAAGTACATTTTTCACTCCAATATCCCGTGCGCGATTTCTTATGTCCAGATTATCATGACCCCCTCCCTGGTCGGGCTATTCTCATATTAATCCTCGGGCTCGAGGAACCAGGAAAGCCATTCGTACTTCCAAAGGGCCCTGTCTTCAGGCTTCGTTCCCTCGGTGTGGCACGGCCACACAAATACATTCGAGGTCGCGTTTTCCGACAGACTTTCATCGAATTCCGGACCTCTTGAAATTATATCTGGTATAGGGGAAGATGTCACAACTGCGAGAGCTAATGGCTGCGTTATTACCCTGTGGCCTCCATGGGAGATCCCCGTATCGCACAATATCTGATTCTGGACACACTTCCATTGCCAACAAAGATAACGAAATCTATGGCCACAACTATAATGCTTCCTGACCATAATCGAACAACTTTCAACACTGGTCAAGCCGAATGGAGGATATGAAACCACTGGGGGAAACTTGAAGGCTTCTCCCTCTAGATCGAGCAAATAGAGCAGTCGAAATTCATCCTCCCTGGGAATCATATATTTGCCATCGGGGCCACGTTGAACAGACACAGTTCCGAAATTTTGAGGATCCATGAAGCATTGTGAGGATGCAGTCCAGATAATAGTTTCTGGCCAGGCTCGAGATAAACTTCTTGATTCAATGAGCACCCTCGGTAGGAATCCCATGACAGATGCTCCTAGCCAAAGAGGCGCCAATGTTGGTCTGCGTTCCGCCATCGCCAAAATAATTGTTTTGTAATCTTTCTTCTCCAAAAGAGATGGAATAATCTCATCGAAGACTGGGTTGAGCCACTCGCTGACTAGATTGCAGGGAATATCTTTCTCCCAAAAGCTATTCGCCAAGTCTGAGCCAATGTTTGTTGAAAGAGCAGAGAGAGTCATCAAGTGAGGAATCTCAGAGAAGCTGGGCAACTGATCATGGGATATATCAGCTGTGTTATCACTCGAATAATTATTTTTGGGTTCTTTCGGCACCAGGAGATGTCTTGTACCTGACGACCACCTATTGCATGACGGAAGGATCAAAGCGGAAGCTAGGCCAATGATAAGCTGGTCAAGGACGCCATTCAACCGCGCAAAGTTGAACAAATATTTCAGAGCTTCCTCGGAGGATGGGCAATGACACTGGCATGCAGAAGACGGGAAATCCGCATTTTGTGAGACACTGAAAGAGGCATCTTGAAGATGGAACTCCCATATTGGACGGTACGCGGTGCCATTGCGGGTGAGTATTGCTTGCCATCCCTCTCCATTAGCCAGGATTGCAGTCCACCATCGGAGCTCTGAATGATCTCGAGCCCCAATATTCAATGGGACCGCTTCCCCAGCACTGCCAGTGCCGGACCTTTTCCCATGGACATAGCTTTCGGCGGCAGTTCCAGTGTATGAAACTCGATCATCCAAATCCTTTCCACGCAGTTCGATCAGGCGGACAGACAAAATATACAGCCAACCCAAAACGAACAGGCCAATATAGTCCCCTCGGTCCTCGGAAGTGAATCGCAATGCAGGATCATCGGTAAGGTTCAGTTTACCGGGTAACAATTTCGCGATTGAAATATCCAGTGTGGGTGTTTGCTTGGTGGAGGGTAGGTCGCAGTCTTGTTTGTCTATGAGCGATTCCGGTGAAATATCCCATTTTGCATACCCTTCAATGAGCATCATGTCATATTTAAAGCGTTCTAGAACATCTTGGGACTGTGGAATAGAAGGGATGTTGTTCAGCAGTAGAGCTTTGAGATTGAAGCATGATTCTGGAATTGTCGTTGTCGATTGTGCGCGAGCAAATAGTTCTTTCCAATATGATTTCGAGCGAGACAGAGTATCAAGGGAACCAGCCAGACTTGGGCGTACTGGGTCAACGTTTTCTCCGTCCATGGACTTGTGATTGTATAATCCGTAGTGGCGGTGTGCAAACAGAAGATTTGTATTGCAGGCAAGCAGTCGGATAAGGCGGCCCGAGAGCAAATTCCTTCCTGTTTTAGAACCGCGTCACTTCTAGAGAGGAGGAAGGTTAATTAGCTTCTCGTATTCTGGTCAAAAAAAAGTAATAATGGATGGAAAGGACGAAAAGTGGTGATATGAACAGGGAAGAGAGCGAAGCATTCAATGTCTGGAAGGACTGCTGCCTTGTTGCCTGAGGCAGATATGGATATCAACGCTGGAAACCCCATGCCTGGAGGATGAGAAAAGAGAATAAGGAAACAAGAAATAAAGAAAAGTTTAAAGTCGCGGTATGATATCAAAAAAAAATATCAGCAGACAAATTTCGCTCCACATCAAGGTTGGTTAATCTAGTCCTACTTCTATTATTCGCATCCTTGGCCTTCCAGCCCTGTTTATAGCTGAGATGGTTCGGAGAAGCCTACTATCACTACGCTCACCTGGAAGTTGAAGTTTTTAGTCCTTTAAATCAGAAGCTTGCCAATAATTTTAGTAATCTCTTTCAACCACAGAGTTCACAATTTTCGAGTATTCTTTGCTTCGGAGGAGTAACGAGACTATGTTTTCCCTTCTAGAATTGTACTGCATAATAATAGTACATATTTGAAAGATTAGGGTAGCAAAGGGACGAAGAAAAGACTTTTAATCAGAAGCTGCAAGCAAAACCCCATTCTACTGACTTTGCTTCATGATAAACTTGTCTATCCTCCACTGGCTGTCTTACTCCGCACGATCGGCTCGCCGGGTTTCCCCGCTCGGATGACTCAAGTTGCCGAATATTGAAGGGAAATATCCGCTACTAAACACTTACTTACTCTCTCATCTCCCCAAACGCGTTGCAGCAATGGATCGCCCTTTGGAGCCGATGATAGTTCCTGGCGACCGCCAGCAGACACGATCAGACCGCATGTATGTGCTCTTCGGTTTCCAAGCCCTTTTTATACTAGACGGTAGTATTGACAACTAGTCGTCAGTCAGCCGATTATAATTTTGATGTCCTCAACTGCTCTTGTATTCACAGGATGTGGCATTAACTTTACATTTGGGGTCTATCAGGAGCTTTATGATTCTATGTCGAAGCTCCCCAATACGCCGTTCACCGGAGCCACACCAGCACAGATTGATCTGATCGGCACACTTTCGATCGCGCTGATGACAATCGGTGCTCCTTTCACAACAGCATGGACAAAGCAATACTCACCACGAGCTGTTGTCTGGAGTGGAGGAGTTATCTACTCTGTCGCTCTCGTTCTGGCTAGCTTCAGCCAGAGTCTCTGGCAATTCATCCTCACCCAAGGCCTTTTGCTGGGCGTGGGTACTTGCATGGCCTACATGCCCTCGGTGACCGTAGCACCGACCTGGTTCTCACTCCACCGTGGACTTGCTATGGGTATAATCCTTGCTGGAACGGGGTTTGGTGGTGTCGTTTGGCCGCTCGCCTTCCGATCCCTAATTTCCCGCGTCGGCTTTCGAAATTGCCTGCGGATTACGGCAGGAATATCCTTCGTCATTATCAGCATTTCCGGGTTCTACATGAAATGGCCCGCTAGCCAACTCACCCGGATCCAAGCGGAGAATGCCGCTAATGCGAGGAGACTCAGCTGGCTGCGCATTCCTCTGGTTGATTGGCGCGTTGTAAGAACGCGCAAATTCGCTGCCCACGCACTGGGAGCAGCCCTGCAGTCCGCTGCGTACTATACACCTGTGTTTTTCTTTGCGTCATATGCGCGCACACTGGGGTATTCACAAGCATCATCGGCCAACTTCATTGCTATTTCCAATGCTGCAAATGCCGTGGGAAAGATCGCGATTGGGTTTGCTGCCGACCGTATGGGCCGACTCAATACCTTATTTCTGACTACTCTTATCTCGGCAATTTCTGTTCTGGCAATGTGGCTGCCATCGGCATTATCAACCTCTCAATCGAGTGGCAGTGCCCTCTTCATTGTTTTCACTATATTTTATGGTGTTTTTGCATCGGCATATGTCTCGCTCTTCCCAACCAGTTTGGTAGAGCTATTTGGCGTACAGAACTTTGTCAGTGTCAACGGGGTTTTGTATATGGTGCGAGGACTTGCAACTTTGTTGGGTACTCCGCTTGCTGGGCTGTTGATTCGGAGTAGCCAAGACGAGAAAGCTGGACCACGAAGTTATGAGAATACTAGCATTCTGGTTGGTGTCTTGCTAGCTGCTGCCACATTTGCAGTTCTCTGGGCTCGGATTGAGGCATCTCTCACTTTTGAAGGACAGAGCCACGGAAGAAAGTGGTTGATGTAGGGATGGAAATGAGGCGTAGATACTGCCTTGTATTTTCAAGTCTGTAAACATAGGAATCGTCTCCCCTCGCCCAATTTGCATAAAAAGTAATGGTTTTTCAAATTTTGTCTCAGTAACCACCCGCCAAAGATCTGGTAGGAATGAGATGGTGGCAAGATCAATCGCAGAAACAATATTGTTCGTAATCGTCGTATCTTGATGGGCGATCTGCCCAGGCGTTCATGTTGGTAAGACCCGATTTCTATTGCAGACTAGGATCCACTTCAAGTGCCTACAAGAGACCGATTCTTTCTGGCTCCAAACTCGAAACTGACTGGTCTTTAGCGGGATTCTGTGACGACAGTTTGTAAACAACAACACCCAACAACGCCGACTCGAGCTCCTCGAGTGTCGGGGCGATCTTATCCATGCTTAAAGATGCCTTTCAAGCTCGTGATAAACGTATTGGGGTCGGAGTGCATCGTGAAGTACCAGTCTTGGTCGCGGGAGGTATCCGAATCACGGAAGCCAAGACCCTCGGATTCGGATTCGGATTCGAAGGGGTCCATGATTCCAGATATATTTAGAGCTGCTAATTCAAGTCCTGCCAGGAGATGATAGATGGGGATATCGGTGATATTGTTGGGTGGTGAAGGGAGCAAGTTATCTACACAAAGGATGGCGAGGAAGGTAGGCCTTAATGCCCGATGCAGGAATTTTGTTTAGGGCTGAGGCAGTCTTGAATCGCCGGGTCAAAATGAAAACCTTTCTCAAAAAGATGTCTCATAATTCCCTTGATACAAATAGAGCGCTAAAAATTCTCCATATACGAATTACATCACTTATTATGTGAGTTCAGGCCAAGATCTCGAGTTGTGTAACAGGTGATATCGAGAGAATTAATTTGGGGTCGATTAGTAGACGCCCAATGCGGTTTTCGTGAGGTTTTGGGAGCTAATGACACTAAATATTCATTACATACCCCCATACATATTTGCTGGGCAGCCGTAATTTACAATACAGGAATCCTGACTTGCATGTGCGCGCGGAGCATCTCCGACCCATTTTCACATGCAAGGGAGTGGGTATTTCACATGCCAACCCTTGGGGACGCTATTTGGCAGACGATCACCATCCGCTCGGGTGAATTATACCCAGCTATGTATACAAAGGGTTATATGCAGAATAATAACGCCTAATGTCATGTTTCATTGCTTAAAATTTCTAGTAGATGTAAATGTAATTCATAAGTCATGAGATCGTTTCTATCAAAGACCTGGAGTTTGAGCTCCTTCGCCCAGCCCCATGAGTCCACCAGCGATTCCGTTCATTCTCCGATCAAGCAGATCCTCTTCGCTATCCAGTGAAGCTATACTCTTACCTCGCGGGCGGAACACGGATGGACTCTCGGGAGCACTGCTGACCTCATCTGGATGGAAGGTATCGTGGTTGGCAGTCATCTCTAGCTTCTTAAGCTTTGCCAAGAAATCCCTCCCACTACCTGTGCTGTCATCGAGGTTAGAAAGGCCACCATTGAGCTGGGAAGATGAAAATGATGACCGAGATATCTTCCGGCGTGCGAGTAAATTGGAGTTCGCGCTAGGGTTCTCATTCTCAGGAAGCGTTGTCAACTTGCTCAAGCCCATTTCCAGAGGTCTATCCTCATCTGCAGAAGACTCCCCTGTCAGATTCCGGTAGTGATGTCTAGAATGACCGTTCGTCTGCCAACTCGTCTTGTGTGGTCCCTTCCGCTTTTCGGATGCGGTGTTGGATGCGTGGGATAGCTGAAGGAGACTATATTCCGATTCATGGAGATCCGTCGACTCGAATATAGACTCGATCCACTTCGCGCTGCGATTGATATATTTCCAAGCATCAGGGAAAAATCCAGCCATTTGTATAAAGCCATGAGAAACTCCTGGGATCAAAGAAACCTCCACATGGTCTTTCTCGTTGAACTGGCGTTGAGACTTTTCGAGACCAAGATCTTGACGTTCATGGAAAAGGTGTAGCTTTGCTTGGCGAAGTCGTCCGGCAAAGATAACAGTGTCATCGACAAGTGGGTCGCGCTCTCCCGTGAGGATGTAAGTCTTTGGAAACGCTGCTAGAAGAGCGTCAGGTGCAAGAACGGGTGACAGGTAGAAGTCCGTGTTGAAGTCGGGGCGATGGTGGGGCCCGATGTATAGAATGATCATAGCTCGCATCATTTCTGGCGTCAAGATTCGATCGTGGACATATGATATCATTGACGAAACAGCAAGACGAGTTTTGAGTGGCTGGACCTGGTCTTCACTGGGCTGAACAGCTTTCCCATTGATCTCCTCACTCTTCTTGAGCTTGTCTCGAAGTGCCTTCGAAGCTTCTGCGGCGACATTGTTTTCGTCTTCTTTCTGCTTTTCCTCTGGCGAGAGCTTTGTCAGGTCTTCGACCGAATGCCCAGGGGAAGTGAAGGGGGTCAGCTTCCGGTACTGATCTTGTTTCCTCTGCAGAATGCCGCTATTTGTTTGGCGTGTACTCTTATCTTGGATCAGGGACATTTGCTCATCAGTCATCCAACTTTCAACCCTCACGTTAAGTGCAGGATATGCCAATACCAGACCATCGGGTTGTGGTAGTACTTCTTCCCCTCTCCAGCCTTGAGCCATAGCCGATTGAAGTACCATCAAAGTCATCCCAACTGCAAGATTGCCACCGGCGCTCTCGCCAGTCACGACAATGCGTGGGCGTGCTGACCCGCTCATCCCCAAACAACGCCCATTCGTAGCCATGATGGTATGATAGACATCATAGCACTCATGGAGTGCGTAGGGGTAGGCATATTCTGGTGCCTTTTTGTAATCGACACTTAGTACTGGAATTTTCAGCTGTCCCGCCCAAGAGAGCAATTTATCCTCGGAGCTTCGAGGGCCCATGGCGACAAATCCGCCACCCGGGATATCCAAGACCAGACACTTCTGGTCGCGCAACGCACTTAGTGGTCCATCAAAGTAAAGCCATGCACTGACGGGATCTTTGTGAACAGAGTGCTTTGGTCGCGGAATGCGAATTGCCCGGGCCGGATAGTGGGTTAGTCGAGGACGAAGTAATTTTGCCATCGCCCAGAGATATGGCGTAGTTGCTTTATTCCATGAAACACGTAAGTGCTCGAGGGTTAGCGTAGCCCGGACCTTGCGAACCTTCTCATCCGCTTGTTCGGCAGCGATCAGATAGTAGACGGTGAAGACCAGGGAGGCAATATCTCGTAGCCACTTGGGCTTGATCGACATGGCTGTCCAGAATCCCGCATCGAGTCCCGTTGTGATCCATGTTGCGCGGAAGAACGATCGCGAATACAAGTTTGCTAATGGCTCAGGGCATTCGAGACCAACAATTTTGGCGAAGTTGCGGCTTAGATAGAGCCAGAGAAAGATAATCACGGTTGTTTGCCAGCTGGTCAACTTGCCAGTAAACCGGGCAGAGATGGATCTTATGAAGGGAGGGCCATGTTTATTTGCTCTGTCTGTAAATCAGCCTAGCACGAGATGTTGTATCAGGGATGGCGTATCAAATTCATACCGTAATAGATATACCGACCAGAAAGATACCACAGCAAAGACCTGGATTTTTCGAAATCGGGTAGATGGTCTCCCTAAAACGTGGTCTGCCGGATACCTTTTTAGCGGGGACTTTTCTTGGGGGGGTCTGGGGAAATTGTGGAGGGTTCAAGTTGTACCTATCATTTCCACCCGCACTGGTCACCCGTAAATTCCGGGGAAAGCGATCTTTGTACCACCAACGGACACGGGAAGATATACGAAACAAGTCAAGAGATTCGAAAGTCACGTATAAGAAGAGAATGCAAGAAGCGGAAGAGTGAACAAAAATGCGTTGTCTTTGATCATTTTAACATGTGAAAGGCCCCCACACATCACATGCCAGTGACGACATCAGCTGACTTTTTGAACGAAGGAGCCAACCACTACATTCATTCCTATAGGTCATACAATCCCCAGGATCAGCTAGATACAGTAGATATCACCGTGGATGCCATTCCACTGGCCTCGCTTGGTTGCGATCTCTTGCAGGTCACGTGAAACATCCCTACAGAGGCACAATCAACAACGCGTCAACGCACATCACAACACTTGCAAGCTGTACAAACAATTCCTCAATCCACCATGTGAAATGATAAGGAAAGGTTCCAGCTACTCTACGACCTTGACCTAGAATCTCCCGCCGAGTACGATGTCCTCCAAATTACCCCTCAAGCTCCCTAGTTGTGCCTCCTCGGCGATATCGGATATGTCAAAGACGACGGCTTTTTTACCTCCCTGCAGAGTCAGCTCGAGGTCTTCCAGATAGTATTTTTGATCTTTGGTAATCATGAATCATATCAGAGCAGTTGGATTCAAGTAAAGAAAAGGCTTGATAGTTTCAAGAATGAGATCGAAATCTCCACGGGTCAAGCACTTACCAAACTTGTCATCCTTGACCAAACGAGATATGATATTTCTTCCACTATCACTATACTCGGATGTACACTTCTCTCCAAAATCTCAGAGGAGCAGGCGGAAAATGTAAATTTCGGACTGAACGACTTGTATCATATCGAAGACTGGACGATCGAAGACCACTAAAAAGCTCATTAAGCCGATCTAGCGTGGTTGAATGATCAGCTTGCATACATTTCAACATCAGAACCAGACCGTAAAGTCATCGTATTGACTCATTACTGCCCTACCACCAACGAAATTGCCGTCGACCCTAGGCATGCGACAAGCCGGATCTCTTCGGGATTCATGACTGATTTGGCTGACGAGCCCTGCTGGCAGAGCGCAGCCGTAAAGGTCTGGGCTTTTGGTCATACACACTTCAACTGCGACTACCGAGACAAAAAGCACCCGAAAAGAGTCATTTCAAACCAAAGAGGCTACTACTTTGCACAGGCAGAAGGATTTGACATGAAAAAGGTGGTTGGAGCTTAGAAATCACCTGATATTACTAATGCCCATCTGGTAACTCGGTATGAAGACAAAAAATATCCTGCAAATTGCAGACAAGGCTCGGACTAGAAAACATCTCCTTCCAACAAGTTCCACGGGGCGAATTAATTTCAGAACGACGGTGTACCATATATCCAAACCGAGTTAATGTGGATAAGGCACCTGCCATTGGTCACTCGCTCTAATGACATTACTGTCTGCAACACGGTGGAGAAGAAGATGATGATGTATTTTTTCCCGAAGGGGAGGAGATATCTCGTCCGTCACGTGGCCGGGCGACGAAGACTCTAACTAATGCGCATAGAGCGCGTGACGTGTGACACTCGCAACCACCTTTTAAAACTTCTATCTCATCTGCCTTGAATTGCCTACAGTATTCACGAGACGAAGCCATGCCTCTTCAACCGCCTCGGGTATATCAACATGGGAGATAAATCCTCGTCCCTTTGGGCCATAACCATGCTCATCGTCTCTCACTCGAGGGATTTCCCCCAGAATAAGATCAAGAAACCGTTGCTGTGTCCAAATACCAGCAGAGCAATCTACACTTGAACTATAGACCAAAGAACCATTTGAATCCAGCTCGACCCGTGGTACGATTACAGGGCAGCTGGTAAACGACACGTTGCACAATGCATCCTCGTAGGTTCTCTCAAAGGTAGCCCTCGTCCTCAACATCATAGTAGGATCTTGAACGATGACACAAGTCTTCAAATCTTGGACTCCCGCATCGTCGAGGACCTTCCGGGTGAAAGAAGCATTTTGTCCACAATTCGTAGATCGATCCTCGATGAGAATCCGGCATCCCCCAGCTGTGATCGCTGCTTGATCGAAGAAAGTGTTCAAAATATGCTCGAGGACCCTCGCTTCGGGTAGTCCCTGGATTTCATCGTAGATCTTTGAATATCGTTCGTGGGATCGAACTGCCTCATACAATAATTCCGTCGAATGGCCAACACCCCCGCATAATACGAGGTACTTTGCGAGTGATGGTCGCTCAGCAAGTGCGGCGAAGAGGGCATCAGCTTGGCCGAGAACAGCTGAGGCACAAATGACGATACAGTCGACCGGATTGCAAGACGCGGGTGATAGGCCTTGCAGTTGGGCATCACTCAAAAATCTGGCCAAAAGATTGATATCCGTGGCAGTGGTATCCGATACTGGAGCCATGTTGTTGAAAGAAAAAAAATGTATACGTTTTTGAGGTTTCGTAATGTTCCGGAGTCTGGCTCCAACTCTTTTTGCTAATATCCGTTGTGCCGGGTGAGTTGAGGGTCGATAAAATTTCGAAGATGCAAGTTCATGTTGTGATGCTCCGAAAAAGGAAGTCAACCCGGTGGACCGCGATCTGATATCTGCCCCTCATTGACTTCTCTATGCCAATCAGAACCACTCACCCTGACACACTCCCACTCACAGTGGCACTTCCCTCATCCCCGGCCGTCCTTATCTTACTGATGGGAGTTGGAGGGTTAAACTGAAAAAAAAAAAGATTTCTCTCATGACATTGAAACGCTAAGCAAATACCATGTAGGGCTAAAGAGGCAGAAAGATCCAAATCATATATCAAACCTGCCGACAGTACTCCCGCCCATGTATCATCTGATACCTACAAAGCAACACCTCCCAGGGCATACTCAAGAAACCGGCAATGCAAATACCCGCAGAATCACTCACAGTCGTCGCACCGAGCGAGAACTCGCGTTCTTCCTCCGGTACACGATCCGCAATTTCCGCAAATGTATTCACATAAACCAACCCGCCCAGTAAACCTTCCCAGAATATGATAGCAAAGACGATATACACATTGGGTATATAGTTAAACAGGGAGTGGGTAGTCAAGATGGCTAGGTTTACCATCTGCAGAATAGCGGGTAAGTAGAGATGATGCACGCGGAAGAAGGGCGTTGAGGAGCGAGAGATGAAAACGCCGACTTGGTAGATTGCGTTGTAGGCCGGATAAAAAGCGCGGAAGTTCTTGAATGGTGTCGTGTAGAGTGGGAATAGGAGGGTTGGGGCCACGCCTTGGTTGATCACGTACTCGGAGACGAAGACCACGAGGAGTGGGAGCATGCTAGAACAGTTCAATCAGAATCTATATACAAGAAGGAGGTTCGGGTTGCGGGGTTGCAATGTAAGATATACTTACAATGGAAAAAAAAAGTTTCCCCAGACGTCGCAGGTTCGTTCTTGTGCGCCCTGACCAAGTACCATAATCTGCGGTGTGCACCGATTTGAGAGTATCCGAATGCGCCGAGACAGCAAGAAGTCCCTGCGACTCCCCCGAGTCATCCTGTTCGTTGTGTCTATCTACGTCCATTTCATCTTCATTAGGGTGCTCATCTCTTTCAACGGCATAGTAAGACCCAGACCCAGACCCTTCTGCGGCCGCAGGGCCGGACGATTGTAGAGGCGCTCTGGGCAAAACAACGAAGAAAGCAAGAGCCATGACACTCGGCAAAAGCGCAGAGGCAAAGAGAGTCACATGGACCGATATATTCAGGGCCGAAGTTGCAAGGGCATATGCGCCCGCACCGACTAAGCCAGCGGCCCCGGTTCCACTCCCCCAAGCGGCCAAGCTGAACGGCCCGTAGAAATGGGTCAGTCCGACGAAGCTCAGTTCGCCACCTCCAGCTGAGAGACTCGCCAGGACGATTCCGGCGACCTTGGATGCGATCGTTCCCCCATCTGTGTAACTTGGGCTCATAGCCACAATGAGCATGCCGACGACTGAGAGGAAGACGAAGATTAGGACCCGGGTGGAGTATGGTACCAGATGGATGAAGTACGGGGCGATCAGCTTGGTTGCGAAGGAGGGAATGATATCCGCAAGGAGGACGAGGCCTTTGGGGATATCGGGGCCGACGAGGTCGAGCGCTGCGGATAGTAGAATCACATAGAGGACATTGTTGACCAGGCCTGCGAAGTGTCAGCGGGGTGCTTATGTTGAAGAGCTGTCGAGCACGATAGAACACCCACCAAACAGCCAGAAAGCGGCGCAGACCCGCGGGTCTGCGCCGCGGAAGACTGTCCTAAGTTTATCGCTCAGACGAGTCCATCGTGAAGATGTTGAAGTGACGTCTGTGGCAGGTGAATTATCGTGGAGTGACGTGGGGCGAGGCATTTGCGGCAGGTGGTCGCGTGAGGGTAAAGACTACAAAGGGAAGAAAGGCAGAGAAAAGAGAAGTAATAATAGGAATAGCCCTGGAGAGCAGAGCAAATTTCGTCTATGAGGTCAGTCTAGGGCCATGGTTTGCGTCGTAGGGGGGGCGTTCATCATATCTGATTAAGGGAGGTGATCAGGAAAGCAGCTCCACCTTCGAGTGAGCGGGAGCGGCGTGGTGATCCACCGCCAACTTTGGGAACGCGTGTCGTCGGCAGTTCCACTCTGGGGCTACTCTGTAGAAATACGAGATACGAGATACAAGAATGATTAGATGAGATCAATCAATAGCTGCTTTTATCTAAATACTCTATATGCACACAAGATGCAATATACTATCACACACTGGGAATATACGCTCGTCCCATGTTCATCAAAAAGGGAAAAAATGGTATATCAAACACATGTCGGAGGCGGCATCCAAACCAAACACTACCCAAGGCATATCTAAGACTTGGCCACAACGGAATCTAGAGCCTGCTCCAGAATGTTGAGACCGGTCTTGATCTGCTCCTCGGTGATGGTCAGAGGAGGTACGAACCGGATGCAGCCATCACCGGCAGTGATGATAAGCATGCCACGCTCGCGGGCGGCAGTAATGATATCAGCGGCCTTAGGAGACACAGCCGGGGTGAGTTGGAGACCAAGAATAAGACCACGACCACGGACCTCCTGGATCGCATCAGGGAACTTCTTCTTCAGGGCATCAAAACCAGCGTGGAAGATGGCCGACTTTTCCTTGACGGCAGCTTGAAGTTCAGGGTCGGCAAGACGGGCCACAATGTGGTAGGCCACACGGCAGGCCAGGGGGTTACCACCAAAAGTAGTTCCGTGGTCACCAGCCTTGATGTGGTCGGCAACGGTCTTGCTAGAGACAATAGTAGCACCGATGGGGATACCGTTACCAAGCGCCTTGGCGGAGGTGAGAATATCGGGGTGAGCAGCTTCGCCGGAAGCCGGGGCTAGGGAAGGGTGGCCATGGGCCCAGAAAGAGCCGGTGCGAGCCAGACCACACTGAATCTCGTCGAAGATCAGGACAGCGCCGACCTCGTCGCAACGCTTGCGCAGGGCAACCAGGAACTCGGGGGTAGCGACATTGACACCGCCCTCGCCCTGGATGGGCTCAACGATCACACCGCAAGTCTTATCAGTGACGAGGGTCTGCAGCTGCTCAATATCGTTGTAGTCTCCGTACTTGAAACCGGGGAGCATCGGCGAGAAGGGAGTTTGGTACTTGGGGTTGGGGGTCGCGGAGAGGGCGCCCATAGTGCGTCCGTGGAAAGAGCCGTTGAAGGAGACAAACTCGTGCTTGTCACCGGAGGGATCCAGAGTGCGGCCGACCTTGCGGGCGAACTTAATGGCAGCTTCGTTGGCCTCGGTGCCAGAGTTGGAAATGAAGACTTGGGAAGCATCACGCATAGCACCCGACTCGCGGGTGAGGTTGATCAGCAGTTGGCTGAGGGCACCGGTCCATGGGTTGTGATAGAGGTTAGAGGCGTGGATAAGAGTCTCGGCCTAGATTGAAACAAGGGTTCCTGGTCAGTATTGGCTTTGTACAAAGTTGTCGTGACTCATTTTCAAATGCGCACCTGCTCTGCGACAATCTTAGCGATCTCAGGATCGCAGTGACCAAGAGAGTTGACAGCGATACCAGCGGTCAAATCAAGGTAGCGACGATTCTCCATATCCCACAGATAGCAGCCCTGTCCCTTCATCATCATGGGAGCCGGGCGAACATAGGTCGGCACCATGAATGGGGCCCGCTCGTTGACAAACTTGACGGTGACGGAGTCGGAGGTAGGGTCGGGGTTTGGCAGGGAGACATCCTTCTATTCGACTGTTAGTTATATCTGAACACAAGAGCAAGACCCAAGCACAATATTATCGGTCAATTACAGCAATTGCGCCTACCTTGGCCTGGGCAGCGCTGGTAGCTGCGAATCGTCGCTGCAGCGGGGACTCAACCGAAGCGACCAGCTTAGAGGCGCGAGGGAGACGGCGCGCAGCCACACGGAGAACAGACATGACCACGGTGGTTATAGGGAGAATTGGTCGTGAGGTCCGAGAGGGAGAGGAAGAAGGGAGGAATCAAGTCGAGTTAAAGTCCAGTCGAGTCATTCACAAAAAAAGGCGATGTCGGCGACGATCGGCTTTAGTCAGGCCGGATCGGCGCCACTCCCGACGGAAGCGCCCCTCGCGACTCTTTCTCATTTGCAGAGCAAATCCCTCTTCTTCTCTTATTCTCTCGTCCCTCTGGTCCCATTCAATACCACAGACTTCACAAATCCCTCAATAAGTTGATTCGCCATGGCCTCCCTCATGCGCCGCACGTTTACTCTCACCTCCGCCTCCGGCCGACTCGCCATCCGTCCGCTGTCCACCACCCGCGTCTTGCGCACTTCCCAGGACGAAAGACCTTCTTTTGGATTCAAGAGTGGCCCGGCCCCTCCTCGCTTGCCTAAGGAGGAACAAGAGATCTTCGAAGAGCTTCAGCGCCGCTCCACGGGTGCTTTCACGACGCCCCAGGTCAACCAATCTCCGCAAGCCGAGGCCAAAGTCAACGATAATGGCGAGGAGCTGCACCCGGATGCAGTTAGGGGTGTAAAGCCCGAGTTTGAAGGCGAGAAGAATCCAAAGACAGGAGAAGTTGGTGGGCCCAAGAACGAGCCACTGCGATGGGGGTCTGGTGGAGATTGGAGTTATGGTGGACGTGTGACCGACTTCTAGTTGGATGTTACATGGTGTCGACTTGCATACGGCTGGCGTTGGTTACTTCTTTCCCCACTCTCGCTGATCATATTTAACTGCATATCTTAAATGGTTCGATCAATTGCCAGTGATGTACATATAATTGACTCGGCCGGAATCCGAATTGCCCTGTGTCACAAACATGGGTTATTTCTCGCAAAATTGTTGCATGCGATTGTTGTATTCTGCCCAGGTGAGACGAAGGGTGAAACATATCCTGGAATGAAAAACGCGTGGGGAATGGCTATAAATTATGGTAATGACAGAACGCCTGCTCTTCAAACTTTTGACAGCCGACCCAAGGTAGCCTTGCCCGCGCGACTATCATTGATGCGGCCCAGCTCACCACTGATCCATGACCCAATCTGCGACATTTCCTCCAGGCTGATACCCGTATGCATTCCCAAGCTGTGGATGGTGTGAATCAGATCCTCCGTGGAGACATTGCCAGTGGCACCCTTGGAATACGGGCATCCTCCCAGGCCTCCAACACTGCTATCGAAAATACGGACACCATGCTCCAGTGCGACAATAGTATTCACCAAGGCTTGTCCGTAGGTGTCATGGAAGTGCAACGCCAGGTCGGTGTTGGCAATCCCCGCAGCCTTGAGAGCTTTGAGAAGCTCCACAGTTCGGGGTGCCGTCCCCATGCCGGTAGTGTCGGCCACCGAGACCTCATCGGCACCCATCTCCAGGAGGGTTGCCGTGATATCCGCCACCTTGGTTGGGCTCACCTCCGGGCCTTCGTAAGGGCATCCGAGAGCAACTGATACATAGCCACGAACTCGGATATCCTTTGTCTTGGCCAATGCGACGATTGGCTTGATGCGCTCCAAAGACTCGGCAATTGTACAATTAGTATTGGCTTTAGAGAAAGCTTCTGTGGCGGCTGCAAAAAGGGAAATTTCGGTGGTGGTAGCGGCTTTGGTTGCGGAGCCTGGTGCATCAGCAGGGACGCCGGTGGAGTCCATGATCTTCACCAAGCTTTCCAGTCCCTTGATATTTGGGACCAGATAGTTGTATGCGATTGTTGTGTTTTGAGATGGGGGTGGGGATGTCAGAAGGTGCTCGCAGATTTCAGCGGTGCTTGCCATCTATGATTCCCATACATATCAGATCAGTCAGTCTATCCCCTCATACGACCGAGGTGCGCCGAGAGCTCTATACCTGTGGTACCCATTTAGCGGGGACAAATGAACCTGCCTCGATGGTGGTGACACCTGTCTTGGCCAACTTCTCGATCAACTCCAGCTTTGTTTCCTTTGGGATTGCCTTCTTTTCATTCTGTAGACCATCACGAGGGCCAACCTCAACGATGCGAACATGGTCCGAGGCTAACCGCGACTCGGTCGCAAAGCGGCGGGTAGATAGAGGTGCCCGGAAGGTGGAAAGCAGACGTAAACGGGGACGAGAGGCCATTGTGGAAGCCTTGAAGGTCAAATCTGTCGAGTTTAGGTAAAGGAGGAGAAAAAGGAACCAACAGTAGAGAGTAAGTAGCAGTAAGTCGAGAGGAGGAGAGAGTGGGTGTGATCACTCCGCATCAGTTGGAGAGCGCCTTCCCTCTCTGGGACTAGCGCTATCAGCCCCACCGCAAAAAATGAAAGCCGCGGGGTTCCTGCGATCATCCCACTTCCTTGTCATTGTCATTTTCATTGTCATTGATTCAATCATGGAGGATCCTACCACTCAGACAAGTCCTTTGCGACAGCCAAAGAAGCGGTTTGTTGGTCGACGCACTGCAGATGCTCAGGCTCAGAAGGATGCAGGCTCCGGTTCCCAGCAAGATGTCGAGTCTACATCTGTGCAGCGAGGTATGAAGAATTTGTCAAAATTATATATCTTGACCTTCAATTCGGTGATATTAACAGTTTATTTTCCACAGCTGCTCCCCGACGTACGCCTCGAACCTTGAACCAAGTTCCACCCGAGATCCTGAACGACCCGGAAATCCAAGCAGCCATTGAATTACTCCCCAAGAATTACTCCTTCGAAATCCCCAAGACCATTCATCGTGTGCGCACATCCGGAGCCAAACGAGTAGCCCTACAATTTCCCGAGGGTCTCTTAATCTTCGCTACAACCATCTCCGACATCTTGACGCAATTTTGTCCCGGCATCGAGACTCTGATCATGGGCGATGTCACCTACGGTGCTTGCTGCATTGATGATTACACTGCGCGAGCGCTTGGTTGTGATCTGCTAGTTCACTATGCGCACAGTTGCTTGATCCCCGTTGATGTCACCAAAATCAAAACCCTTTATATCTTCGTCGATATCAGTATCGACACTGCCCACTTGATCGCGACCCTTGAGCGAAACTTCCGGCCCGGCCAAACTATCGCGACAGTGGGAACCATTCAGTTCAACGCAACCCTCCACGGTCTCAAACCAGTTCTAGAACGGACGGGCTTCAAGGTCGTGGTCCCGCAGATCATGCCACTCTCCAAGGGTGAAATTCTAGGCTGCACATCACCTCAGCTTTCCAACACCGATATTGATGTTATTCTCTATCTCGGTGACGGTCGCTTTCATCTTGAATCTGCTATGATTCACAACCCCACCATCCCTGCATACCGCTACGACCCTTACTCCCGCACGCTGACCCGTGAGAGCTACGACCACCAAGAGATGCACACCATCCGACGCGATGCCATTAACACCGCCAAATCTGCCAAAAAGTGGGGAATTATTCTGGGATCATTGGGTCGTCAAGGAAACCCCAACACAATGGCCATGATTGAACGTCATCTCGCTGAGCGAGGTATCCCGGTAGTGAATCTGTTACTGAGCGAGATTTTTCCCGGCAAGCTGGCGTCAATGGCTGATGTCGAGTGCTGGGTTCAAATTGCTTGCCCACGTTTGAGTATCGACTGGGGTTATGCCTTTGCGCGCCCGTTGCTGACACCCTACGAAGCACTTATTGCATTGGGCGTCCGTGAGAACTGGGACAAGGAGAACGATGGCGTTTACCCGATGGACTTCTATGCTAAAGAAGGCCTTGGTCGAACGAAGCCAGAGCAGGCCGCTTGCAGTGCCGCTTAGATGGTTGATCAGTCCAGTGTTGGATGCATTTAAAAGAATATCAAAAAGTATATACCCCGGGATAGAGCCCAGCAGGTCTGGCCAATTGGAAATAGACAAAATAGAATCTACATCACATCGTTCTTCATCTCAATCGCATCGGTGATATCTCGCTTTGCTTCGTCAAGCTTGAATTGGTGCATCGGAAGCTCTGTCCAGAGACTCTGTTGAGCAACGCCTTGCCAGATCATAGCTTCTGTGCCAAATAGCACATTCCAGCCCATCTCCTCGCAGCGATTGAAGAAGTAAGTCCGAGGATTAGGATGATAGCACATCTCCAGAACAAATCCTTTGTCTTCCTTCGCCAGGAAAACATCCACGATCTCTCTTGCAAGAATCTCGCCCTTTTCTTTCGGTACAATATCCGGTACTGTCCCAACAATAAGAGCCGGTGCCTCCAACGCAGCAGCTTCGGCTGTTGATGAAACAAAAATGAACTCGATATCCAATCCCACAATTTCAAAGGAGCTCATAATACCCCGAACTTCGCTCTCAACGCGGTTCACCATGTAGATTTTGCTTACACCCATCCATTTGGAAAGGGCATAAACCGCCGCCCTACAAGCCCCCCCCACCACCAATCACCAGAGCCGGTCTTCCAAATGACTGCGCAGGAAGCTGAGGATAATTCTGGAGAAAAGCCTCACGAACTCCAATGGTGTCTGTGTTCGTACCGATATATCGGATTTTTCCATCTTCGGCTCTGCGAAGAAAAATGGTATTGATCGCACCAACCATGCGCGCTTCTTCTGTAAGATCGTCCACGGTAGAGAGCATTGTGACTTTAAAGGGCATAGTGACGGCGCAGCCGATGATATCTGCCTGTTTCAGAGTAGGCAGAAACTTTGAAGTGTCCGTTGTCTCTAGTAAGGAAAATGTCCATGGTATGCCTACTCCCCGGAAAAGATGCCGATGGAGTAGGGGGGGCCAGAGAATGGCGGATTGGGTAGCCGAAGAGAAAGGCCTTCATCTTGGCGTTATGTTCTGTCGGTGTCTTGAAGATAGATCCATATTTGTATGATGCTGCCAGAATATCGTCTGGGCTTGACCCAGAAGCCATGTTGCAAAAAGGGAATTGAGGAATATTTGAACAATTTATGAGTTATGATCGATCAAGAGTGCAGGATGATGGATTTCAACAGACCCATGGAATATTTATTATTCAACTGAACGCATGATCAACTATTAGCTCCTTGGTACCTTACAGTGGATTTCGGCTAAGAGCAAGGCCGATGCCGTCGGAATTCAATGGTCGAGAGCCTTGAGTTCGATACAATGACATAACTAGGTACGAACGGGTCGAGCAAGAATCTATCTACCGTAGATTCCAAGGTTTAAGAGCACGAAACGAGCGAAAATCACAGAGTCTGTCTATTGGTCAACTCCTTTTAAAGCTGAAAGGATATTAGCTATTTACAGCAACCCGGCCATCTCTTTTCTCGTCTTCTCTCGCTCATGCTCAGAAACAGCTTCAACCATCTTCTCCTTGGGCGGCTCAAGACCCGTCCAGAGATTAAACTGATCATATCCCTGCGCCAGTAGCACTTCTAATCCTGTAATAGTTTGCCATCCTGGATGTCTCCGAGCCACTGTCAGGAGCGGAGTCTGCCTAGGCTTGTATGCCATCTCGATACAAAGACCCGAAGAGCCAAATATCCCGGAGAACTGATCTTCAGTCGTAACAGTTGCCGGCACAGTCCCGATAATCACATCCGGCATGAGAGGCAATTCCTTCAGGTTCGACAGTATAGTAAGCTCAAAGACAGGGCTGAAATCCTCCTTAACCTTTTGAGCCACTGATTGTGTGCGGTTGATAAGGTAGATGTGTTGAATGCCTGATCGATACATCGCATATAAAGCAGCCCTGGACGCACCCCCGGCACCGATAACCAATCCGACGGTCGGTTGCTGGGTTGCCACTTTGGAATAATCCGCGATGATGGTGTGTAGCCCCGACCAATCGGTATTATCACCAATGACCGTCCGACCCTGGCTTGTTTTTTTGATGACCAGTGTGTTGATTGCCCCGATCAATTTTGCTGTGTCTGTCTGCTCGGTACAGTATTTGTGAACTTGCAACTTGTGTGGCATAGTCACACTCGCGCCGCCCAGTTTCTCGTCGGAGATCAAGTCTGCCACATCGTCGATGCTAGGTGACTCGCGGATATCGTATGTGTAGGGTAGGCCATAATATTCGAAACCAGCGTTGTGAATGGTGGGTGAAATGCTGAATGAGATTCCACTGCCAAATATGTGGAATGATTTGGGCTGCTGGTCGTTCATTGTGGCCATTGAATAGGTGGTTGATTCACAATGCTGGAAATACTGGAAGTGAACTTGGGATTCTCCGAGGCAAAGTTGTTCTTCCGCTTGAATTTTTTATAACATTTTTTTATTTGTTCTCAATATTGTCATGATCTATCTACTAATTCATTTCCAGGTTCGGTTATGGATTTAGCCTTCTTTTCGTCATCCGCCACACTATGCCGGTTCGAACCAGACAAGACTCACATAGGATATGATTTCATCCGTCTCTAAATATGATCCTTCAGCTAAATGAGGGGTCTTGCCTTGAGATATAATTCGAAAGAAAGGATACCTTCAAGGGCTTATCACGTTGAACTCGGTCCTCAGCAAAATGTCACAGCAGCAAGAGATGTCTCTACATCTTGTTGGAGTTGGTGTTACGCATTCTATTGCGCCAAATATGCACAACTACATCGCCAAATCTCTCGGTCTGCCTTGGAAATTCTATGCGACCGAATGCCCAACCACAGAAGATTTGCTCAATCTGGCCCGAAACCCTGACACAGCTGGCCTCGTTGTCACAATGCCCTACAAGGGGTCGATTATGGAGCACCTCGATGAGCGTGACGAACTCGCGTCCATAATTGGTGCATGCAATAATGTCTATTACAAGAACGATGGCTCCAGGCGAATTTGTGGCACCAACACAGACTGGAGGGGAATCAAGGGCTGTCTACTAGAGAAAGGCGACGAGAAGACCAGACCTTCCTCTACATCTCCTGCATCGGCTCTGATCATTGGCGCTGGTGGAGCAAGTCGGGCGGCTGTCTACGCTCTCAGCGAGCATCTTCATTGTCCAACAATACATGTTTTGAACCGCGACGATGAGGAGGTAGTTGTCCTCATTCGTGATTCGAAAAAACTTCCCAATCCTCCCAATATCGTCCATGTCAAAACGATTGCACAGGCCAAGGAGCTAGCGAGCCCCTACTACATTGTTGGCACAGTTCCTGACCTCGAGCCAAAGACGGAAACTGAAATCCAAGTCGCTTCCATTGTGAAGCATTTTATGTCTCGATCGGAGAAAGGAGTATTCCTGGACATGTGTTTCAAGCCGAGAAGAACTCGGATGATTAAGTTGGCAGAACAACTTGAATATCCCAGTGTTGAGGGTACACATGTCATTGGATATCAGATTGAGGAGCAATGGCGTCTGTGGGCTGGAGAGGAGGTTTGTCAGAAGTTGAATAGGGAGGGTGCGTGGGATGTTCTACTGAAGGCTGCAGAAGAAAGCAAGGGCATCAATTTTTAATTCTTCGTTTGGGATACATCCTCCAAAAAACTCAATATTTTTGGCAATCATAGACTGTATCTTGGAATTTCGAAGTGTGAATCTAGCTTTGTTTTTTTTTTACACAACTACTAGTGATTATCAGGATCTTTAAATGCATACAGATATGTCGATTCATGCCTTCCAAGGTTTCTAGTTCGAATTAAGTCTGAACATGATCTTAAAATCACTAAGTCGATATAGAGTTGTTTATATCTAAGATCAAGACGACCATTCGCTTTGAACTGATAGTTCTTTTCGCCCTTTATCCGTTAGCTGTAAATGAACCGTGGTAGTTATGCTTGATATAATCCAGCTTGAATCCAATGCCGAAATGTGTGACATCCAACATCATGCCGCGCATGCGGGGGTGGCGTCGGCAATGACATTTGCCGATACTGGATGATCCGACCGGATAATCCGCGACTCATATATTTAGGAACCATGAGATGCATTCGATTTAAGGTAAGATTATATACTGAAATCATTCGTCAAACAAAATGGTCGATTTACATTCTTTGCCCGAGGGTTCTTGGCCCGAAAACGCCATCCGCAACAATGGCCCGGACAGCCTAGTCCTCGAGCGAGCCAAGCTGCGCGAGCTTGCAGAGGGATGGCCGTGCTACCGGTATGTATTCTGCTTTCTCTATGTGGCTTGGACTCTCTGGCTGATATTATTAGCGATTCGTGTGAGTGGGAGAACTTCGAATCGATCTTTCACAACGATGCCCATGTGTATACCACCTGGTCCGGCCGCGTTCACTACAAGGATTTCATGGCGGCATCGAAAGCCGGTATGGACAAGGGTGCCTTCATTATGCACCGCTGCCATGGTGTTACAACAGATATCACACCCGATGGAACTCGTGCAGTGACCAAAATGAAGGCGACGATCACCCAGCGATTCACCATCGACGGCTGCGAGGTCGATGCAGAAGCTGATTGCCGCTTCTGCTTTTTCTTCGAAAAGATTGATGGACGCTGGGGTGCTCAGTTTGTTCGACACTGGTATGAGAAGGATAAGCTTTTGCCAGTCAACCCGAACAAAGTTCCCAGAATCAACGAGGAAAAGCTCAACTCTTATCCCGAGGGATACAAGTGCCTATCGTATTGCCAGGAGCTCACGATGGGTGTTACCGTTCTGAAGGATATGCCTGGACATAGACGACATGTTGGAACTGTATGCGGGGAGAAACATGATCTTTTGTACAGACTCTCTAAGGACTGGCTGGATGGAAAACGCATTGATGTATAGGTTTAATTTGAGTACTATGGCACGCGTTTGGCCCAAAATCATCATTCGTTAAGATTCGAGTTTCCATTTAATACCTAGTAATGAAGTGGAGGAGTGGGACATTGCTCCTACGCTGGTTATATTGGAGTTAAAGAGCCACACACGGATAGAGGAGACAGAGATTATGAAGATAAAGAAGAAGGTGTCTTTGTTGCTCTCATCATGGTAAACAGGCCATTGTAAATAACTATACGGAGTACGGAGTACGCATTCATGTCATAACTTGAGCCCTGCTTGATCTATCACATTCAAGTTTCGCTTTGTATTTCTCTGCAGTCACGCCCAACCACACTAGGCAACCTTGGAACATGTCTATTTCAAGTCTAGTATCTCTTGGAACTTCTTCCAAGCCCGAATACCCCTTGCCGCATGTTGATCCGGTACATGTTTCCCTTCTTCCGCCATTGTCCTCGAAAACAATTCCATAGACACATAACCGCTATACCCAAGACCCGATATGATTGCGATAGCCACGTCCTCCGCAGGCAAGTACGCGCCTCTTTCCTCCTCGTACATGAAGGTTCTAGCGTTCCGCGACCAGCTCATTCGTGCCGGTTGGCCATCAACGTGGAACGGATGACCTGCCACTAAGGGTGATTCCATACGCTCGGCGTCAACTACTTGGATATAGAAGACTTTTGAGACGTCAACCTTTTTCACGAGCTTCTCCAAGGAAAGTTTCAAATTCTCGTCCGCATTTGGCGTTTTGCCCGTCGGCAACGCAGGATCTGCCCATTCAAGCCCAGCGATATTGAAAGTATCGAGACACATGCCGAAATTAGGTCGATCCACAAGTTCGACCACATCCCATGCTTTCTCCCAAGTATCGATATGGGTACTCCAGCAAAGATTTTCGTAGGCAAATCGAATTGAAGGATTTTCAGCCGCGCCCATATCCGCAACTTGGCGCAGGTCGGCGGCAATCACCTCTCGATCACCTGTTAATTGCTCCGCCGGAAGAAAATTGGCTGGAATTTGAATAGTATTGGTACCAAGACTCTTGGCTATTTTGAACCAAAATTGCATTTTTTCGATCAAACGTGCATGTTGATCTCGGTCCTTAAGACCTTCATAGAAAAGGAATGGCTGAAGACCGATGATCTCAAGGCCTTGGACTTGACAAATCGAATGGACATTTTCTGCTGCTTGTAGAATGTGCTTGGATGTCGGAGAATCGTTTCCTGAGAGCTTGCGAGCAGCATAATCCAGATCTTCGTAAAAGACTTCAATGCCTGTGAACCCCGCTTTCGCGGCTTGCTCGATTTTGTAGTCAAGGTCGTGCAGCCAAGCGCGTCCCAGGGACGCACTCATGATGGCGGGCTTGTATTCCATATTGTGTAATAATATCGTTATAGAGAAGTGTTGAAAAGCTAAGTCATGAATTGCCACCAAGTTGATACTTAACGTCATATCCGCTAAAGGGTAAATTCTTAGCCTGTTCCTTCTGTCGGTCCAGAACTAATCCGAATTCTCATATCTAACTTGAAAGATAATTTAATTATTAATATTCTAATAACTGCCTACTTAGTATATAGTAGTAATTTAAATCTAAATTAATTCTACCAGAACGTAAATTTAAATTCAGTTCATTTGAGTATTTTTCTAGCAATTGGACTAAATTAACTCGACTGAAGCATAACTTGAACTAACCGATTCGAATTTGACCTGGAAGATTTAGCCTGGAATTGCCGTGACGGTACTCTACAGTACCTAGGTATTAGAGACCGCTCCAGTAGTCGCAGTCTACAATAACAAACGTATTTGTCAAAGCTTCTTCCACAACCAGGTTCGCCTTTGTTTCCTCTTCCCATCATCTTTCGCTATCTCCTTATATGGCGGTGGAAAGGGATCGGAAATTATACATGTGGCACTGTCTTGGATTTCCCTCTGATCCATGGTCTTTGCATCATCATTTGCACTTGCATCTTGGAGAGTAGATTGCGCGTTATCCGCAGAATCACTATTGTATTCCGGATTCAAACGTGGTTGTGTTCTAGGATTGCCGAAATAACCATCTGCTATTCGAAGCAGAAGAACTGGATTATCGCTCTCGAGTTCGTCCTTGTACTGCTGTTCAAAGCTCTCACCGTCGTAATTTTTGAAACTGAATCCTTTCCTCTCTAAACAGCAACGACAGGCCCATGTACAGTGACCATTTATGCCTTTTAGGTTTAGGTGACCTGCACGCTTTTCGCAGCAACCACAGTTTTGACCGCAACAACCACCAATGAGAACACAGTGACTAGTAAGAGTCTTGCGGAGATACCATCTGTAATCCTTCATAGCGAATCTGCGCATATAGTCAAGTGTTGCAGGAGGTAGAGCGAAATCTTTGAAATATAGGTTTCTTTCGCACTGAACGTATTTGGTATTCATTTCATTGCGCATTCCTTCATTCTCGCTGTCTTCTTTAACACCATTTTTGAGTTGAAGAACAACTCTAAACTGATATTCAGCCAGCAAAAAGTCGCTGATTATTTTGGAAGGAAATTCGCAAGTGAATCCCTCAACTTCAAAGCGGACCCGATGAAGGAATTTGCCAGTAGTGTCAGAGATCATTGGGCGAAAGAGTCCCGTAGGGAAATCTATCCACATGTGGTGTAGATCCATTACCTTAAAAGTAAATATAGAATGAATTTATTTGAGGGACGGGGAATAGCGGAAATTCAGCACTGGAGGAGTGAGAAAGAGTGTTGCAAGCATCTTGTCAAAAACGAGGTAGCTTGAATGCTTTTCATAACTTGAATGGGACACCCCGAAGACGTATTACCCCCGACTCCAAATAGGTACAGCATGGAAAGGTATGCTGATATTGACGTTGGCACGGGGTTTGAAAACTATACGATGATGTCCATTAGAAGACTAGTAGCTCCGAGAGCGGGAAGGAACCGTGGATCAGAACAGATAGCCTCAACCATAGGGTACTTTTCAGGAGTATACTATTTAGCAAGACCCCACACGTTTCAGAGCGAGTTTAGTCTAGGGTTCATCTGGTTCGGGGTACTTACTAGGGTACCTACTAGTTATCTTAAGGTAGGTAATAAATAATATACTAGTAGTAGCTTGTATGCCGATTACCAATCACGACTTGGGCAACCCCAATTGGGAAGGTGCTGGGTATATACTCGTAGTATGTAGGTAAGGAGCGACCCCGATGGACCAAACGACCTTAGTAGATCCCGTGACTGCATGGCGATGTGTAGGAGATTAGGATCATCGATTCTCTCATTTGATAGTGCTAGTCGACGGATCGCTGCAATTGAATCTGAACACTACAATCAAATTTATTCATCCAAATTCAGGGAGATTGGCAAACATGGCCAAGCTGATGGTTGTTCTCCTGCTCCTTTTCCTTCTCCTCGTAAGTCAATTGCACCTAACTTCTGAACAGACACACGTGTACGCGAGGAGGAGACTCAATCCGACGCCGACCTGGACGCCAATTGCTTTCGTCACGCGTTTTTCACGATTGCAAATTCCCCTAGAAAGCGGGTGAGACGACTTTTGAGTTATTGCATTTCCCCACGCCGCTTCGGACAAGATCCACGCTACCATGCATACCGAATCGTCCTCCAAGCTGTCTCTGTCTCCGGAAATTCATTGCGAATTCATTTCATCATTTCGGACCTTTGAGTACTGCGGGAGAGATCCCAGATGCATGTCTTATTCGCCGGAGCTGCAATGCCTTCCTTCGGAACCGCTCGTTCTCAAGCTACACTCCATGCCCGGGCTCGGTAACAATGTACCGGGCGTCATTGAGCTATTCGGAATGTCGGAAGGCCAGAATGACAACGGAGCTCGTACGCAGAGATGCTCGCATGGCTGCACTCCCAGGCCCAGCGAATATTGATGTGATGATCCCGTCAAGCCAGAATCCTCAACTACGAAAAGAGTCAAGCCACCGCGTACATGTGTGGCTCTGAAAGCAATTGGCTTCAATAATTATTACAAAAGATTGAAAGTTTGCTAATGTGATCCCTCTACAACTATAGCTCTTCATTATCGAGGCCGGTGCTCTTTCTCTGCCACCTACTGGGCCCGATGGTCGCCACTCGCTTTCCTCGGACGAACTTCTTTCCTCGGACGAACTTCTTGCCTTCGCTCTCACCTTTCACAAGGAAATCAGTCAGTAGCCATTCCAATTCCGCAGATTTTGGCTTTTAAACCTTGAGCTGGATGGATAGATATGACATTTCGTATCATCTGCATCGATGATTCTTGTCTGATGTAGACTCGATGAGGTGTAGCTTGAGGCGGTCTGTAAATGTTTTTCCACCAGTAGATAGAGATACACTGGCAATTAAATAGACGCTGACGATATAATTATAGGCAAAGACGACAAGGAGTCGAGCGAGCTGAAAAGACTCGTGCACCAACTCGACATATCCACTAAGATCTTGCAGTGGGTGCAAGGCCTCAAAATCTTTGTTCCAGTGGCCGTAGCCTTTTTCGTTTGGGTCGTAAAGTCCTCGCCCGGATGTTGGGCGGCAAGGGCTGTAAACCCCTGGACTTGGAGGAAGAGCTGGGTCAAGGCCAAGAAGGCCAAGGAAGAGGCCTATAAATTCAACGACGTTGAGCTCGGGGTTTTGGGGACCGAAATGGCAAATGGCAGGCTGCTGAAGCTTGCAGAGCGGGTGGATGAGGTGGATGGCCGGGTCACCGATAATGGGAAGCGCATTACCTTCAACAAGGAGGAGTCGGACAAGGCGATGCTCAGAATCATGACCCGTCTGGCGGACCTGGAGCGAGGACGGACCGGGGATCCCAATCTTCGTCATCGTGGTGGAATGATACGCGCGCGGACTCCATCCTGCGAAAGTCCGGGGGTGACTACCCCCCTGAACGCCCTGGAGGTCCCAAGAATGACTAGTTACTATTATTATTTTCTTTTGATGAATGAACATGCCACAAATGGCTGATGACTGATCTCACTCACGCACAATGGACTATAGTGTACCCAGGTAGAGAATCATAGGCACTAAGGAACTTTCAGAAACCAATGGATATTCCAATGAGATGTTTATTTAGCTAGTACTCAAGGCCAAAACAAATATCTGCTTAGAATACTACCTAGGTAATCAACTGCTACTGGGCGAGCTTTTGCTTAGAGGTACCATACCTAGGTACACGGGTGTAATCCTCTCCGTTCTCCGAAAACCTTGGAATATAACTTCAAAGCTTCGACTGCGTCTCACGGCCGGGGGTATCTCTTGCAAACTTGTAATGACTAGCCGCAAATGTGTTATTGGTAACTGCAGCCACCGTACTGATATCGAGGGCAAGGGAGAAACACGCAATGAGACCCGCCAAACGAGGTTTGGATCCTGGGCCAGTACATCCAAGAATCTCCAACGCTTCTCTCTGGGTATCTAAAGTGGTACCGCCGCCAACAGTTCCAACTGGAAGACTCGGGAGATATGTCGATACACTCAGTTCCTTGGTTTCATCATTGAATTCAGTGGCCAAGTGACTCCACGCTGATTCCGCAATGCTACCAGCGTCTTGACCACACGCAACGAACATTGCCGCAATCACATTCACCTGGTTGATATTATAGCCCAGTTGCCCACTCCGTGTAGCAGCTTCCTTGCTATTCTGGATAAGCTGATAAAGATCCCAAGTTGAAATGCCGAGAACTTTCTGGCAAGCTTTCGGTGTGACCGTCCCCCAAGCCATTACAGCCACGCCGCGTGAATGGAGGATATTCCTCCAAGATAGGGATTTTTCCGCAGATGTCTGGCCCTCAATAGTGATCTTCTGAAGGTTCACTACCCGGGCATTATCTGATGCTGCGAAAGTATCACATGCTTTCTCCGTAGCGAATGTAGCCATGTTCTGGCCCACGGCATTTCCACAGTAGTATTCAAAAATGACGTGAACAGTGCTGCCGATGAGTTGAGGTTCAATCCTGACGAGCTTGGCATGTTTGCTAGTGGATTGTGCAGCGTCTCTAAATTCGGAGAAGAGGTTTGGTACCATATCGTAGAATGATATGGCGTCTCCCGGTGAAGAGAACCAGAAAACAGGTCCTCTCGTCATGGTCTCTCGGAGTACTTTGAATTGAACACCACCGCCAGCATTGAGGACTTTACATCCACGTGAGCAGCTTGCGACTAATGTAGCTTCACTGGTTGCCAATGGGGCATGGAAAATACCATCGGTTCCATCGGTACCCTTGACGCTCAGAGGACCAGCAATTCCGACGGGTACTTTGACAGAGCCAATGCAATTTTCAATCTTGGCTTTTTTGATGGTATCTTCATCTTTGTTGATGTGTTTGAGTTTTGATGTAATACCGCTGAGTGAGTTCATCTTCAAGGTAGAAAAATGACGCAATTGTTATTTTATATCCGAAAGGAATGAGAGCAAACTTTGGAACTCTTACCAGATGACTTAAGGACATTTTTAAACAATTCCGAAAGCTGAAAAGATTCACCCTCATCAAGCCTATGACGGAGAGTGCTCCACACTTCCCACTTACGCCCCGCCGATCGATTCTTCCCGGAAAATATCGATGGCATTGAGATCGAGAATGGCAGTTTCTTCAGGTTCTTCCAGAGTGACAATGTTTCTAGCTTCTTCAAAATGGATGATTCATTGCAGCAAGAATTGACCTCATGCAGCAATAATCTGTCAGTCTCAAATAATTGCATAAATCTGAACCTTATCTCCTCGTATTATTTACGGTAGGAGGGGTGACGATCTTCGCTAGGATACCGAACAGGTGTCTTGGCGTTCATCTAATGTTTTATTTCTCCATTTCACTATATTCCTCTAGAGGTGAAAGCTTTTACCATGAATTCTTGCATTACTGAATCATAAATACTGAACTGTGGTGCAATAAAGTAGACATATGATGTCTTTAACCACTTCATGACTTATATTTTGGAATGGAGGCTATTTCCGCAGCAATCTATTGCAGCGGCCGCCTCATGACGTTTAGGTGGATCGGAGAGGAGCGGAAAACGAGAAATTGTGGGAAATGATACGCATGTTATCAGTGCCTACACGCCCCGACCTCCTTTCGTGGGTCGAAGTAAAAGAATTGGCCTGCAAAATGGTCAGAATATGGATAGCCCTATACAGCATGCTGGTATAGATGCTGGCCGAAAGTTTATAGAGATGGTTGCCACTATGGATCGCTGCAAGTTTTATCGCTTAATTCCGTCACACCGACTTTTAAACGCCTTTAAACTATTTGGCACTGGACGTCATGATAACTCTATTCCAGTGGATTGTAGCGAGAACTGAGAGTTCATTGTCGATCATTATGCGTCATGGGCGGTGGAGTGAAATGACAATCGATATCCTGCATCGGATCTGATGTCTATGGTAGCGGCGACACGATGGAGAGAGGCCAAAGACATTAGAGATTGGAGGACTAAGTGAGCTTTGGAGAAAGAGTGAGGCTATTCACGGTGGAGTATGTAAAGAAGCTATACCATGGTTCCACACCTTCACGCAGGCGTGATGTTTGTTGACAGCCCGGGACTCCAGGCATATTTATTTCTTCCCAATAACCTCCCTAACAGCAAATTCAACCCCGACCTCATACCCATATGCCCCAAGCCCAACAATAATACCCCTCGCTTTGTCCGACAAATAACTATGCGCCCGAAATTGCTCACGGGCATGCACATTCGTAAGGTGAATCTCCACAAACGGAATCTGAACGCCAAGCAACGCATCGCGAATGGCAACACTCGTGTGCGTAAATGCGCCGGGGTTGATGAGGATCACGTCGGTGTTTCCGCGCGCTGCCTGGATTCGGTCCACGAGGGCGCCTTCGTGGTTTGATTGGAAGGTTTGTAGGGTTATGCCTTTTGATGTAGCCAGGTCTGTCATGGCGGTTTCGATATCTGCGAGGGTTTTGTGGCCGTAGATGTGTGGTTCGCGGGTGCCGAGGAGGTTTAGGTTTGGGCCGTTTAGCAGGAGGATCGACATTTTGGGTGAATGGGGCTGGGTTGGCTATTTTCTTGGTGTTTGGATGATGGATCAAGTTTTGATGAAAGGTATAGGTTGGTCCAGGTTTTATGTACTAGTACTTGTGGTATTTATAATAGTATTCGAGTTCAAGTAAGTTACGGATGTGGTTGGTGCTCAGTTGGTGAGGTCGGTTGTGGACTTAGCCGACGGGATAGTATACTATGTACATTTCATACTTCCTGGGGGTAACTTGCTTGAGGCCAACTACTAACTAACTGGGTACCTACCCCGTATACATACTTAATAACTCCTATTAGAGGAAACTCTGGTCATTGAATATTTTAATCTTGAATCGTATAAGACCAAGGCCGATTAGGGCGAGAGCTTTATTTTAACTCATTGGTGGATGTTGTAGCTGAGCTAGGAAATCTGTGTCTAGGTCTCCGTCGTAGAAGCCGAGGTTCTGCGCAAAGTCGGGTTCTTGCCTTGATATTTTTAGTTCCAGAGTATTTACTAGGTGAATGCGGATGGGTACGTACCTGCTGGCCGGGAACGAAGTGACCATTTCCTCGAAGAGTGCGTCGTACATCTCTGCGTCGCCGGTTCCGCCTAGGGACTGCAGTGATGGAAATTCGTTGGATGATGGGATGGTTTGAACGCTGATGACCGATGAGGGCTCAGTCTGTGGCGGGATGAATGGTAATGGAGTTGAATTTGAGAGATCTGCTATTGCGGGAATTGATAGTGGATTTTCAAGAGTGGCAGGTGGTTGGGTTTCTTGTTCGAGGGAAGGGATGGGGAGGATTGAGTGTGAAATCTGGTTGTTCCATTCTGCGTGATTGATTGGTTTGAGGGGGTGTAAGAAGCTGGAAATTCGATCTTGAAGGGGTCGGGTATCGGAAAAGTTGCCAATCGTCAGGGACTTTTGGCACTGCAGGGCGAAGCAGAGAATGAGAGGTGATGACCCTGCTGCCCCGGTGATTTCGCGGTAATGATCCAGAATGTCAAGTATATGGTGAATGGTGTTTTGAAATGAATCTTCAATCGCAGATGAGTCCCGCTCAAACCTGCGATAAATTGAAAGTATGGTGAAAGCTGACACGAGATGGAGGTTCAAGAGTGAAGGGGTGGCATAATTTCGTCGGTCGTATGGATGACTTTGAGAAAGGGCGTTCTGTTTTGTTCGTAGATCGTTTAAAAGACTTTCAATACCGGACAGACCCAAGGGGCGGTATAAGGTCCGAGAAAGTTGTTGCATGAGCTGCTGAATGTTGTTGAATATGCTTAATGCTCGTAAGGGTGCAGGCATTCTCAGTCTCTCTCCATCTATACCAGGCTGAGACGGAGACCACACGTCCCACTCTTCTAAATCATCTTCTTCGACTGGACCACAAATCGATTGCTCCTCCTGGGAAAGGCAGGGAGCTCGCCCCAGTATAGCCGATAAAATGTTGTCCAGAAGGACACACGCATTGAAAACGTGGTTGAAACGGGTCTTTCTCGCAGACAGTGAGAAACTTATCAGCATTCTCGATGCTTTTCCAACTAATCTCCATGCCTGATTGATATTCCCCATGGCTATATGCATCAATACAAGGATGAGCATCGCCTGAATGTACCCTAGGTCCAAAGCTTCCCATCGCATCAATGCTTGCTGTTCGATGGCAAGTTGAATGGTCAATAAGTTAGGTGTTCCTGGTTGCTCAATCCCTCGCATAGCCGATGTGTATGCGACCAGAGACCATAATACCATTCTGGATGATAAGTCTCCTTGAGCAATTTCGTTCTTATTGCCGTTGCCCAAGTGCATGGCACGCAAAACCGAACGACGTTCAAGGATTGGAAACCAGCAATGAGTGTAGGTGAAATAAAAGTCGACAAGATCCGATATTCTCTCCGGCACTTGCACATTCATGAAAATATTCAAGTGTGACACATCGTTTGGTAGCTTTCGAATAGTCTCGGGCTTAGCGGCCTCTGGATTTGATGGCGTACTATCAAGATCGGCCATAGTCTCGTCATTATCCTGAGACCCCACAGGTTCCCCGGGCTCCCACTCAGAATCATCGAACACCTCATCTTCAGACCCCGGTGAAATCAGCAGTGACAGATCTCGGTATGCTTTGGATTTTCGCCAAACTGAGACAGAGCGTTTTGCAAGCTTGCTTGTCAGGAAATTGCCCTGGCCTCGCGAGTCTCGAAGTACATTGTGCACTGTATTCGGAGTATTCGGAGCATGCTGAAAGATCAGGCCCAGGGCAATCTCCAGGCTCCGTACATAGCCTGATGGAAGTCCTCGCCGGCCCCCGCCAGTCTCATAGGTGCAGGCCCGATTAGCCTGGCTGCAAATGGAGCAAACGGGCTGTTCCCCATCACACTTCGATTTACGTCGACGGCACTGATCACAGGCACGGTAAATGCGTTGCCGTTTCAGCGGACGTGGGTCCGACATTTTGATGCACTTCATAAGTGAAATAAAGCTATTTCCGATGGTCGTGAAGCACAGCGATCCAAGGTGGCAACGGGTCATGTGATCGGCTTGACTTTAACCGGCGATGAGCTGCTTTCGACTTCAACGGCAAAGCGATGGCAAATACATTCAAGAGTCATCACGATTCTTGCAGCTGTGTCAGATAACGCCTGTGAAGAAAGACTTCCATCGAGATGAGTACCGTCGCTGGCTCGACAACTCATGGGAAGCCTGGGAGCCCTCACGTAGCGCTTGCGAATGAGGCTCTGGGGTTTCACCGGCATTATGATCCACATTCTACCCTGATACTAGTGGGCTTTTTCGGGGCCGGCAAAAGAACATTGGGCATCATCGCATCAGTTGCGCTGCGACGCCGCTTTATCGATTTTGATTCATATTTTCAACAACAAGTCCAGTCTTCACCACAAGATTTTATTGCACGACACGGACTGGCGCAATATCGCGAAATCGAACTCAAGATCTCGCGGGAACTTCTTTCCAAAAATGACAAAAATTGTGTCATCGTTGGCCTTGGAGCCTTTGGAAGTCGTCCCCAGCTCACGCTGCTGGCGGAGTTCGCTCAGCAACACCCTGTTGTATACGTGAGACGAGATGAACAAGACTTGCGACAATTCGTCACGACAAGTCAAGAGAAATTCGACCGGATATTCGAGCTAGGCAATGATTTCTTTGAGTCGTGTTCCAACTTTGACTTCTTCAACCTCACTCAAGGTCAGCCTCAGCATAAGTCAGTCCCTGCGTACCTCAAGCTCAAAGAAACGGAGCGTCTATTCGTGACATTTCTACGTCGCATCTTTGGTTCATATATCCCGCAAACGTTCTCATCAGAACCCTTCTCTGCATCGCACACATTTGCCTTGGAAGTGTCTTCATCTTGGCTTGAAGAAAATACTCCAGACTTAGAACTCCTGGAAAGTGGCACCGATGCCATCACTCTGGTGCTAACACCTCACGAGGTAAATCCTACCAGGCTTGCAGCTAGGCTGTCACGACATATTGCAACTCTGCGAAAACACTCACGTGTTGCCATAATGATCGATGCAGAGGGGCTTTCTTCGATTCCCCAGGACCCCGAAAGCTACAGTCAACTTCTGGTAATGATTCTTCGCCTTGCCCCAGAGGCACTTATAATATCACTCGAGTGCGATAAAAATATTGTTCAAAGATTGAATACCTCCAAGGGCTATACGAAAATCATCGCTGGTCTTCACGAGAACCTCCCTGTGGGTTCGCGGCACGCAGCTTTAACTCCGGCTGCCCTCCACGAGAAGGTACAATCTTTTGAATTGAATGCGATCCGCCTCACTGGGGAATCCCAGTTTCCCGATGACAATTTTCGGTGCTTGTCATTTATTCAAGAGGCTACGGCGTTGATCAGGCTACCTGTGATCGCGTACAATACCGGATCGTTGGGTCGAACCTCGATATGTCTAAATCCTACTCTTTCACCTGTGGTGCTGCCATCAACAACGCATGACGGACTCGGAGTAACTCTTCAGCAAGCACAATTGGCAATGGCGGGGTTCTTTCTTCTACCAAAGAAAAAGTTCACAATATTTGGCCAGAGCGTCAAGTACAGTCTCTCGCCAGAAATGCACCATGCAGCCTACGAGTATAGCGGTCTTCCCCATACATATGACACTACACAAGCTGACGACATATCTGTTGTTGATGAACTTCTGAATGACAAGGATCGTGGCGGTGTCACTATTTCTCTTCCATTCAAATCTGCTGTTCTGCCATACATCGATGAAATCACACCAGACGCAAAGGACATGCAGGCAGTCAATACTGTTGTGATCGAGCAAACTTATCAGCCCGATGGTTCACAAGCCACCGTTCGAAAGGGGTACAATACCGATCATATTGGAATTAGAGACTGTATCGATAAGCACCTCTCTCCCGCGAATGCTGTTCGAGACGGGACCACAGCTTTGATCGTCGGTGCAGGGGGGATGGCTCGCGCAGCAATATATGCCTGCTACGAACTAGGCGTTAGCCGAATCTGCATTTACAACCGCACGCACGGGAATGCGCAAAAACTTGCTGATTACTGGAATGACTGGGCTCAATCTAAGGCTGGGGCTAACCTACAGGTTGATGTTCTCCGTTCAGCAGATTCCTGGCCATTGGATACTCGCTTGCCTACTATTGTCGTGCCATGCATTCCTCCTTTCCAGATAGGCAGTGAACAACATCCTGTTGTCTTTCAAATTCCCGAGGAATGGCTGGAGAGTCGAACGGGTGGGGTATTCGTTGAGGTATTGTTTTTTTCCATCATGGTGAGCTGGGCCGCATACTGACGAGTACAGGTTGCATATGGTCCTTTTAAGACACAATTGATGGAGCAAATGCTGCCACGTGCATCTAAGGGGTGGGTTGTTGTGAGCGGCCTGTTGGTTTTGATCGAGCAGGGTATTGCTCAATATGAATTATTCACAAAGAGGCCTGCGCCTATTCATGTAATGCGGCGAGTTATCCAGGAGCAGTCGCTGAAATATGGATTCGTCCATCAATAATATTCCGATTGAGGCAGCCTAGTATTGGGCCAAAATCTCCCCTTGAAAGGGTCTGTCTCCTGATACTGTTCTAGCTTGGCGATATCCAACTGGTTTTCAAGTTGTTGTTGTTGTTGTTGTTGTTGTTGTTGTTGTTGTTGTTGTTGTTGTTGTTGTTGTTGTTGTTGTTGTTGTTGTTGTTGTTGTTGTTGTTGTTGTTGTTGTTGTTGTTGTTGTTGTTGTTGTTGTTGTTGTTGTTCCCAGCTTCTCGTCGTATCCAACTTTCCATTCGGATCTCGTTGTTGTCGCGATCGGCTCGAAGTGTTAGACATGTTTCGATATATCCATGGTTGGGAATCTCCTCTCGTGCTTCGCCGAGGCGATATTTTGTAAGGACTTCGCTGGCAATAGCCTTGCGGAGTTCGGCAAGAATATTTGCATGCGCAATCCGAGCGCCATACAGTTTTGAATCTCCACTTCAAGTTCCGGTAGTAATGTGTCCGTATATTGAGTCTTCCTGCCTTTCCCGGTGTTCCATCAAGAGAAAACTTGAAGCCCACTTAGCGTTGTCAAGCAATTATCAAATATATTTCAGGCTTGCATTATAAGAGTGTTGTGTGGGATAAGTTCAAGGAACTTAAACTTGAAGCAGGTACTACAGATAGGTCACGGGTCTCTTAGGATTGCTCCTTCCCCAACATACGTAAGGTTTCACTTTCGAGGAAAGAGCATCGTAGCTAATAATGTTGCATATAGCTGGCAGCTCAAGTCTGCCGTTCTGGTATTCATTCGTTGAGGGTTCCTAGTAAAAACAGATTCATAGTATACATGGTTGGTGACAAGAACCGGTCCAATCCAATCCAATCCAATCACCCCTTGGCATCATCCGCGCTGTCCGTATTAAAGTCGCTGGCACTACCTCGCCTCAAGGAAAGCACATTCTTGTATGCCAGTTCATCGGCCGTGCGCTCGGCGGCACGCCATCGGGTCACGGCCTGCTCGACATCCTTGAACATGTCCTTTGAGTCTTGGATGATACCGCCCTCTTCGCCGTCACTCGACTGCGTGCTCTCGCGAGAACCACGCTCGCTAATCATCGGGAAACCAGGACCGAAGCCTCGCTCCGGAACCGGATTGTACATGATTGCGTTGGCGAACATCCGGACAAACTCCTTCTCCAATTGGGCAGAGTTAACAATACCCTTCGGAGGTAGGAGGTCTTCGCTCTTTTGGAGCATGAGGACATTGTTCTTAGTGGGCGTTCCAGAGACAGGTGCCGGAGATTCGCTATCCCCTGCACCAGCCGGAGTGCTGACAGCCTCGGTTGCAGCGGCAACGGCTTTGCTTCCTTGGTGAACGGCCGACTTAATGGTTTTAAGATCTTGCGGGCGATAGATCAGGTCGTGATAGCCGGGTGCGTCGCGTTCTCCGAGTGGCTTGGCAAAAATGGAGGCCAACTTATGAGTAGTTACATCATTCAAGATGGGAGCCGCGGTTCGATGGAAACCTCGGGTGCACACCACATATCGAGACGTGTCAACCTTGGGCTCTTCGAATGATTCGCTGAGACCGCGCTTGCGCTTCGACCGTAGCTTGGGGGTTGAATCGTCGACACTCGGAGCAGCACCACTCCGGCGTCCTGGTCGAGAGTCACGTCTCGTGTCCGCTGCTGGAGACGCTTCGCGCGAGGCTATAGAACGCCCCCGGCTTTGTGAAGACGCTGAGCTAATCGCACGGTTTCTTCGATTGGCCGATAGTCGCTCGGTTTTGATGGTGGGGGTAGACTGGTCAGCAGTGGCTGCCTGGCTTCGTCTCGTCTTCCTTTCCCGTGTGCGTGAGGTGTTAAACGCCTCGGGGGATGAACCCCTCTCACTTATCGGGCTAACATCTTCCGGCCGCGGGCGAGCTGGGGATGTCGGGGAGTGTGGGATGCTTAAACGTGGAGTCCGCTTCCATGGAGTAGACGAGCCGGGAGTATCGATAGATAGTCGTGGGCGAGAGGCTCGAGTTTCGGAGTGCGGGGGAATCACCACGCTCGGGGTCTGCGAAATCTGTGGATATCCAATTGGCACAGGAGTTTGCGCCTCTGAGGTCACTGCGCCTGGCGTGCTTGGGACATTGGAGGAGACAGAGGTCTTGGAGTGTTTCCGCGATGTGACCTGGGAGGAAGGTTGAGGCTGCTTGGCACCCGCGGGACCAATATGAGAAGTAGCGGTAGGAGAGACGGCGGAGTAAGGTGAGTGAGGAGGGGGGGTCAAGCTGCCATTGCTGGAAGCTCGACTGGGTGGGGGTTGGTTCGGCGCCCACTTTGGTTAAAGGTGTGGGGAGGTTCGGCCGCGGGGCAATTTGTGATGGGTGAGGTACTGCAGTAGGTGGCGGTGCTGTGGGTGTTCCAGGAATCGGCGGTTGGGTTCGAGGGGCGAGTGGTGGGGGAACGTGGACCTGCGAAGGTTTTGGACCACTCGGTTGTGCTGGCGGAGCGGCTTTGTCTTGCGCGGCTGGTTCTTTCAACGCCTCTCCCGTCGCATTGCTAATAGGTTGGACATTGGCAGGCTGCGATTTTCCTACCACTTCCCTCGCATCATGCGACTCATCCTGCGGTCTTTTATGCGGAAGAGCTGCCTTCAAAGACTCCTCTTGCCGTGACACTTCCTGCTTCACGTCGATGTCCATCGGCTGAGGCGGAGTTTCGGTGGGTATGGGCGTTGCAGTGGTCGGTCCCATGGCTTTGTCGCCCTCTTTCTGGAGACGGTCGATTTCATCCTTGATCTGAGTATATCGCTTTTCGTCCTCCTTGATCTCTTTTGTGACGAGTTCCTTGTACCCCGCGTACAGGTGGGCGACGAGCTCTGGAACTAGTACAGCATGGGTGGTTGTGGTCGGAAGATTCTCTGGGCGCGGGCTCGAGATCTTGCGCTTCTTGGGGTTGCTGGACCCCGAGGTGTCCGTCGACCATGCATTAGGACCGTTGTCTCGATCGAAACCATCGCGCAATAATGTCGCATATAGATCCTCTAGAGCCTCGGGGCTCAGACGATCGGCACTGAATGCGACATGCTGGCGCACATGCGGATTATTGCTCAGGAGGGTTGAAATGGAGGTGAAGCTTGCCGGGCGCACATCGGAGGCTGCTAAAGACTGGAAAAAGAGCAGGGACTCAAACGGAGTATACGCCGACAGAGGAGGCATCCCCCATTGCCCGCCCGGTCGGCCACTGGCGGGGATAATTTTTGGGATGGGGGCCACGGTGGTAGGGATGGGGGTGGTTGGGGGGGGGAGGGACGCGAAACGGACGTGGAGGTGGAGTTGGCCGGTGGTGGACGTGTTCGGTCGCGCGAAGATTTTCGGTGGGTTCCTGGAAGGGGGAGAGAGAGCGAGAACGAGGGAGAGGGCGAGGGTGAGGGTGAGCGCGACCGGGGGGGGGAGAGCCGGTAAGAAGAGGAAGAGGAGGTGAAGGTGAAGGTGAAGATGAAGATGAAGATGAAGATTCAAGAAGAAAGGAAGGACCTCGGGAGTTGATTCGATGAAGGCACTCTCGGTGGTTCCTGCCTGCTGCTGTCCCCGGGTCGCCCTTGCCAGTTCGGCGGATTGGGATACAGTCACGTGCATTCTTGGTATACACAATACGTTACATTACAACAGTTGCTGACTCACACTATTTAAGTGTGCTTACACTAAGGAATAAGGAGGACTCGAGATACCTTAGGGTACAAAGTATACTCCGTACTCTGTAGTATATACGGGGTAGATATACGGAGTATATAGTTCCTATGTATATGCAAGTATGCAAGCATACAATAAGCTAGTCTACATCCATGGGTATTCCTATAGATCTATTCCCACTTCTATACAGCCCTATCTACTCCGTACACTCTGACGCGGCCATGACCAGTTGATTCTGTCTGTTCTCCTGGACAATCTTCACCCCTTTTCGCCCAAGTGTCCCTAGTGGAGGCTGCCCCTGAGTCCTAAGCTACACTAAACTACGCTACTCACCACCACCGACTCCACTGGTGATTTCTTTGACAACAGCTTCCCCCTTAAATCCCAGTGTAATACAGTGACAGCCCTCTCTCCACGATATTCCGGCGACTAGTAACATAGTCGGTGGGCGAAGATCGTCTCTCCTCAACTTCTTTTTTTTCCCTTTCTCTTCCCCTCTTCTCCCTTACTTACTACTACTCTCCCGCCCAAACTACCTCGATTCGTGCTTTACATCCTCTCTATTTGGTATGATTCTCCTATCAGCCCCCCCCCCCCCCTCTCCGTATCCCCCTCCGGTTCTCTATTCTCCAAAGAAGGTACTCGGGGACTAGTATCCCCTTACCGCTCCCGCTGTCCGAAGTATACACAAAAAGGAGTTGGCCGTCAACTGACTTTCTTTCGACCTTCCCCCACCAGATAGTGATATTTTTCGCAACTATATTCACACATCCATCCTACTTGGTCCCTTGACTGGCCCGAGTCTCTTCTTTGCCGATCAACTTTCTCCTGTGACTCCGAGTCCTTACGAGAGTCTAGTGCCCCGCACATCCATTTCAGCGCGTCCACTCTGTCGACCTCCCTCGTCCATATAGAGCACCCGGTTCTACCTATACAGCTTCGCATCATGTCTTCTGATTTGGACCGAGAGTGGAAGCCCACCAAGATGCGCCCCCAGTCGTTCGTTGAATCCTCCCCCTCCTTTTCCCTCCCCGCATCCACAGCCCGTCAGCCCGACAAAACAGACCTATCACCAACCACCAACCTGGTCCAATGCTAACCCACGACCAACCAGAACGATGGCGCAAGACTTTTCCACAGCGCTCGATAGTGCCTTCTCTCTCGACAGCGATGTCAACCACCTCTCTCAGACCATTGATCAAAAGTGAGTACCGAGTGCGGAGTTATACGAAACGTCGCATACTATGATAATCGCAATCGCAACCACTTTCCCGGTCGCATGCGCTAACCCAACACCCACAGGAAACAAGCGATGATGATTCAAAACCGTGAGCTTGAAGAGCTACAGCAGCGCATTCGAGATGCGGAGAACCGCCTCAAGTCGCGGCAATCGGTCAACTTTGGCTCTCCCTCGACAGGCCTGAACTTTGGCGAAGGCCAGACAGCCGGTAAGGGTGGTTCTGCTTGATCTTGTCTCCGTTGCATCGCATCGCATTTCCTTGCATATCCCAATACCTGTCATGTCTTGCATTCTGCATTTGCATTTGCATCTTCCTTTCTTTTTCTTTTTAATATTCTCTTTTTTTGCGACTATTTCTTGCATATATATTGCGAACTGGATTGCGGTCGGGAAGACGGTAGACTGATGCGCCGATCCTAGCTCCCCGAGAAGGAACCGTCACTGAGCAGCCGGAGGAGGAAAAGGCGACGGAGACTGCGTCGTAATTGGGGATGGGCGCAGGATATAGTGGATATCCATGTATATCCATGGATTTGATTGAAGCCTTCAAGTTCTTGTTGATTTTTATACCTTTGCGGATGGCAGCAAACCGTGGTTTGGCTGGATCCGGCGCGGATTAGGTCTGATTTGGTTTTTTTCTTCTTCTTTTTTCACTCTCTTCTTTCCTTCTTCTTTCTCTTCTTTTCTTTCCCTTCTTTTATATCCCTTCTGTCTTGCTCTGGCATATCTTGAGAACCCCCATTTGTATGTACCACGCCCTGGCGTAATGTGATTTGATTAGCCTTGACTAAGCATGGATGCTACTCCTAACTACCTCCCCAGGTACTAGTAGTATGAAGTACAAGTAGCTACTTGTAGAACCGAAATCAAGATTCGCATCAGTGTGGCACTAGCACTAGTGCTACTAATAGTAGTACTACTACCTAGGTACGGAGGACTAAGATAGCAGATACTATCTGCAGTACAGCTGGAGTTCAGTCCAGATTGCAATGGACTCCCCGCAGAACCAATCAAACCTCCACGAGAGAAGCCCGGATATCCACAAATGCCGTCATTACTCGGCCTACCTGCATCGCCCAAGCTCAGGTCTTGCTGTGACTAGCACGTCTACCCGCCCTGCTTTTGCTGAGCTGCCACGGACCCCTCTTCCAAGGTTGAATCGTTTTTTTTTCTTTCCCTTCGGCCCTTCCTCGAAGTTGGGGTTCTGGACTTTCTCACTTCCTAACATTCTCACTCCTCCCTCTTTTGTGTCTGACCTTTATCTGTTACTTCCATCCCCATCCCAATTGCTCTTCATTGCTGTATTTCCGCATTCCCCTTCCCCCCGCCCACCGGCTCCACCCACCATGGTGTTGATCGACAAGCACGAGATCCTCACCGAGGAGGAGAAGCGTCTCAAGGAGGATCGCGATCGCACCAAGTATTGGAAGCGATGGGGTCCCTATGTGGCTGAGCGGCAATGGGCTACCGGTACGTTGAAATCTTTAAGCTGGGGTGTTGCGGACAAGACGGGCTAATATGACTTCATTGCTACAGTGCGGGAGGACTACTCGTAAGTCTTCCGGCATTATATCACAGCCGTGATCGTGCCAAACCATTAGAAAACCCCCTTGGATCAAATACTAACAGTCATGTTATAGCGAGGACGGTGATGCATGGAGCTGTAAGTATTCGAATTCCACCCTGTCGATATCACAGCACAACCACCGCTAACCAAGTAGACTTTACTCACGATCATGCGCGGTCGCGAACATTTCGCTGGGGTGAAGACGGAATTGCCGGTGTTTCCGATACTCACGGCCTGCAGAACATTGCATTTTCCTTCTGGAACGAGAAAGAGTGAGTTGTGAGACGCGGGGCTGGGTGCGGGGGAAGATAGAGAGACAAGTAGCGGTCCACTAACGACATCACCAGTGAATTTCTAAAAGAGCGCCTATTCGGTCTATCCAATCCGCAGGGTAACCATGGTGAGAGTGTCAAAGAGGCCCATTTCCACGTGGATAATACCCCGACGGTACGTCGTACTTCTTTTCACAATGTGCTGCACAGACCCATCTGACCCCGACATCTAGCACTCCTACATGAAGTTCCTGTACAAATACCCCCAGAGAGAATTCCCCTATCAGCAGTTGGTGGATGAGAATGCCAAGCGGTCGCGCCAGGAGCGTGAATATCAAATCCTCGATACAGATGCCTTTGCCGATAACCGTTACTGGGATATCTTCATCGAAACCGCCAAGGAAGGTGACGATGAGGAGGAGCTGATCTTCCGAGTCATTGCATACAACCGCGGCCCTGAGCCTGCTCACCTGCACATCGTCCCGCAGGTGTGGTTCCGTAACACTTGGTCCTGGGGATTCGAGAACGAGGGTGAGAAGCCATCCATCAAGCACGAAGGACCGCGTATCGCCAAGTCGAACCATGAGAAGTTGGGAGAGCGCTATGCCTGCTTTGCCCCATCGCCCCCGGTGGGATCGAGCGATGAGGATATCCAGCCTCAATTGTTGTTCACGGAGAACGAGAGCAACAATAAGAAGCTGTGGGACACCGAGAACGATCAGCCCTACGTGAAGGATGCTTTCCACCGCCACATCGTTGATAAAGAAAAGGGCGCCATCAACCCGGCTAATGAAGGAACCAAGCTCGCTGCATGGTATGCCTTTGACGAAGGCGAGGGAGTCCCTCCTGGCGAATGCGCAGTCGTGCGATTCCGCTTCTCCCGCAAGAAGGAGGAGTTCGTGGACGAGGAAGTCGTCGACGATGTCATCGAGCAACGCCGCGCTGAAGCAGACGACTTCTACTACCGCATCAACCCACTCCCCATGAGCGAGGATCTACGCAACATCCAGCGTCAAGCCTTCTCCGGAATGATGTGGTGCAAGCAGTACTATAACTTCATCTACGACCAATGGGCCAACGGCGACCCTGCCGAGATTGCCCCTCCCGCTGGCCGTAAAGGCATTCGCAATGAACAATGGCGCCATCTCCACATCGACGATATCCTGTCCATGCCAGATTCATGGGAATATCCCTTCTTCGCAGCATGGGACACTGCCTTCCACTGTATCCCTCTCGCCATGATCGATCCAGACTTCGCAAAGAAGCAACTCGACCTCATGACCCGAGAATGGTACATGCATCCAAACGGCCAACTGCCCGCCTACGAATGGAATTTCGGTGACGTCAACCCACCCGTGCATGCGTGGGCCGTCTTCCGCACCTTCAAGATCGAGCGTAAGATGTACGGTCGGCAGGATCTAGATTTCCTTGAGCGAGTCTTCCAGAAGCTGCTTCTGAACTTCACCTGGTGGGTGAACCGCAAGGACTCGGATGGCAAGAATGTCTTCGAGGGAGGATTCCTCGGTCTCGATAATATTGGTCTGTTCAACCGTTCCGAGCCTCTCCCAACCGGAGGTGTGCTCGAGCAGGCGGATAGCACAGGCTGGATGGCCTTTTACTGTCTGTGCATGCTGAACATTGCCCTGGAGCTGGCCAAGCACCGTCGAATCTACGAGGACATTGCATCCAAGTTCTTCGAGCACTTCATTCTCATCAGCGATGCAATGACTTACCGCTCTGGAGAGGATAACATCAAGTCGCTGTGGAACGAGGACGACCACTTCTACTACGATGCCATCTCATACGGTGGTCCCTGGACCCAGCAGCTGCCAGTCCGATCGCTGGTAGGTCTCATCCCGCTCTACGCGGTCCTCACCCTCGAGCCCGAGATCATCAAGAAGTTTCCCCTCATTCAAGAAGCGTCTGGACTGGTTCATCGAGAACCGATCCGACGTAGCCGAGCGCAATATCGCCAGCATGAAGCGCCGCGGCAAAGACGACCGTCTCCTACTCTCACTCGTGAGCAAAGACCGTCTGGAGAAGATCCTCAAGCGCATGCTCGACGAGACGGAATTCCTATCCGAGCACGGCATCCGATCGATGTCAAAGTTCCACGAAGAGAACCCCTACTCAATGGACGTCAACGGCCAAACATTCAAAGTCGGCTACGTCCCCGGCGACTCAGACAGCTCTCTATTCGGCGGCAACAGTAACTGGCGCGGACCGATCTGGCTCTGCGTCAACTTCCTGCTCGTCGAGTCGCTGCTGCGGTACTATATGTTCTACGGCGACTCGTTCCAGATCGAGTGTCCCACCGGATCAGGCGAGTACATGCACCTAGGCGGCGTTGCGGAGGAACTCCAGCACCGTATGCAGCATCTCTTCGCGCGCAATGACGAGGGTCGCCGCGCCATCAACGGAACAAACGACCTCCTCGATTTCGACGAGAACTGGAAGGATTACCTCTGGTTCCACGAGTTCTTCGACGGCGACACCGGCCGTGGTCTGGGCACATCTCACCAATGTGGTTGGACCGGCCTCATTGCCAAAATCATCCATGATACAGGGTAAGCAGGCTATGCCTTCACTTTCATTCTAATATGGGTTATACTCGGTTCATTACTAAAATCTCTCCCAGCCTGAACTGCCGTCTCCCCCAGACCCCACGCTCCCCCTTCGCTGCAGCATCGCACTACTTCGACGACATCTTCTCCCGCACCGGCCGCCCTCCCAGCTCCCGCCGTCCATCTGTCCGCCGCTCCTCCACTAACCGCTCCATCGGTAATCGCAGTGACTTCAACTCAACCATTGCCGGTGACCAGACCCCCGCAGCTCTGGATGACGAGTTCACTAGTAGTCCCATCAGCCGTCGGGGTAGCACTGCGTTCGGCGGAAGCCAGAACGGCGACGAGGATGAAGAGGACGAGCATGTGCACAATTATGTTGAGAGTCAGTTGCAGCGCGTGCGTAGCTCTGCTTCCATGGCGGCTTATGAAGACGAACTCGTTACCAAGGACGATAAGCAGAATGGGCATTCTTGAAAGAATTCATGCTCCTGACAATTTTGGCATGGATGTTTTCCTACCATACCTTCTCTTCTCTTCTTATGATGGACATGTTTTCTATTTCCTTTCGCTACTTTCCTTGCATTTGACTTTGACGATGGATCTTATGATGACTTTTCGATGTGATTGATGTGGATAAACGGGTTGCACTAATAGATATCGTTGCGGTGTCATTTACACATCTTTGAGCGTTTAGTTGTGAACAATCGAGATTGCATTTGGCGCATTTGCTTCTAGTTCTTTCACTATTGTAGTTGCCCTCCAGGGCTGTGGTATCCAATAGATCTCCGACTCAACTTCCATGTCTAATCTCAGAATATGAGCCCTGGAGCCCTGTCATGGGTCGGGTGTATGCCAGTGTTTACGATACCAACTGCTTCTCCCAGCTATAGCTTACAAACATGCAAAGTATGAGTAATGAAAAGTGTATTGTGCAATTCACAAATAATGAAAACAAATGGAACTGAAAAGACCGAGGAAGATCCACAGACATGACAAGGGGGGCCAGACACGACAGATCCAGCCCCATCCCATCCATCCCACGGCCTCCGCCTTCCAACGCTACCGTTCATGCGGGAATGCTATATTCTAACCGACACGGCCCCACACAACTCTCGAAGGTGTTTATTTTACATTTACAAAGCATCGGTCAGAGCCTTGTTCATCTTGGCGATCTTGGCGGAAACGCTCAGGTCGATGGTGCGGCCACCGATGTCAACGACGAGTCCACCGACGAGGTCGGGGTTAACCTGGGTGATGTTAGAAAAAAAAAGAAAAGGGCTTTAGGAATTTAATATGGGTTGCGGGTTTACTCACGGCAGTGACGATCTTGAGCTTCTTGCCCTGGCTGTACTCAGACTTGGCAACGGCCTTCTCGAGACGGGAGATGGTCTTGGAGTCGAGCTCCTAGATTAGAGTAGAGTGTTAGCAAACATGTATACTTTTCCCGGCGGATTGGATTGCTTCTTTAAAGTAAGCAGGCGTGAAAACGAACCTGGGCGGAGGTGATGTTCAGCTCGATCTCACCGCGGTGAGCGCTCATGAGGGTAGCGAACTTCTCGCAGACGGTCTCAAGGGAACCGAGACGGTTGTTCTCGGCCAGGGTGAGGAGGAAGTTCTTCAGGATGTCACCCTTGTCGGCACCGGCGACCTTCTGGAGCTCGGCGACGACCTGGAGCTTGTCGGCATGGGTGAGGGTGGGAGCACCGAGGATGGCACCCAGCTTGGGGTCGGCCTTCAGGGTCTGGCCGAGGGCGGCGATGGCCTTGGCGGTCTGGTCGAGGGCGGAGGACTTGGAGGAAGCAGTGTACTAGATACAGGGAGATAGGTTAGAAAGGGTTCTTGTGTTTTGCGACAGGCATAGCTGTGCCTGTGTGCTGGTGTGGATGTCGTGTTGCGGATCTCGGATCCGGCATTGAATCTCAATCTCGAAAGAGAGGGGATGCAGATGCAGACCGCGAGGGGTGCCGGGATAACACGGAGGCGCCAGGAAAAATGCCATCACGAGAATCGGATCACGTAGGGGAGTCGAAGGCATACCAGAGCAGAGGCGTAGGTGCCAGAGACGCCGAACAGAGCGACGGGGGGGGTTGACACTGGCATCCTGGGCCGGGGTGGCATAGGTGCGCAGGCTGTTAACGGCGGCGCGAGGAGCGGAGAACTGCTGGGCGGCACGCAGGCCGGAGCGGGCGACACGAGCGGACATCATTGTGAATTGAGTGTGCGAGGAGAGCCTCGGGGAGGGTTGAGAGTTGTGATGGGAGGTGAGGTGCGAAACGACGGGGTCGGTTGGCTTCGTGAAGGTTGAGTGCAACTGGCTCCGACTTCTTCCAGATCACGTGTTGTAGCTGACATAATCCTCCCGGTTTTCGCAGTCGCCAGTTGACGACAGTAGATGTTTTGACTAAAGACTTGTCGATTACTTTTAATATTTACACTTTTGGTCTATTCTAATAGCTGCATCAATTCATTTCACTTGATTCGTGACTATGACTACTCTGGTAACCCGTTCTACATCAATACATCAATGGCGACAGCCCACACCGGAACACCGGGATCTCGACTCCTTAACTGGTGATCAAAATAACGGTTGGCTCCTAGCCTGCTATTCATTCTCCATCCTAGAGACAGACAACCCATCCAAATAAGCAAAAACTTCGACAATGCATGCCCACGCCCAAAACGCCAGTGAGAATCCCGCCGACCGAAATCGCAACGAACCCTCCCGGATTCGGGTATCAGCGATAGGCGGTGATATCTCATGCACACTTGTTCATGAATCAACAGCACACAACTTAGTCGCTCTTCAGCATACTATCCACCAAATCGCCGAGTGGTCCCCAATAATCCTTCCCACTCGCAAGCGTGTGCTCATTGATGAACAAGACGTAGTGCTTGAAGCTGGTATTCAGATGGGGCTCGAGCCCCAAATGTACGACGACGGGGTAGTGATGGCAATAGATATGGGCGTAGACACGGTACAGACGCTTGAATATTTGGCGCAGGAGACTAGAGAATGTCTTGGGGAAGGGAACACCTGTATCGTAATATTGCGTTAGCCTCTCTCCATCTCCATGTGGAAACTGCGAGTACTGACCGATTCGACTGGGAAACATTTGCTCGTTGTCGATATTGCTTTGTACCCAGCTCATCAGGTGTTCGATATATTCGGGCGCGGACATCTTGGTGGGCCTCTTGTAGTTTTCCGAATCTTGCCAGAGGTACTCGAACCTGTAAATTGTCAACACCAGTTGCGGGGATGTCGAGTCTCGGGAAATCGAGTTTCATGGGGCTTGAGCGGGATCATACTCATCAGTCGCCTTCATTTCAGGGCAGGTTTGTGGGGAGCAGAACTCGGTTATAGAACCATAGAGCAGGTTGATCTGATTGTAGAAGTCGACGACTATACATTGAACCGAATGTTTATATTAGCGATCTTGTCCTCGAATTTCACGGGCAAAGATGGAGAAAGATCTCACCATTCACAGCGAGCCATTCATTCAGGTCCTCGCCCTCGGGAAGCTTGACAGCCTTGCGCAAACTGCCACTTCCCAAAGTGGCCTCGGCGAATTGCCTCAGCTGGTAACTGCTTGTGCCCTTGGCGGCGGACCGGGGCTTGAAGGGGGCTCGTGTCCGCGCATTGCTGGGAGGGGTTAGTCCAAATACACCTTGTTTGAGTGCGCGCACTGCTGGAGAGAGGTAGGAGGGCGGCTCGAGTAAAGGAAGATGGGAAGTGCGGGTGGTCTGGTAGATGCCCGAGGGGCTCAGACTGAGGGAAGGGGAACGGGCTGGCGGGGAACGCGCCACCGCATCGGGCGTGGAGATATAGGCAGGGGCAGGAGTAGCGGGGACAGACATGGTGGTGATGAACGAAGCCATTTTCGTTCAGAGGAATCTCCCTTGGGGATATAATTTGGCGGGGCGCTGATCGGAGTCTGGCTACATTCCAAGAACAAGGGAGTTAGCAGCGCGCATGGCGATCGGGGGATCGAGGAATGGGGGGGGTCTGCAGCATGTCATACCACTGGAAGCAAAGAGGTTTGAGACCGTGAGGAAAGATGAGACAAGAGAACAAAGGAACAAAGGGTGGATCGACAGCAAGGAGAGAAGTGGTGTTCCAGGTTAAGGTCTAACCTTAGGTTATCGCAAGTTCAGCTCCCCACTGACCGATTGCCGTCATCGAAGGCGCGGTTGCCCTGGTGACCGCGTCAGCACCATGGATCACTATACTACTAGTACTATTTAGTGATTTCAACTACATTGAAATTGTTCAAATTCATTAATTGTTCGGATTCTACAAATGATACCTTCCGATCATTTCCCAAATGTATCGTACATCGTGACTCTATGCATAATAGTACTACACATGGCAAATCAATATTACAAGTAGACTCGAAGTGTATAGAGGATGCTTGCTGATGCTATGTAGACAGTCTAGATAAGGGAAGGGGAAGATGGGTGCCCAGGTGCCAGTGGTCACACAAACTTTACAGTCTAGCTTGCCATTCAGGGCCTAGTCAATGTTAGCCGTAAATTTCTCGTCTATAATATCATGAAGCGCGAGTAATCAACTTACTAGAAATCATATTGACCGGAACAGCAGATTCGAAATTTTGGGTAAATTCGAACTGCATGGTCTCAGTATATCGATTGACAGGACCATCAACCCCCTGGGGCTTGCTAAAAAAGGTGATCTCGTATTCAGGATGGACTCCTGGTGTAAAAGGCTTGGTTGCCGTGACGGTCCAATCAATGATACGAACATGTTCGGGTGGTAGCCAGCTCTCCTCCGGCTCCATTCCTAATACCAGCCGCAATCCAGATTCCTCGATTGCCATGATGCGAGAAAATATAGCATGATAATGCAAAGACTCGTAAAGCCACTCACGCCTCGGTATCCGCTGTAGTAATGCGAGGCCTTGGCGACGTAACTTCGGCCACCGACATTTCCATGCAAGAGTGTGAAGTGGGAATATCATACCGGCATCCAGGTTCATTGTTCGCGAAATGATGTCCGGAAACCGGTCTTGATCAGAAACGATGGCGTCGATCACTCGTATCCCTTCCGCATACTCTTCACGATGAAGATCCCACTCACACTCACTCTTCGCCGTAAACGATCTTATGCCAAATTCAGTACTATACTTTATTATCCGGATAACATCGATCATCTTTTGCTTTCGCTTGCTCCGACTGACGTTTTGTCGGCTCAAGAGGCTCTCGAAATTCTTGTTCCACAAATTCAACAGCCGTTTAACGCGTTGGGATAGCGCAGAGACGGTGTTTTGCGTACTTGCAGTCTCTCCATTTTCATAATCTACCTGATGAGATAGATGAACTGCACATGTTACCATGTCAATAAGCCCAATACGTGCCTCTCCGAGTGTTTCAAACCCGTCCGTAACGAAGAGCCCCGATTGCTCATCCACCGAGTTGAGAAGGAGTTTAGTGCGTCCCCCACCGCCACACTCGACTGAGTTAGTATTGAACAATGCAAGCAATGGTGCGATCTCAGTCTCCATGAACTTGGCCTCGGGAGACCGATATTTGTCGCGGCCCCATGGTCCTGTCGGGCCTCCATTTATATCGCGCCATTGCTGAAACAGGCGCTGGCCACTTTGAACGTGAGCTGCCGCGGCGGGAATATTCCCCTGCATCACTTCGAAACAGGTAAATAGAATGTTCGCCGTGGCAATCAGACACATTGTGTCAGGCGAAGCATTTGGCTCTGCGGAGACCTTCTCGATCGCCGCACGGATAGATCTATTATAAAGTTCAATATGCCGATATGGCTCCAAGGCATCGGAATCAAGAGTTCCGTTGCCTACAGCTGCGTTTCCGTGGGCAAGTCCAATGGCACTGATGACCTGCCGAATAATAGGTTCCGTTAGGCTGAGTCGCAGTACGCTTCCTTGGAAGAATCCAGCTTCAAAGTACCCTGCTAGTTGGGGCGCGGTCTTGATGAAAAAGAATTCCAACGCTCGAGCTTCAATGTTGTGGATAGCAATAGGAGCGGGTGCTAGCACTCTAGGTATTGTGTACCTAGGGACTGTGTTTCGCTCTTTATATCCTTCGCAAATTCGTCCGCTTTTCACGCAACTAGGCAGCAGATCGAAGAGTCGGCAGGTCAGTGCCAAATTCGAAACCAACACATCAAAATATACACAACGTAGGCTCAAGTATATTTAGACAGTCTATAATAGTACTAGACAGCTTACCGGATGCATGAAGGTTTGTTTTCGTCACACTTCAATCTTCGGTTTCTACTCCAATCGATCAGTGTTAAATGCCGTACAACTGGGTGACAAGAGACTGAGAAAGGGGCATCTCACTTGCAAGTAGTGCATCCTGTCTTCACCTTTGGCTTGCTGGTTCGTCTTACTTTAGGACGAGATGTGAGAACTTGGCTCTGTCCCTCCATTCCCATATTGGGCCCGAGTGCATGATAAGTCAACAGGGAGGCGTTTTTACAATTTCGGGATTGTAGGTGGCCCGGGCTCAGAACCCCTTGATGACTATGTGGGCCAAGACTATGGGGGCCAAAATTGACATGATCGACAATTCGGGGCAACAGTATTTTCGAAGGTGAGGCCATGGCCATTGTGAACAACTCCATGTAATCTTCATGAATAAGACAACGTTGAACCTGGGAACTGACAGTGGGGCTAGCAGACACACTGCCACAAACAGACCCCACTTGTCGCTCTGTATCTATGCTAGAAAGACATAATCATGGGTTTCCCATCATCATTTTTCACAGTATGATAGATGTTATGAAAAATTTCCCTGTAACCTCTAAGTTGAGCCCTTTCCCAGTCCCAGACACTACCGCATAGCGTCTCCAAGATGTTGGTCATGTGAATGAGGCCTATAATTGAGTTGCAGCTGTACTGCTTATTCACGTAGCCTAGCAACATGATTTGAATGGTTCACCACTCTAAGCTTGTATCTTCTCTCCCAACTCCCGAGGCTTCTCGCCATTTGCAGCCATCTCATTGAATACCCGTTCAGCAGTTTTGAACGCATCGACTCCCGCCGGAGCACCACAATACACCGTAGCATGTAGGATCGCCTCCCGAATCTCAAGCTCGCTCAGTCCATTATTGCGGGCGCCTCTGATATGGAGAGCCAATTCAGGGCCACGATTGAGGGCCATTAACATGCCAATATTGAGCAGACTGCGGTCTCGTCGTTCCAGGCCAGGTCGGGTCCAGACATTTCCCCAGGCCCATTCGGTGATCATTTCTTGGCACGGTTTTGAGAATTCGGTAGTGCCGTTTTCTAGAGCTTGGTCGACATATGAATCTCCCAAGACCCCGCGGCGAACCTTCATCCCTTCATCGAAGAGTTGTTTGTGTAGGTCGTCGAATTTCGGGTCGGTAGACATCTTGGCTGGGGCGGAGGGGATGAAGAGATGGCGAATTAAAAGAGCAGTCCCAAAAAAAAAAATGTAGAGTCAGTGGTAATATCTGCTGGGTTGTAAAGATGCAAGTTGTTGTAAAGTGAGCGGAAGAGCGGAAGGTGGAAGGTGTAGAAGATCTACTGCGGCCCAGTGCATTAAGCCGAGAATCGGGAGAATTCAACCCCACCCTTGAGACTCCCGAGGTCTATTTGGAGACCTTCAGGGCTAGGATGGTTGACTAGGAATAAGGGGCCTTAAATATGCACGACAAGCACCAGGTGCGAAGTGTTTCTAGTACTATAAATACCCCCTAACTATATTTCAGCTACTGGGTACATAACTGTTGTTATTGGCTGACTGAATAATTGATGTTTCCCGCTAGCGGTGGGAATTCCCTAGAGCGGTAGACATCTTAAAGCCCTACCCATTTGCATCAAATAAGCTTCTGCTTTCCTTTGGCTTCTCAGCCTCGATAGACCTCAGCAGCCTTGAGGTCAGACACCGCCCAACATTTACCCTCCGTTGGCCGACCGTCCGTTGCCAATTTACCGTGACCATTTACACCTCTCACAGCATTGGAATGCACGTCGTATTTGATATCTGGGTTTCATCCCACACTGATGCAATTACCTTGCATGCCCTACGACCATATGGGCCTAAGACTTCGCTTTCAATTGGAGGTGTTTTGATTGACCACAGCCGACGCTATGGAGCAGGCTAAATCTAATCTGGGGGCTGTCAACAGAAAATGGACCCACAAGTGCGAGGTCACGCTGGATCATTGGGTCTACAGCAAAATCCTAGCTAAAGGATAAAAATTATTTAAGTGGGCATTTAACTGTCCAAAAATCATCTCCGCCTCAGTTGGCATTGTCGCCGCCTCGAAATTACATTCTCTTGCAAACTTCACTGACACCTGGCACTGCCTTTAAACTTCAAGTTCCAAGGTTGAAGGTTACAGCCCAACCCGATATATTATTCATATAACACCTGCCAGCGAGCACTCGATTAGGCTACCCGCCACAGGTTACTTTGATTTTTTTTGCTCTTGTTCGGCTACGTTCCGTTGATTTTGTTGCAAATGCAAAGCCCTCGATCTCAAGGTGCCTCCTCAGCATTACGCTGGTGGATTATGGCAATTCCTACTTTACCAATCAGCTATTACGCCTTCTATTTCATATTTTACACTCCACCAACTGGCCTTCGCACGAAGATACGCCTCCTATCATCGATTTACGGCTATATCCATATCATCTCAGGTGGTCTGGCAATCCTCCTAGGTCCGATCCAATTTGTTGAGAGAATTCGTCGATTACATCCTCGGGTACATCGATGGGTCGGACGGGTTTACGCGGTATCAATTTTCGCTAGTGGCTTATGTGGTCTACATGTTTCCATGAACAGCGCCGCATATCCCATCGGTGATTATGGATTTGCGGTTTTGGCCATTGTGTGGATGGCAACGATGATCATGGGTCTTCGCACTATCTGGAGTGGGGATGTTTCTGGCCATAGGGACTGGATGATACGCAATTTTTCGTTGACTTATGCTGCTGTGATGCTGCGCTGGCAACTTCCGCTGTTTATCTTTTCTGGATTGACTCCGCCGGGGGCTTTGACCGTCATCGCCTACTCTTGTTGGATTCCCAATCTGATTTTTGCAGAATGGTACATCGGGAATAGGAAGAATCGAAAGTTGGCCGTCGAATAGGATGATACCATGTATATCAATAAACCTTTTGTATTCGGTGGGAGACCTTCGGCTTGGTCATCTCTCTATAACTGTTATCTAGCAAGTTGAATACTCGAAATATAGGGAGAAATAGAATCCTAGCCAATGCTTCCCCAAACCCCTTCACGAGCAAAATTTCGTAGTCAGACTGAGTCACCTGTTCAAGACCAAGTCTGGTGAAAGTTGTTGAAACATCAAAATCAATCCACACCAGCCTATCGGGGTTTCCGTGGATAAGGAGAAGATTTCTGGGGTAGATATCCCGGTGGTGGACCCCTGCTTTGTGTATCTCCTTCATGCCCGTAATGCCCTGGGGATAGAGTGTTTCTGAATAGTTCACACAGTTTAAGCTTTCTGTATCTGGGAGATACTCTAACAAGATTGCTCTTGGGTTCAGCTTATCTTAAGTAAAATGGCGGAAAGCATGATATAACGTAGGATCTATTCGATCGATACAGCCGTAGAATTGCGCAACAAAACCACTGACAGAGATACCAGAAGTAAGAAGCTTCTGATATGCAGTGGATTCACAGCAAAATCGGTTCAAATCACGACCCTTTTAAGTATATCCACGGTCGGCATTATCGTGGAAAAGCTTCAATGCATACTTTTGGCCGTCCAGTTCTACTTCAAATATCAAAGACGCGTTAGGGGAGGTAATGTGCCTGATAATATGAATTTTGGAAGGATCTATCTCCATGATAGAGGTACTTTCTAGAGAACTTGGGTTACGGCCATTTGAACATTCGAACCAACTGACCACCCCAATTCACTTCTTCTCTCTTGCCTTTCACCATCTATCACTCCCTTCCTTAGCACACCACATATTCAACAAGTTGGTACGCTGGAACAACTTTCCTCTCTGTCTCATTTTATTTGTTCCCTTTGCAATAGTGACACCTCCAAGTTGCATATCATCTATTTTCTGTCTTGGCTCCGGCAATACTTAATCAGTATGGCACTCGCTCAGCTCTGCCTTAGAGCCCCCAAAATCCTCTCAAAACTCCATGGGATCAATTCTCCGGTACGTTGAAAGAAGGCATTAGTGGAAATGGTTCCCAGCATATCTGTTTTTGCCCCTTTGATCCAGCTGGTCCATCAACGCACAGATGTGACCGAAAAGGAAAAGAAAGGTCATTCTTCACTTTCCGCAGGCGCAAAGGCTGGAATTGGGATTGGTTCCGTCGTCGAGGGATTCGCGCTCATCGGAGCTGTCTTTCTCCTTTGGTCTCGCCGCCGCCAGAACAGCCGGTCTCCGTATTCTTCCAAGGGAGACTCTTATGTCAGGAATCTTCAGGACTACGAGCTTAGCTCCCGCTGGAATGAGGTGGAGCTCGTCGGGGAGATCTTTTGTGTGCTTGTAATTTGCCGGGTTGAAAGCATTCTACTGTTGTTGTTTTAGGGAGCGGAATGGATGGGCAACATCATCATGGACAAATCGCCCAGGTCATAATTTCAACTGTCACCATACTCCTTCGAACAGATAATAACATCGATGGCTTCCAACCCCTTGATCTCGGGGTTTAGCTCCTCTTTAAATTCCAAAACTCCTGTCCACTTTGAACTGAGATCAAACTTGGAACTGGTATATGCAACCATAATCTTCTGCTGGCATTGCCACGATTTCTTCACAAAAAGTTGCCTTGTACCAATACGAAATGCTGAGCCAGGGTTGAGATCTGTCAAGCAGGAACCTAGTGGGGTTAATAGTCTGATCTTGAAGCGCCTACGGGGCTTTGCGTTTTCAGATACAGGTCGAGGTACAACCCGTAGTGAGAGACACGTCTTTTGAATTGGATCTCGGTAGCTTTCAGTGCAAATCTCCGAAAGGGATTCATTCGCAGCACAACCTTCCCGAAAATTGAGGCATCTCTGACTGACAACAGCGAATGTAGACATGTCACGAGTATCAGCCAAGATGTCCAACCATTTGTTGAAGCGGGTTGGTACAATACGACGACTTGTCGGAGCCCTCAGGAAAGGCCAATAAGCTTGAAGATTCCCTTCGACATCAATTCCTGTAAACTCCAGTTCTTGTATTGATGAAACGATGGCCTGGCGTATTTGATCTTTGGTGAGGGTTTTTTCTTGAAGTCTTTTATGGACGGGGCAGTTGAGGATGGTATCGCTCGGGGGTGCAATTTCCATTGTTGAAAAGGAATCTGCAGCTGTGGAAGGCAGTCTTGTCCAGCACATTTGAATGCATTTTGGGTCCGGAATTTCGTGGTTGCAAAACGGGACATTTTGTGTCTGATCCTTTGTTTGAGATAGACGTAGAGCATCCCAGAGGGTAATTCGCCGGGCATTTCCAGTGCATGCACTTATTTCCAAACCAACCCGAAGGCTCAGCACAGGCCAGATATCCGCTTCAGCATTGCAACACCTTGAAAGCAATCTGCCTTTGTGTGTCGTTCCTGGCATTCGCTTTATTTTAATGTTAACTCCTGCCTTGACCAGATGGCCTGCAGTGAGCGGTATTTCATGGCCCTCCAGTATATTATAGTCATTGCAGGCTCCTGGAATTTGGAACTGATGTGATATCTGCTGTTGTATATAACTTATCTGAGATTTGCAATTCAGATTAACTGCAAGTCCGCCAGCGATCCTTGGATCACTACCAATGAGAATCCGAGAGTTGCCATTCAGCAGAATTCGATCCTCTCTATCGATGTATTCGGGAACGTCTTTTGTCCAATGGCAATTTATTTCCCCGTTCTTTTGAAAGTTTGGAGCTTGTTCCTCTCGTGGCAAAGGCGCGATGAAGCCTCGTTCTGTTCGGATGATTGGTCCTTCATCGGCTGCTCCTCCCACCAGCCAGACTGGTCCCCACAGTTCTTGAAGATCTTGGACGGACAAGGATAATTTTAATCCCTCCTCCTGTATCTGTTGATCTCTAGCTTTTCCAAGGACCCATACAGGCCCTCCAATGAAGTCCTTCAAGCAGGCCAATTCTCTGGGCCTGAAAGAGAGCCCAAGTCCGACAGGAATCTCGTCATGTTTAAGTTGACCCCACAAGCTCAGGTCAAAACGACAAACATGGGATCCAGTAAAAGAAAGAAGCGCAAGTGGTAAAATATTTCGCAAAAAGTTGAAGATGAAAGGGCTTGAGGGTGGATTCATGCCAGGCGGTTTCCCTTTCATGATATGGCGGAAAATATTGGTTGCATGCATGTCGGGGCTTATATTCAAATCATCCATATTATCAAGGGATATATGAACAGCATTGGCAATGTGCGTGTGGAGCTCATCTTCGACGAAGATGGAGAACATACCTCCACAGAATCCTTCTGTCTGTAGATGAGAAATAGCACGGCTAGCGCAGCTAAGTGTATTCAAAAAGCCCTTGCTTTGGAGTTCGAGAATAGTATCAGAGTTTTGCTCGGAGATTCCAAAGGCCTCAGAAGTAGTCAAAATGTGTGTATTAGGATCTTTCTCCAGGCACAACATTCTAGCAATCTGAGCTTCCAACTCATCCAACTTATCATAGTAGGCGGTAGGGTTCAAGAGGTGTTCCAATTCTGCAGGATATTGGGATTCAGAATCCATAGCCTCGGGGCTATTTTCAGACTGTTGTGTGATCTCCGTTCGTATCGAACTTTGGACTGAGCAGGTGTCTTCGTCGATGTTATTTGATTCTGCAGTAGACTTTTGGGGCCAAGAAAGCGCAGTTTTATTCTTCTCTTCAGACTTCAATACTTCGTCATTTTCGATTTTGACTTTGGGAGTTTCAATCGGATCCATTCTAGTTGTGGTCCTAATAATTTTCTGGCGGGGAAGGGCAACTCCGCCCAAGTATACGCACGGTGATTCAATAATCTTTTCTCCGGTGTCTCGACTATCAACACGGTCAATATCTCGATCTGCCCAGCAATGGCTGAGTAGGCAAGTATAAAATGTATCCCAAGATGTAGCAACTTTCGCGCATATAGGGCACAGGCCTGGGGCGGGATGCTCGATTATAGTCATCTTCATCGGGTCGCCCGGTCGTGGTTGACCAGGCGGAGGGTCCAGATGTTGGAAGCGACAATGAGATTGCAATTTGTCCTTCCTGTGAAACGTTTCTTGGCATCCGTCCCAGGCGCACTGGTATGTTCTCTCAGTAAAATGCTGGTCACGGATGTGTCGAGTCAATACTCCCTTGAATCTGAATCTCCTATGGCAGAGGGCACAACGAGGTCTCTTTGAGGCTACCAGTGGCTCTTGCGATAAGGGTTTATGTTCAGGTTGGAGGAGTGGTTCGATTTTCCCCAGGACCCCCAGTAGCATGTCTTTTATCTCCAGAATGTCGGCCTTGGGTGAATGGAGTAATTTATCGGGGAGTCTCTTCAGAAAATCCTTCAGGCTGTCCAACTCGAAGGATTCACTGTTTTGGAAGCCTGGTGGAGACTGAAAGGGGAAGCCCGGAGGAAGTGAGAAGCCAGGAAGCTCCTCCCGCTTATATGAAGTTAATAAATCGATATTCAATTCAATTCAATGGACACGACCTACCAGTGTGAGGCTTGAAGAGCTGGAGATGCCTAGGTGCGAGCAGTTGGAAGCAGATGCCCCTTCCTCTGGGGCGCTTGAATTTGTGTCCATATTCCAAGAAAAAGAACTCGTTTCCGAGCTCAACGATTGTCAAGTGTTCACTTCGGAATAGAAAATGAAGAGAAATCCTCTCCACTTAAAATGTATTCTGCCTCGCTGAGCAGATACCGCTGTCGCATAGCCTCGCTCAGGCAAACAGGGTGCTGCCCGACTGATTTGTGGTGGCGCAGCTGCCCAGGTTTGAAATCGATGGCTCGTATCCAGGCTCTATATTGTTAGTAGTAGTATCAGTAACTTCTAGTTCGGTAGCGGTACAGATCAGCAGTGGAAGCTACGAAATTTGAGGACCGGATGTTTGACCAATATGAACACGAATTAATATCTAAATGCAAAATAATGTCCTTGTAGAGTGGTATCTACAGACACAGTAGGGATATCTAAATCAAATACAAAACGAAAGCCCGCACGGCAGGCCCCCAACCCAACCATCAAGGAACCATACAGACAAGAATCAACACGATCAAGTACACATTTAAATGGTATAGCCCTGGTTCTCCTCTGGCAACTGTTCCCTCACAGTCTCACCATAAACCTTAATCGGGATCGAAATCTCAAAAGATTCACAACCAAGATACTCCATCGCTGACAGAACTTTCCCCCGATCATCAGAAGAGAGCGTCTCAAGCAGAGCCGTCCCGGAAGGCGGTGTTCCAGAAATATGTTGTTCACCATGCAGATTTGGCGTGACGAACTCAAACCGCAAGTCCCAGTCAAGCGTAACTCCACTTGTTATAATCGTCGGTGTAGCGGAGATAGGAATAGCCGGACTGAAAACGACACGCGTGGCGTATAGTGTGTTCTCGAACAGAGACGCGTGGATGCGACGTGTCGTACGGTGAATACTGGCGTTGGATCGAACGGCCAGGGTAGGCGTGACTTTCTCCGATGTCTCGAGCGAAGCTCGCACGGCGTACGATGGGATTGAAGCTTCGCCGAAGTCCACGCTAGCCATGATAGTCTCGCCTAGGCGGTGAATTGGGCGGTTGAGAACAACGACAGCGATGCGTTTCCCGTCGCGGGCGATCTCGAACCGATTCGGACTGCGTCTTGTGTGTGCGGCCTGGTTGCTGCGGAGAATGGCGAAGTCGATTATGTCCTTGCAGGACAGGCCGTGCGGGATCCCGTCGTAACTGGATGCCCGTCTTTCGGGGAGGGCTCCCGGGGGGAAGAGGGAGTTTGAACGAGAGCTTTGTTCGAGAATCTCGTCCACGAAGGAGAGGAAGTCGCCTGCTGAATTCCATTGGTTGCTTACACTTTGCTTTTTGACAGCCACGGGGGCATTTGGGTTGACTTTTTGCACCTTCGCTTCGTCGCGTAGAATTACATATGGTGACATAAGGTCGTGACCTAAGATGTCTCCCTTTTCTGCAAGCTTGTTAGAGACTTCAAGGGTGATGGAACAATTTTGGCACTTACCATTTACCCCGCTGAAAACGCGGAACGGGATGTTGATGCGGTTGACCCGCTGGGCTTCGTTCGGGCCGCTTGGCCGCTGAGTGCCGATGACCAGATTATAAGAGACCTTAATTGCTTTCCCCTTATGGCTTGCCGGGAGGCCTCTGGGCAGGGAAAAGGAGAAAGTAAAAGACTGTTCCTCTCCAGGAGCTAGTCGAAGATCGACAAAGAGAAGTGATTGCGGGGTGGACAGCAAGGGGATAGATCGAGAAGATGCAACACCACGCATGTCGCGCAGACCATCAAGCTCATTTGTGGAGAGGAATCCATTGATTGACTCTTCAATGGCATTCCACTTGAGTCCCCAGAAGCCACCGCCCTTGCGCGAGCGTTCAGAGCTAGCAGAGTTTGGGCGTCCTGGAAGTCCGCCTGTTCCTGCCTGTGCTCCAACAACACCTTTCCGCTTGACTTCATCAAAAACAGATTGATTGACCAAAGATCCATCAACAGTGAAGGAGGCGCTGACTTGCGCATATCCCATCAGCAGCGCTTGGCTCTCCGTGAACCTTGTTGTTGTAGGAGTCACGACGCTCGAAAAATGTCGTCCATGTCGAGCAGGCGGCGGCGCTCTGCCTGATTGAACTGAATAGTTTGTATATTCCGATGCTAATGTCTCACTGGAGTGATCACTCATCGAGTAAAATTCACCACTGCTCCGGCTACTTCCATTGGTTGCACTTGTAGTCGAAATCACCCGCGTAAGTTGTTGGTGTGACGGGGGCGCCAGTCCAGGTCCTTCTTTTGATGTTAATTTTCCTGAAGACGCCGATTGTTCGGCCGACTTCGGGGAGGGCGATAAAGCAGGGCGTTGGCTATTGTTTGGTTCGGCTGGTGGCGGAGCAGCCGGGAACTTGAAATCGAATGCTGGAGGTTGAGGTCTGCGTGGCGTTCCTCGGAGTGGTTCGGTGGGGACAATTGGGCTATTTGCAAGTGATCCGGGACGACTTGCTCGTCCAAGATGGGATGTATCGACTCTCAGCCCGACTGTCGAGGATTCGTTTGGCATCTCTGCCAGGGGAGGCCCGCGCAAGGGCATTCGACTCGCTGAGTATCATTGATGGTTAGTTTTCAAGTCGCGCAACTCGTAGTTTGGGTTTTCTTTCGCTCCATGTCACTCACATTTGCGATAGGAATCATCGTAGCTATCATTCCTCCTTGGTGTGATCTGGAGACTGGCAGAACGCCCATGGCCCCGGCCCGGCTTCCCTCTTCCATATGACTGTGGCGGGGTTGCTTTCTCGAGTGGACCCTCACTCTCGATAGACAGGATTGATACGGATCGTTTATGGCTGTGGCCCGGTTGCCAACTGCGAGGGGTAGAGGGGCTGCTAGCAGATGGCGGGAAGCTGTGGGAGCTGACAGGCGGGGTGCTCATAGACGAGGTGGTTCGGTGGAAAGGTTTTCTTTGCGAGCCAATAGAGTATGATCGCTTGCCCGAAAAGAGGCTTTGGGGTGACTTCAGTGAGAAAAAGGAGTCGGAGTTGGAGGTACTGGGGTGATTCGCGACTCGAGACTGCTTCCGTTGGTGACCTCCTTCAGCTCCATAACTGTTGTCGGGTGTGGTATCAGCCACGTTCTTGAAGGTAATTGTACATTCCACGTCCTCCCCGGCAAATATAGTTTGGTCCTTCCATTTCACGAAGACCTGGATGTTGGAGGGCATGGCGGCGCGGTATCAGCATGTGGGCCGATTCGAGCGTTCAAGATTGAACGGGGAGAGGAAAGGAGGGGAGGGTAGCTCGGCGGAAATAGAGAGTAATTGAAATAAAAGCTGAAGCCGACGTCCGCATGCTGTCAAAAAGGCATGAGCATGGGCGCAGGCGTGGGCATGGGCATGTTGGAAATTGGGCGCGAGAGGGAGCAGTTCAAGTTGGGGTCGGCCGAGGCGGACAAAGTGGCACCTCCGCTTAACCCAGCCGGAGCATTTCACATCCCTGTGTCCATCACGTCACAAGGCAATAGTCTTTTACTAGTATATTATATCAAAATATTATCTTCCAATATTACAGTTTGTCCATTCCTATACCTAATCATCCAGCTCCCATCTCATTTTTCCTACAAAACCGGTGATGAACAGAATGGACAGTCGCTTCTTTTTATTATACAAATGACTATGGTACATGTGACAGTATTAACACTACGTAGTTAGAGATCAGGTACAGCCCACACCCTATAGCAGCCCCTATTTCTTCTTATCTTTAAATAGCCCCCTGGTATCCGACAAAGGCTGCGAGCGCTGAGTCGGCGGGCGCAAACCCAACTCCGCCATCTGGCTCCAGATACGTTCGTGGCGGTTCTCCCATCGCACGCGTCGCTTATCCATCTCTCCCTCCGATGGTCTCCATTTGCTTTTTAGGATTCGGCGAATAGCTTCCGGGGATATCTTGAACTCTTCGGCGAGAACAGCAGTCGTGAATCGATCTGGAGCGGTCGTATGCAAGTGTCGAATACCATCCAAAGCATCGGGGGAGAGTCTCTTTGCCGGGTTCCATCCATCAGGGAACTTCTTTCCCAGTGCATCCTTTTGGATCTCCCATGTCTCGGGTTTCTTAGGTTGCTTTGGCAGTTTGTTCGCTTTGTCGCGCTTCTTATCCTTTTCCTTATCCGAATCCATGCGATCCTTGCGGTCCCTGGGTTTCTTTGTCTCGGTTTGATCCTTGGTATTTCTTGGTTTGTTTGTTGGTCTAGACTTCGTGCCTTGAGACCGGTTTTTCTGGTGTGGCGCGGTCGAGTCCAGGGTGCTTGCCGGTTGCGGCGTGGACTCAAAAGACGGAGAAGAGTAGAATTCAGGTTGCGTAGAGACAGAGTCGTTGCTTTGGGACTGGAGAAAGCGCAGATTGGAAGTAAAAGGACGGGTGTGTTGGGAATGCTGGAGCGGTCGTAGAGGTGGCCAGCGGCGAACAGGAGAAGACAAGTCACAGGTTACCTCGGAGCGGAACACACTGCGCAGGAGGGTTGGCAAGGCCAGCTTGGCCGATGATGCGCAGTGTAACGCCATTGGAAAAGAGGGCCTCGGGATATGGTGAACCTTGCCCAGGTGGCAAGTATGAAGAGTAGGAGCTGAGATTGAAATTGAAATTCCCCCCGAGGCCGATAGGAATTCCTAAAATTGATGGGCGATAAGATAAGGTTTTATGCCTGAAATTCAAGGATGCCAAGTCGAGTATCCATGGTTCTGCCTCACTCGAACCGGGGTTTGTTTACTTCAATTTATACTAGTATACTAGGAGTATCATGAGTATAGTACCTAGGTACCTAGGTAACTGGGAGAATATTCAAGTTAGTATCATGGTATTCTAGTAATTGCCAGTGGATGGGCAGAGTGCATAAATATCCAGGGATATATATTCAGTTAAAAACTAACTACTCTTGCAGATACCAGACAATCCATGGATTGTAAATGAACATAATGGATTTCAATCTGAAGATGTCCCCATTGCCACTAGGACTAACAGTTGATTATACTTCTACCAGTAAGCATATTTTGGGTAGAGAGAATACTATGTGCCGTCTGGCCCAGGTAATACCGATCTCGCGCCACTGGGGTTAGTGAGATTGGTGCTTGGATCGCGACCCACCAGTTCATCTCAGCCGCGCTTTAGCTTCAGCTATCGAAAGATTGGATATATTCTCTCGAAACTATAATCATGACCACCAGAACCCATTCCTCAATGGCATTGTAAGCTGTAGAAGCCCCTCTACTACCCTACTAGTAGAGTCAACTCTAGCTAGAAGCTTGAGCCAACCCCTGATCCCACTTGTCAGATTCCTTCTGATCGGCTGGAATGATCAACGGGCTTAGCGTGGAATGAGCTCCATGTTTGTGTTTTTTCTTTCCAGCTCTCTAATCCTTCCTCTTTCTCTCTTCCCCACGAATTGGAAAGAAACAAAAGAAAGCATTTGTACTCCGTAACTTACAGGTGGACCTTGGGGAGCCTGGACCTGCCAGCCACCTTCCAAGATCGACCTTACTTCTTCCCCCGCCTCCTTTCAACTTTTCCCCCCTCCACAAAATCCACTTCCCCCCTCCACCCCATTACTCAATGTGAATGCGCCTACGCTTGCGAATGGACTTCTAACCTCGCGCACCCAGGGGACTCTAAGCTATCTAGTCCCCCCTCCCATTCCCCGAGGTTATGGCAACCACCGCCCCGCTCAGTGCCAAAAGCAAACTCGCTGGCAGCTCCCTGAAGATTACCCCCTCCAACTCCCCCGTCTTGCGTCCAGGCACTCGTTCTGCGAGCAGGGCCTCACACCAGTCGGCCCTCTCGCTGCAGACCGTCATCGGAACCACCACGACAACCCCCAATGGGTTCTCCAGTCATGACCAAAGCAAGAGTTTTGCTTTGTGCGCCGGCTCCGCGGCCGTCCTCGCCGAGCTCGATGACGCAGGCAACCTAAGCCAGCGATTCTTTCGAGCTCGACCCTCGGCCACCAGCGTGAATCCCACCTCCTCATTCTACAACCAATCCACTCCTCCGTCTACTCCTGACCCGAAATCCCGTTCCCTATCACATATTCGCTCCAACCCACACCTCAACGTCCCGAACGGCTCCCCATCTAGCGAAGCTAGTGATTGTGGCAGCCCGCGTGCCTGGTCATCAAGAGAAAGAGTGAAAGCAGTTACCAGTGTTTCAATCAGCCCGAACGGAAGATTTCTGGCGGTGGGAGAGGTGAGCAAAAGGCAGTATTGTTTCTGAGAAAGACACCCAAAAACTGATTGCAACTAGACCGGTTACAACCCCCGAGTCTTGATTTTTTCGACCGCTCGCGATGCCCTGCCTGACGTTCCTCTATCCATTCTCTCCGATCACACCTTCGGCATACAAAGTCTCGCCTTTAGTCCCGACTCGCAGTATTTGGCCACGCTGGGAAACGTGAACGATGGTTTTCTGTTCATCTGGTCAATCAATTTCAAGAATGGCTCGGCCAAGCTACATTCCGTCAATAAATGCACATCTTTCGTCCGTGATATGTGCTGGGTCGGCCAATCTTTGATAACGTACGTTTCATGTGGAGAGCGTTTCGCATATGGGGCTTGAAGCTGACATTGTCCTAGTACCGGAGTGCGCCATGTTAAAGTTTGGAGACTTCCTCCCTCCCGACCAGTCTCGCCTACAAAGACACGCCTGAATATCGATGGCGCAGGTCCCTCACCGAACCCGGCGCCAAAGGCCCTTTCTGGCAGGAATTGCATATTGGGGCAATTGAGCGACAGCACGTTTAGTTGCGCGAGAAGTATCTCTGACCAGGAGGGCGTGGTGGGCTCGGAATCCGGCGCGGTATGCTACCTCGACGACCGCGAAGGAACTCAGAAACTGCAGTTCGTCACGCAGGTTGGATTTTCTATAACCTCCTTGACTGTTGACTTCGATCGCGAGTCCATATGGCTCGGAGGCCGTGGAAGGAAAATGCAGCGACTGTCATTCGAAACTCTGCGGTCTGCCACTTCTCCTATCCCCATGTCACCAGCGCGACGCGAGAAGATCGTGGTGGATAAGAAGAGCAAAGTACCGACAATCACATGCATGGGTTCCCTTTCCTCCCATTTGGTCACTGTAGAGGCCAGTCGCGAAATTCACATCTACCCCATCGAGGGCTTACGTGACGAAGGCGAACAAGAAGATGGTGACACCTCGATGCCAGCTCACCGGGACCCGGTTCTCGGCATTCGTCGCCTCGATGCACCCGATTTCCTGGCCAGCTTCTTTACTTGGTCTCGCAATGGCTCGGTTATTTTCTGGGACTCCTTGGGCAGGTGCTTAGATTTCAAAACAGTTGTCCTCGAGCAGAATTGCGAAGCGGAAGATGTGGTGAATGAACTTAAGGTGTTTAGAGCCCCTTTAGATGCTGGGTTCTTCGTTTCTGGGGACAGATACGGAGTCCTTAGGTTTGTTTTACTCGTACCTCTTCAATTGACCTGTTTACTCATATTCATTGCAGAGTATATTCCCGTGAGCCATGGGAGTGCGTTAACGATGTTCGTGCCCATGGAGCAGAGATCACGGACATTGCTGTCCATTCGACGGATGATGATTCCTGTTTGATCGCAAGTGCTGGTCGAGACCGGATGGTACAGCTCTTCGAAAAATCCGGGTCCAGCGTGGATTTAATCCAAACGATGGACGATCATGTTGGGGCTGTCAATCAGCTCATGTTCATGAATGACGGCGAGAGGCTGCTCTCGAGTTCGGCGGACCGCACTATTCTTGTACGAGATCGTGCTACTCGCGATGAAGACGGCGCCACATCTGTTGCGTATCTCATCACTAGAGTCATCACTCTGAAAGCCTCCCCAATCTCTATGACATTCTGCCCCGATGACCCAAACATGCTCTATGTATCCACGATGGATCGTTGCATCTCAAAATTCGACATTCCTTCGGGGCGCCAAATCCATTGCTTCAAAGCATCTGATTCGGAAGCCACTGATGCTGTCATAATGAGCGCTTTGACAGTAACGTCGGAAATTCCAGGACAATGCCCGAAACTCTTGCTTGGGGTCTCTGGTACCGATAAGTCTATCCGAGTATATGACCTAGAACGAGACCAGTTGCTCACTGGGGAGTTTGGCCACACAGAGGGTGTAAGCGATGCTTTGCTCTTGGAAGAATCTGATCCCAATGATGGATCAATTATCAAACGAAACTTGGTATCAGCTGGTATCGATGGGATACTGATGATCTGGAACCTATCTGTCCAGCCACAACCGCCCCCAGAAGGCCAAGGCCGCGACGAGGATGGGCCGACGAAGGAAGCGACAGCGGCCAAACCACCACTTCGGAAGGTCCTCTCGCGCAGCGAACTAGCTGGCTTCCAACGACCCGACAACCCAAGCCCCCCTAGGAACCCCTACACCCACGCGCGAACTATCTCCGACGTTGACTCGCAAGATGTCCAAGCTGTCTCTCACACCTTCCAACTTGAAGAACCACTCTCTCGCCGAAACTCCATCTCCTCCTAATCGTCGTTCGCCAACCGCTTTCACATCTGCATCAAGCCGTCGGTCACCGTCTCCTGTTAGCCCAAAGTCTAGACCATCAATCCCAAAGAGGTCCCATGGGACACGGAGCAACAGCCGACGAGTCTCTTCCGATTTCCGAACCCGCACCAAAGTATCCCACCGCAGCGAATTCGGCAGCCTCGAAATGTCCACTGAGCAAGTATGTCGCACGCTACGGGCCTACCGGAAGAAGCTCAACGGCTCGGGCCAACAAGTTCTTGCGCAGAAAGAGCTCGAGCGAGAATTGACACTGACGCTTCGCGCTGTCAATGCGCGGTCCATGAATAGTGATGAGAGTGCTGAGACGGAGACTGATAGTAGTGGCAAGGATCTTGACCGCAAACCTAGCTATTCACCTGTCTCTTCGCGCTCATCACATTATCCACGCCATGCTCCGTCAACTCCTCTCTTGCGTCAGAAGAATCTGCGGCAGGTTTCGAGGAGCCGTTCGTATGATGCAAACGGAGATGAATGAGTTATGGATGAAGTATCTTCCCATCTCATCCTTCTTCACTCGAAAGAGCCTTCTACCACTTCAAAGGTTCCCACATTTGCTTTTCTATTCCCATTTTCTTTCTGCTTCTATTCGAGGCATAGCATTGCGGGAGTTGCTTTCCCCTTTTTTTTTTTTCTTTCTCCGCTGATCACTCGTGCTGTGATCAACTTGGCGGCAAAACATCTGCTCCCCTCGTTGGATCTTCTCATATTCCCAGATTTCCATGGTGGCTCTACCATTACTTTCTTTTTTTTCGTTCTTTTCTTTTTCCCTTTCATTCTCATTTCTTGATTCTCTCAGCTGCATTGTGTTTGCTTTCTTTTCCCCTCCATCCATCATGCGGATCGCGGGTGGCATCCTTCTATTCTTGACACTTATTCTTCCTCTTCTGATGATACCCATATTACTCTGAGTCAGCTTAGATCATGTCTCTCTGTCTATATTTTATCCTTAATATCATGATATCATTTTCAACCATACCAATTCCCCTCCACGCAAGTAGTACTTCTAAGTAGTATATCTGGTAAAGTAACTTGTGATGAGAGTATAACCTTGGATACTAGTAGCCTGATATCTTCAAAATCGAGTGAGGGGAATGAATTAGATGATAGTACCTACTAGATAGACAAGATACGCAGGTACCTAGGTGTTTACTATATTGTGCTCTCGAATAAACACACGCAACCTTGGAAGTAAATAAATAGTAGTCAATCCGGTCAACATAAGAAACGAACAAACAAACCCCCCATCTCGAGGTCAAGAAACCTTCAAGAGAAACACATGTTGAGCCGACCCCGGAATTCCTCTGCAAGGATTACGCCTTCTTGATCTCCTATTCCTTCAGCCAGTCTGATTGATTTTGAAGCCCAGCGAATGCAGTCATCATCCTTTCCCTCAGAAAAGTAATCAAGGGCCTGGTTGAAAGCTCGCACAGCAAGAGACTCAAGTTCGTCGCTCGGATACTCATGCTGCTTGTAGGGATTTGTTCCGAGATCTCCAGTCTTTGGATTCGTCACGAGGTGAGATGCCTGATGCGCAGAGCTTTTAATATAATGGTCGTCTTCCAACAGGGCGAGTGCTTGGTCAAGAACGCATTACATTGAATTCTGAGCTTCGGCCTCGTGACGATTGGATAGAGCGGCGAGTGCGTACTTCCTTTTCGAAAATCAGCACGAGTAATCTGTACAAAAAGAGAGATTGTTTGAATACTTCTCGACTGCAATTTTGTTGGAATCAGATAGACGATCGAAGATGTTATTATCAAGGAGTTGAAGACACCATTGTTCTGCATTGCCGAGGTTCGAAGCTTCGACCTCTGCTTCAATTTGCTTCCAAATGACCTGTTTTTGAAGTCGTTAGCATTGAACGGGAATATTAGTATTATGAATTCTTCACCATAGCAACTGCCTGAATGATCTCTTCGCCTAATTCCACGTCAGGGCGACTCCCCAGAATTTGAGCTCCTTTGCTAACAGCGAGAACACATGACGGTTGGGGTGTCTTCGAGCTTCCTGCGAGAAAAATTGACCTCGAAACAAGTCGGAGGAATGTGCGTCCAATGAATTCTGTTTTATCGGGTGGGATCTTGGACAGCATTGCATGGAATGCCTCTGTGGCTAAATCAGGGCTGTTTCGCTATAAGTAGGGCGGGCTTCTTTGGGAAGAAATAAATATCTTGCCTCAGATTCCACAATACCCTCACAAAGTTGGAAACTCTTGTGACATTTGTTAGTTGAGGTTGAAAAGCGACATGGAAAACAACTCACAGCTCCCACCCTTCATCTGTCAGGTCCGGGATTTCGATGATCGATTGCAAGACTAGAGTCAAAAGTTGAGCCTGATGACTTGGGACTTCAAGACGCAGAATTGGCACTCACTTTCGAGAAGTCTTTGATAATTCGAGTCTTGCTCGTGACGGATAATTTCAAATTCAAGAACCAGAACCGAAAGGGCATCGCGGTTGCTCTAGGAGGTTGTTAGCCGCCCCCTCTTGAGAAACGCAACGAGATTTCGACTTACCCTCTTCAGGTTCTCCATCTGCTCTTTGATTTCTTCCCTTTGGAAAACCTCCCTCGTAGCAAGGTATGCCCGAACTAACATATTCAAATTAGCCCCTGTGGATATCCCGATAGTAGGAGATGTACCAAGTGTGGCGCGACACCGCAGGTTCCAGATTCCGATATCACCAAGCGTTTTCTCATTCTTCGCAATGGACAATTCGACTTGCTCAACAGCTCGTCGTAGCCAAACGGTAGCAACACTAACATCGGTTACCAGAGCGCTGATCCCAGCAATATAACAAGTTTCGATGACGAGGTCTCGATTGCCGAGTCGATTCGCTATCGGGGCCCTCGCAAATAAATGATCGGCGATATCAGGACGACCTTTGAGAAACTCCTATGGAAAATGAGCTCCAGATACGACTCTTCTAGTGGAAAAGCTCTATCCATACCAGGCGGACCCGAAGCATGTAATACTCGGTAGTTATGTCATTCAGTCGGTCTTGGTCAATTAAGAGGGTAGGGCTTTTCAAAGAGTCGAGTCGTTGCACACTGGCCTCAAGAATCTTCAGCGCCATATCCGGCAGATTTGCTTCTACAGTATGTGTCAGTACCAGTCTCCATTGTAAAGCTTTTTGTTCGAGAAATCTACCTATGCAGGAGCGTGCGGCTGCAGCTGCGGCTCTTACGATCTTCGTATGACCTGATGCGGTCTTCGAGGTTGCAAGATTGAGGGCCCAGAAGACGGTAGCTCTCACTAGAAAGATGAATCATTAGGATGTATTTCATAGAGACCGGTGCTGAACTCACCTTGAGGCAACAATTTCTCATTGGCGATGGGTGTATTTTCTGCCTTCATGGCCTGGCTGCAAGCGTTCCGCAGTGACACAGCAACTTCACCAAGCTCTTCGATCGTCGCAGGAGGTAGCTTTGAGTTTGGAGAGAGCTGGACTACATTTTCGAATATTTTGGAGATTTCGTTTTCCTCAATGATATCACAGGAATGTTCCCGTGGGGCGTCAGATATGACAGGGTGAAGATGCCTGAGCGTGGCTGGTCAAGTCAGTTGTGTTCACGGGGGGAGCTTCGGGTGGAAGGGGAGATGGGATATAAAATACTTGGTCTTACCGATCGCTGCATGAACTGATGGACGATTAGGGTGAGAAGCCATGACGAAGTAGTGCCGGATGAGCCATTAGCAGAACTGGATGATGGAGTGTTGAGAGGGTTGAATCCAGCCTGAGACCTGGGAGCTGGTAGTTTTCTGCTATCCTGCCCCATCAAAACATTACTTACGCCCAAAATTACTTCTTATATTCTATCTCTGCTTTCCAAGGTTCTGTTATATATTTCGATCATTTATTAGAAATGTACCAATCGATGTAAATTCAATGCGAGTTAATCAACTATTGTACACACATTGTACATTTCAAGGCAAGGAGACGTCCAGCCTCGGGGAATCAAAAACCAAAGCTTCAACCTTGGAAGTTATAAAGTGAAGTCAACCAACAGAATGCCAATATTTTGGAGCCAATGAAAAATAACCAATTCTAAATCCAAAGCCTATTTGTGTATACGCTGCGTGGGAAGGAAATTACCAACAATCATAGAGGGGCTAGCAGTGTGGTTAGTATGCAATTGCTTGGTTGTCAAGGAGAGCTTCGAGTCTTACATGTTATGGTTGTCACGTCGGATCGTAAATGAGAAGCAGCATTGGATACCCTCGCCTGTTGAGTCGGAATTCGGGCTCTTCAGAGTACAGCTAGTGAGCATTGCCTTTTGTGTGTTATCAAAGGCAATGGCACCGAACTTCTCCCAATAGCTGACGAGCTGATCTTCAACGATAATCTCATGGATGGCAAGTTTCCCCTGCAAGAATAAATTAGTACATGGCTGGCAAGGTACGCCGGCGATATTCATTCAACTCACATCGCGCAGACTTTCAATTGGGACATCGATCAATTGTGCCATCTCATTGTTTCCTCGGAAGATCTCCCCCGTTCTTCGCCAGCAGCAAGCGGGGATAGCCATACTGGCAAAGACCCGGTCATACTCCATCAGACTGCGCTCGAACCACATCTCCACCAGGATCAATTCGATATCGGTAAGGCTCTGCATGCGCTCACGAAATTTCGGTCGGAACTTGTCCAGCTGGCGAAGGATCTTCTGTCGGGATGATTGGTGCATGTTCTTCTCCATGTATTGGTTGAGTCTGGCATATCCCTTGACATAATTGAATGGCTTCAGTAGACCAGCATCGTACTTTGCCTTGAGGAGCTTGTTCATGCGCTCTTCCGGTGGGTCTGATCCTGACGGGTCTGCTGCAGTCATATAGTATGTCTCACGAGCCTTGTCATTTCCAACAGTAGACGTGGGCCGTTGGATGGAATCCCCATGCGGTGCCTGACTCTGTGTCGGTGGCGCCAGTTGCGTGGGTGGGAGGCCATTTGGCACGTCCAACGTGGTCATCGAATTGATCAACGAGGGATCGGAGTATATTTCGTTCATGTTCTGATCTGGGAAAATCGCGCCGTCGTCTAACAGACTGTTGCTAAGGAAATCACCAAGCAAATTGTATTCGTTCGTGACCTCGGGCGCATTGAACATGTACGACGGATGAAGAGAGTGCATGTCTTGGAACTGGTTCTGTCCACCCATCCAGTCGTTGTACGCCATCACTAGAATTCCCAAGTCAGCGGAGAGCCCGGCCACGAAAAGCATCCCGCCGCAGAATATACTTACTGGGCTGAGAGTTGTTGGCATTGAGGCCTTGGCCTTGGCCCGACGAGGTAATACTCGCCGGCTGTACCGTGGAACGCGGCATTCCCATCGCACCGTCGGAGAGGATTTGCTGGCCGGCAGCATCCGAGACGTCAACATTCTGAGGCATGCCTGAAACGTTGACCTGATCATTATTGGACGAGCCTGGCTCGTCCACGGTCGAATCGTCTTGATCACGGCGTTTCGTGGGTTCCCTAGGCTCGTCGTGGCATAAATGACCGATATTGCGCTTTATACATCGGGTACACGGCCGTTCCTTCAGAAGTCGCAAACAGGTCAGCAGGCAGATCTTCCCATAAGCAAACGAACGTCGACAATCCGGCTGTGCAGGTAACGAGAGGATATCATAAATCAAACGGGGGAGAGGTCGTACCGAATCGCAAGTCATATGCTGTCCCACGCGACCACCCTCAGTTAGCCAAAGTGTTCCTCAACTAGATTTCCCGCCACCTCGGCGGATGAGATGAGGGGCTCTCCAAACGGCGGGGGATGTTGTCGCGGAGGACAACCGGGTGCGTGCGCCAGAGGAGATTGAGATTTGAATCAAGAGAGGACTCACCGAGCGACGACAGTAGACACACGCTGTTGAAGAGAAATCCTCTCGTTAGCCCAGGCCCAGGTACTTCTTCCACTTCGGATCTCCCCCACCCAAGTCACTCCACAGTGAAGCGCAGGCGCAGGCGGGGGGGGGAGTGGAGGGTGACGAATCCCTGCCGCATGCGTGCGCGAACGAACAACTCACCATGATTGACCTTGCGACGCTTCTTAGCACTGGAGTGACTGCCCGAGCCAGTGGTTTCGGACTTGACCGCAGATGCTAATGGCGAATCCTTTGCGCGCGCATCCCTCCCTGCGTCGGCTTTGGACTTGGCAGTCTTCTCGGATGCGCTTTTCTCTGTCATGGCGGAAATGCTGTGCTCACCGGGACCAGGCGAAATGGCTGCCTGCAGACATTGGCAGGATTTGTGTACAAGTTGGAGGGGAAAGGAAGGGTGCCCCGATCAAAAGTTGGGGGAAAAGTTGCGGTTGCGGTTGAAAAGCGGAGTCATCTTCTTCTCCGACCTGCTCCGCACCAGTTTCCACTTTGGCGGGTAAATGGGCTACAGTCTACAGTGCCTACAGTGCAGTCTTGTGTGATAGATAACTCTCATTGATTCGTGCTAATTGCTCTGCTCTCATAGGCCGAGGCTCAGCCAAATGCCGCGAGGGTCTCGGCAGCTAGGGTAGAGGAAAATCCCCAGATTGTCTTGATCGGCCTAGAACACGCCCCTCACGATCTGGTGGGATTGGTAAAATTACCCCTGCATTTCGCGCGGAAGTCTCTGATGACAGCCTAGGTACTCCGTATATGTGCCTGATTCACATGTAGTGGGGAGATCTGAGCACGCGAAGAATTGGGGTTTGGCCTCGGGCTCGGGGCGCGATTCTCAACTATCACCCCGATCCTTTAGGGTTTTGGCAATTCACATGTCCCTCGCTTCGTATCGATGGTGGAAGAAAATTACAGCCCCATGGCCTTGCATCGTATCGATCATCGGATTCTTGTATGAGTATATGTGCCGCGGCCTCAATCGTTCGAGAAGAGATCCAATGCAACTTGTGATCGGGTCAAAGCATCTTTCAGCCCTGTGAGTGGGGCCATATTACTCTGCATGGACTGAAGATGGCCGTGGAGTTGTTTCATGAGGACCTGGACCTCGGGATCATCGTCGAGCTAGATTATAGTTAGCACATTCGCGATCCCAACACATGAGACAATCGCATGGTTCCGTACATCATCAAGGTTGATCTGGCTATTCTTCACATCTGCGAGTGTAAATTCGGAGGAGTGACCATCTTGAGCTTCCTTCTGATTGTCCAACTGTCGGAGAACAGGGTGCTCCTGAAGAAAAGAGTCAGTTCGGGAGTTATTTCCATGTGAAGCAATTCCCTCACCTTCTTCATTTGCCGTTTCCTCTCAGCGTCTGCCCGCTTGGCGTTCTTATCCATCTCATGCAACGCATTCTTCTCGCGAGCAAGTAGTGCGTCCTCCTTGGCGATCTCAGATCTTAAGAGATCAATGCTGTCATTCATCGTGGACAAGTTGGCTTCGAGGCCTCGCTGGTAATCAATTAGTACAACGCGGAGTGGATGTCGACAGGCTCCGGGTCACGCACATGTTCATTCAACGCAGACTCGTAATCGAAGTTGGAATCCTTGGTGATGGGAGGGAAGGGCATTCGCGGTAGTCGCTTTCCAAGACTATGGATCATTACTAGATCAGCACCTTTTGCCCTTTCTCACGCGTCGCGACCACTCGACTGAAGCGGATCGGGCAACATTCATAATGTAGGAATATTCGTAGACGTACTTGCGCACCACTGCCTGGACCGCACTCTGCGCCTCGATGCGCTTCTGTTCGTTCTTATTGCGCATAATCACCGGTCGCTCTAGCGAGTGAAACATGTCCAAGACCTTGCCCTGGACAGGCTCGGGGAGAGTGGTCCATTTCGCCTTGATTGTCTTCTCTGGAACGCGACGAACTTGCGCCTTTAGGTGCGCATATCGCTTGGATTCGGTCGCGTCATCATCGTTTTCGTTGGCGCGCTTCCGTTTGGGTGGCATTTTGGCATGGAGTGGACGAGAGGTGTGGTGTGTTGATGAAGGTGAGTGCAATGCGGAGTTCAAGTTGCCGATAGGTGCGCGTCGGCCAAAACAGAAGTGGAGTGTGCCGGTGGGTCAGTCTGGGCTACCTTAGCGTAGCGGGCCTTGCATACTTCGGAGACTAATCCCACTCCCAATCTCTACATCATTTTACACTTTGTATGGGTCTTTCAAGGACGTAGGAAATATTGGTTATCAGAAATCATCAAGTTTGATTTTTCAGCTCGTATCCCGACTTTTCTATGTTGCCATCGTCATGAACCGAGTAATATTCGAGCGTTGTATAAGATCTCCTCTTGACTCCAGGCCTCGCCCTCTGTCCGTCGGAAGCTATCAAGATCATTCACATTTCTAAATCGAAGAACTTCAAGCTGTAAATCCTAGAATCTTCCAAAGCTCTGTATTCGCAACCTCTGCATTTCAAAGACCCCCACCCCCCTCTGCCTGATGAGTCTTTGAAACAAATAGGAAGATTTTCAAGCCCCTGCAGAACCAGTTCCCGGTCGTCACATTTCCGAGCCGTGTCGAAATCAATCAAAGTAACTCACGAATCACGAATGAGAAAATTAAATCGATTGGTATCTCCATGCCGAACTCCCAAATCATGTAGTCGAGATACCACCTCCCCACAGACCTCCACATCCTGGGCCTCAGTGTGCCGGGCGTCGCTTATTCGTTTCATCAAAAACCAAATAACCCGGCCGTTCTCAGTCAAGTGACCCAAAAATTGGGGTCCGATATTATGGCCAGATATCCATTGATATACCATAGTTTCATTTGCCATATATTGAATCTCCCAAAAGAAGCGAGCAAACTTGGCGACGACAACATCATGCGATAATGAAGATTTGACTTCATAAATACCTGTTCATAATCTTCGTCCAACATTCAGGTCCAAATAATCGATATATGCTTTGTGCCAAGTGTCTGAACACCAGGGAATTGAGTCAGGGAGACACGCGCAAAATGCGGTCGGCCGTCGTTTGGGTTCTTGGCTACCAATCCGTCGTTCCAGTCTCCAGGGGGAAGCTTTGGCAATATCGATGCCAGAGTAGGGTCAAAGCACATATCTTCGGAGCTGTAAGTGCCTGGCTCTATGGTAATGTATTTGACAGATACTTTGTCGACCAGAATGCGGAAAAAGCTTTGGTCGTTTTCGTCAACTTCAGCTTGGAGTAATTCAATTTCGGATTGGACTTCCGTTTTTGCAACAGGTGAGTGGATCAATAGGAAATTGAACACTTCCAAGGTTTCAACAGGTTATACTTCGGCTTGGGTTTAGGTGTCAGACTCAGCAGTCTTTGAACCATTTATGTTTCAAGTTTACCGTTTTTTATGATGTGGCGGGAAAATTGAGTAAGCAAGTTGTTCTGCCCATCTTCCATGGTTTGCAAGGCCTGGAAGAAAAACGATTGACTGTGGTGGGGTTAAGCCACTGGAGCTGTCCAGTGCTGAAACTTGTGAGTCCAAACGAACTACCTAGGGAGTACTAGTGCTATAATGATATTGAGAGCCACTGCATATCCAAAATGGTATATTGTGTGAGTAATGGCTTGGATAGCCCATTTTGTATTCATGATATGATCCAGTGTCACCCTGAGGGAATCTTGGAAGTCACTATTTGCCATGCAGCAGGACTCATCCTGTACTATGTATGCCTCAATATATGCGGTTCGATATATGAGAAAGAAAAAAAAGATGCCGAAAAGAGGCATGATGAACGTAACAACCAGGGAACCTGCCCACCACCGGGGAAAAAAAACGCAATGGTATCAATCATCCAGAGCCTTAAACGCCCACTCCTAATGAGTGCGTCTTCCAAACTGGCCCAACCCAACCCAACCCAACCGCTAAACCGCTAGAAATCCGAGATAATACGGCAAAAAAAAGCAAATTGATAGAATGAAAAGGCATCAAAGGTCATGGCCACGTCACGTGAGAGAGATCATGCCCCCATTATCGTGGCATAACCAGACCATTAATGCCCTTCATCTCTACTATTTGCCTTTGCAGGATATCGTTGCCGCGTAAGAGTTCCTCAAGCCAATCAGCGGCTTGAGTCAGCATGGCACTCTTGCTGAACCCGCCACCTCGGAGTCCAGGGACGAGAATGCATAGATCATCGAAGCCTTGACGGATGAGGTTACGTCGCTTCTGCTCCGAGAGAATGTGGTTGGTTCTTTTCTGCTCTTCCGAAAGATTCTCGCGGGCGTTCTTGCTGTTGGGTGTAAGTCGCGCCTTGCTCGAGGAGTTTGTTGCAGTAGAGGCACGCCGCGCCTTGGCATTGCTCGGGGTCCTGGACTTTCGAACCAGTCTAGCGTCTTCTTCGTCGGAGAGGATTTCGCCGTCTTTGATGATACGTTGTCGTTTGCGTGGTTGGGATAGATCTTCTTGTTCGGCGTTGCGGAGGGCGGCTCGTTGAGCGTGGGCGGTAACCAATCGCTCTGGGGTCGTTGGGCGAGTGTTGGCCGCGCTGGCCTGAGGCTCGAAACAGTCCAGATGTTCTAAAAGGTCTCGCGTGCGAGTTTCCATGTCGGGTTGGTCGGGCGGGGCGATGTAACCCTGGTCCATGAAGCTGTTGTCAGAGCCCCAGTGCAGACCTCGCACTTTGCGAGACGGGTGCTGGTCTTCGGGAATGGGGTCTCGGACATCGAAGAGCATCTCGGAAGTGTGAAACCCAGTTGGAAGTTGAGCTCTTGTCGGTGATGAGCCAGATGCATGTGCCACACCAACAGGATGTGTGGCGCGGCGGCCTTGGGATGAGATGGGCTGACCAGCGAAGGCTTGCTGCGCCAGCGCAGAGCCGATTTCAGCCCCATTCATGCCATTTTGGTAGAGCATCGAGGCAGCCGCGTAGACATCATAGCCTGGACCATTCCCTAACATCAATCCAGGTTTGAGATTCTGCTGCTGCTGTTGGAAGGGTGGTTGAGACAGCGATGTCGTCGAGCCCTCGAATGTTGGGGGCAGTTCACTGGTCCAGTCGAAGTGAATACCGGAAGATTTGTCTTGTTGACCGCGAGGCCAAAAGTCATTTGAAAAGCTATTTGAATTCATAGTCGTGAAGAAGTTGTCAAGCATGTTGGATTCGTTATCGTCAAGAAGTGAGGGACCCGGGGGCAAGGCGGGCGCCTGTTCAAATGGGGTATCCATAGGAGCGAGAAAGGAGTCTGGATGAATATTAGGAACGACGTTTCACTCTGAGATGATAGAACAATGTAATATCATTGGGATGGAACCTACAGCCAAATGGGCCAGCGTCTGGAGGGGAAGTGCGAGTGGTATGTACTTCAGGACCAGGTCCATTCATTGTCACAAGCGACCACGGTCTTTTGAGGTAGAAGGAGGCAGAGCAGCGGGATGGGATGGGGTCAGAAAGTATCGCACTGAGCGATGGAGAGCAAAGATGACCGGAGCCAAGCGATCATGCCTCGTGAAAATCCGGGGAACAAGTTTCGTCCGTGATATAAGATTGAGTCAGGTCAAGCGAGGATCTGCGTTGCAGTTCACCGAGTTGGAGGAGAGCGGAGGATATCGGGGTGGCAGATGAAGATCAAGACGAGGCAAAAATCAAAGAAGGAATCAAGAAGAGAAGGCAAGCTTGATGACGAGGAAGATGGAGGAGAAAGCTGGGGAAGATGAAAGTGTGGAGCGCCTCAATCATCAACATCGCATCGCAATCATCGTCGGCCTCGGATCACATGCAAATTTTCCGCGGTCGCGTGACGTAACGTACTGCAGTTACCGTACCGTACCGCCCAGTCCCGCTATGGCAAGAAGGGTCCGGGAGGCGTTGACAGTATAGCCATAACAAAGTAGCTATGGAATGATTGGTGATAAGTAGACAATTCTAGAAATAGTTACGTAGAATATATACAGAGTAGATCAGTATGCAGTACATATTACATACTGTATGTGATGCAGCGCAGCACAGTGCAGCGCAGTGCAGTAACCATACTCCGTATACTTCAGGTGTATTTACCGTACATACAGCAGTCGCCCTCGCTCAGTACACTCAGTACACTCAGTACTTGCCAACCCTACATACAGCCAGTGAGTAGTCGACCTCTAAACCACTCTGCTCCTTCACCTCCACTACCGTGGACCTTGGTCCGTGGTCCGACGTCCGACAAAGCCCCGCAGTATCTCCATACCCTGACCCTTCCTCTCATACTCTCTCCATGATCGTCCACCCCTGAGAACAATCTCAAACCTAAGTCCTTTTGCGGGGACTTCTTCCAACAGGGGCCGAGGTTCATTACTCGCCTACCTTACTTATACTACCCCGTCACACAAATCCACGGTTGATCATAGAGGCAAGAAAAAGAAAAAGAAAAACAGAAAAAAAAAAACACCGATCTTTTGCAGGAGGATCCCCCCTTCTCCTCCCTCGGCTCCGAACCAATACTACCCAATTTTCGGGCGGGCCGCAAGTCCTCGGTCACCGGTCACCACCGGTCACGGTCACCCACTAGAAGTCTGGTGTTTGCGATCCATCTTGTTTTCTCCTTTCGTCTCATTGGGACAGGTTACACGCGTTGGGTCCTGCCACCCCCCCGATCCAGACCCTAACGAAAGCCTTGGCACGCCGTTGAAGCCGGCTGGGATGCTTATCCCGAGTCTCCCGCCGATCAAGATATGGTTACCGGCAGAATGGATCCTGTCGTCCGGCTGAGTCTACATGACCGTCAATTTAGGGCCAGGGTTCTTCACCCGTAAGTCGTTCCTGAACTTGGGAGGTCGGGGATCGCTTCCCCTTCCTCCCCCAAATAACGGTGCTTCAGGAGCCGTGGAACCTAACCCTGTGTACGGAGTACTTACTTATACCGGTCTCCAGTATACTTCGCGCCTACGCATTAGGATATCTCTCCGCGGTCACCCCAAAACTCATCTCATACGCCCGACGACTCGGGGCCAGAAACTGGGATACCACTCAAAAATTACGAGAGGTACGTTTCAAGTCACTTTTCAGATTCCTTGAGCAACTTTCCAGTCATGCAGTGATGTCACTGCTGCCCCTCTCTTGCGCTCAAATTACAGTATTTCTATCGTTGCGCTATACCTTGCAGACTAACTCCGAATCTGAACCTTATAGCTGGCTCAGGTTCTAGCCGGGCCTCTGCGTATCAACAGTTTCCCAACATTCTGCGCGACTTTGGTCGGCGGTTCAACCTTCCTACCGGCGCTGTTGTATCGGATATGTGTCTCGATCGTAGCCGGTCCCTCCAAGGGTGACATTCGACTGTCCCTGCGTCTGTGCCGCTTAATCCAGTTTGTGACGGCATTCATCTCGGCATGGTTTAGTTTCCAACTACTGAACAAGGACCGTGGCCTTTCACGGAAAGACGTAAGCAGGAGAAGAGCAACAATCAGCCAAGATGAGAGCCCTGCCAGTGTCCCGGCCAATACTCTCGAGCGCCCACCGCTCCCAGAGCTGGTTGGGAGGACAATGGACCTCACTCTTTTCACCGTCACAAGAGCGGTTGACGTGGTTGCCTGTCTGGCATGGAGTCGTTGGCGGCGCCGTCGCAGATTACAAAATCGCTGGTCCCTGGCTGAATCATTGGCCCCCGGTCTCGCAGACGCCGGAGTCTTCGCCATGAGCGCAGCCGTAGTCATGTGGGCATGGTTTTATGTTCCGGAAAGGCTACCTCGAAGTTACGAAAAGTGGATTGGGGAGGTGGCCAAGGTGGACACGCGGTTGATCGAGGCTCTCCGTCGAGTTCGCTGGGGCACTTTCGTATATGGAAAGGATACAGGTCAAGCACCTCTTCTAGAAGCCATGTGCAGAGACTACAACTGGCCCATAGAATGGGGCGACCCAGCCAAAACAGTACCCATTCCGTGCGAAATGGTGCATATGGGCTGCGGCCCTAATTGCGAGCTCCACGCGCTGTCCCGCTTTGCTAGGACCTTCAAGTTTGCTTGTGCAACCTACATCCCATTGCAGATTGTTCTGCGCTTACGGAACTTGAAAAACCCTGCCGTCTTGACTCGGGCCATATCCGAGGGTGCCCAGTCATCTGCCTTCCTCGCATCATTCGTGAGCCTCTTCTACTACGCCGTTTGTCTCGCCCGGACCCGACTTGGCCCCAAGATCTTTGACCCGAAGACAGTCACCCCGCTGATGTGGGATTCTGGTCTCTGTGTTGGGGCAGGATGCTTTATGTGTGGATGGAGTGTGCTTGTTGAAAAGGCGCGAAAGCGACAAGAGCTGGCATTGTTTGTGGCACCTAGAGCTGCGTCTACGGTGTTGCCACGGTTGTATGATAAAAAGGTATGTTCTGCTCTGTTCTCGCATTTACCGGTTGGTGTGGGGTTACACACGCTTTAACCTTCCTTTTGAGGAGCTTCGGCACTCCTTGGGGCCCATTATCAGAGTCACGCGATAACTAACATTTTTCTTCTTCCTGACAGTATTTTTACCGTGAGCACATTGCCTTTGCGACGAGCGCTGCTATTCTTATTACCTGCCTTCGGGAAAAACCTCGCTTGGTCCGAGGCGTCTTTGGCCGTCTTGCTACCAGCTTGTTGAACTAGGAATGTTGTGGTGTTTTTATATTCCTATGACCTATGATGTTTTCTATATACTACCTAGGTCGACTGTTTTATTAGTATTTACCCACTAGAAGGCACTATAATGTGTACCAATAGAATATTGTATGATTATTTACCTGATCTAAAGCTCAGCCTTTGAATTCTCAATGAACCAATTAATCAGGTACTTGTATGCCTACCTAGTTATGCTCTACTAATTACTCGAAATACTTGGAAATCACAGGCCCTCTCATGAAATTTCCTGATGAGCCCTGTTCCTCTCTTAATGGCTAGTGCAGCACCTCGGTCGATAAATGACACGTGACATTGATTATCGATAAAGAAGACACGTGATCTTCAATTACAACGAAGGCCGGGCCGCATGATCGACGCCATTGCTCTAATTTTGAAGACTATCAAGCCATGTTTCGCTCACTATTCCCCTCATGGGGACGTTGCACGTTGACCGGAACCATTCCGCAGCGCTCAATCTATCTGCGAAAAGGTATATTCGAAGCAGAGAGGAGGTATTTCTCAGGCAATTCTTTGCTCCGCGCACAACGCAATGACTCCGCAGCGCCATTCAACACGCCGCAATCGCAGCAGCGCAATACTTCCACAATGTGTGTCGAAACTCTAGATTTATTTACTCATATTGATTGAACTATACTAACAGTTGCTCTCAGGTATTATACCATCAGTATGATTCTTGGAACTGTCGCTCTTGCCTACGGATCAGTTCCTCTCTACAAAATGGTTAGCGGCCCCCGGAATTTTGCTTAGCAAACTACCAAAGCGCTTTGTGCTAATCCTTCTTTTCCGAATTCAGATTTGCCAACAGACCGGCTGGGGCGGACAACCAATCCTCACCCATCGCAATGGAGACGGCGACACTGCCGGACGCGTTACACCCGTGACGGACTCCCGACGCCTCCGTATTACCTTCAATGGGTCTGTTTCAGACGTCCTGCCCTGGAAGTTTACACCACAACAACGAGAGGTGCGAGTCTTGCCGGGTGAGACTGCGCTGGCGTTCTACACAGCCGTGAACAAAGGCCCTCAGGATATCATTGGAGTTGCTACATATAGTGTCACTCCGGGGCAGGTGGCGCCTTATTTCAGCAAGATCCAATGCTTCTGCTTCGAGGAGCAAAAGCTAAATGCTGGAGAGACGGTGGATATGCCAGTCTTCTTCTATATTGATCCTGACTTTGCAACGGATCCGAACATGCAGGGCATTGACACGATCACTTTGTCTTATACCTTCTTTAGTAAGAATTCCCCTGATTGAGATGCTGCCTTGATTGTGACTGAACTGACCCGTCGCAGAAGCGAGATATGACGATAATGGTGTTTTGAAACCCATCCAATCATGATTCACTGCTGCCCCGTGACACTCAAAGACATAGGGTGCGCACCCTGGAAACCCGAACTGGCTTCGTAAACCAGTAATTTCAAGATAATTCGACCAAAAGAAGCCTGCAAAGTGTAGCGGCTTCTGACTCGACCTTCTTGATTCCATCTCATCTCATAAAATCGCGCCTGTACGATACAAGTTGGAGTTAACGGAAATATTTGAAGCTAGATAGAAATTCAAGTGTACATAAGAATCAGCTTCAATTTCGTCCATCCAGAATATGCTAGTAATGTAATTCTCCTCTTGGCTATTAATATTCAGTTGCTTTTTGTGCAAGTTGCTTGTAGAAATGGTCTTCCATCAAGAAGTGCACGGACCAATCGTTAATTAGGCGCGCGTTCCCGACGCGTCCTCTCCAACCCGCATTTTCTTTAGACAATCCAACCATCCAGCTATTTCCTTCCAACACCCCAAAGATCACAATGGCGCTCCTCGTTGACAAGCTGCGACCACGGTCGCTCGACGCGCTTACATATCACCCCGAGCTTTCGGATCGCCTACGGTCGTTGGTAAGTGTGCCACAACCTTGCCGAGCATAGCAGGCAGCTCAACTAACCTAAATCACTACTTCACAGGCCCAAAGCGGAGACTTTCCTCACCTTTTAGTATACGGACCTTCCGGGGCTGGCAAGAAAACGCGCATCATTGCGACTTTGAAGGAACTGTACGGACCAGGCGTGGAGAAAATCAAGATCGACGCCCGAGTCTTCCAAACCACCAGCAACCGCAAGCTTGAATTCAACATTGTCTCCTCTGTTTATCACATGGAGATCACCCCTGCCGATGTCGGACACTACGACCGAGTTGTCATTCAGGAATTACTCAAGGAGGTCGCTCAGACGCAGCAGGTGGATCTGTCGGCGAAACAGCGATTCAAAATTGTCGTCATCAACGAAGCCGACCATCTCACGCGCGATGCACAGGCCGCGCTGAGACGCACAATGGAGAAATACAGCCCTAATCTGCGTTTGATCCTTCTCGCCAACAGCACGTCGAATATTATCGCTCCTATTCGATCGCGAACCCTGCTGGTCAGGGTTGCTGCGCCTACAGAAAACGACATTTGCTCAGCACTCCGGATTGCCGCTAAGCGAGAGGGCTGGACTGAAGCTGAAGGGTTGAACAAGCGGATTGCTAAGGAGAGTGGGCGGAATCTGCGTCGGGCACTGCTGATGTTTGAATCTATCTATGCGCAAAAGTAAGCACGGCACAGCCCATTCCCTCTTTTGATCGCGAGAGCTTGCAATACTAATTACCATGGATATCTAGTGAGAAAATTACAGACGCGAGCCCTATTCCTCCCCCCGACTGGGAAGCTCTCATCCAAGTAACGGCGGATGAGATTCTTAAGGATCGATCACCTGCCAGCCTTTTGCAGGTCCGCACTCGCCTCTATGACCTTTTAACCCACTGCATTCCCCCAACAACCGTACTCAAGGTGAGAATTTGGATGCGTTACTTCCAGAATAGCGTGCCAGAGGTTAACCTACGTCGCAGACTTTGACTTTCAAGCTTGTGGCACGAGTGGACGATGCTCTCAAGCCCGAAGTGATTAAATGGTCTGCTTTCTACGAGCACCGAATCAAGCTAGGAAGTGTAAGTGCCACCAGGGGGGAGATCCAAGAGTCTTGATATTGGTGTAGTTCTAACTTTCGCATAGAAAGTCATTTTCCACCTCGAGGCCTTCGTGGCCAAGTTCATGCGCATCTACGAAACGTTTGTCACCTGAAACCCATCCAATTTAGACACGAAAGCTAACTCTTAACTAGTTATCTGATGGGCATGATGGAGTTTTAAAACTTGAATATTACAAACAAAGACGAATGACGATTGTAAACTACCAGGGCGCGGAATTTCCATCTAATGAGTTCGAAAGGCTCAGCCTTCTGTCATTTTGCAGAACTCGACACCGGTGCCTTGGACTAGGAAATAATGCCCTGGGACTTATCTCTTTTGTAGGCGCATGAAGGCATTTTTGTGGTAGATTTATTGGCGTTTCGTTTGCAGGTTCCCAGCTATGCATCAGGTAGCCAATACATTTTGCATCAATTAAAATTACAGCATGAGAGTACCGTACAATGACTCTTCGGAAATTCCCCTTTGTCTAAGCACATACATTATTAGACCAGTATTGCAATGTATGTAGTTGGAGCCAGCTCTGATGTATCAGCATTCACAAGGCGGAGTTCCTATGAAGTTCAAGTTTGGTCGTTGGACCTACGTCATCACATACCGTCACAGGACCACCTCAGAGCATTTGATAAACCCATGCCGGTTTCTTTCCCCCTTCTTATAAAATATTCTGGCAATTGCATATTATTCGAAACTACTATACCAGCTAGGAGAGACCACGACTTTCAAAATGTCTGATCCACGATTAATTGATATGGAGCCTGGTGGGGAAAGTACCCAGTATGACAGTCCTATCGAGAGAACCGCTGCCGGTTAATCACCTGCACATTCTAATTGAACTGGCCAATGCAGATACGAGTCCATCCGACTGTACACCAAAACGCCCGACAAGCAAACCGGGCAAATGGGGAGTAAGTGGAAGGATGCACCATTTCAGATCTTACCACTAGCAGATCAAAATAGTTGTGTCTACTGACTGGAACTTGGAATGTATAGGCGGAAAAACGCCGACTGAAAGCCAGCTTAGCACCAAGGACGACCCCGTACTCGAGGGCAATGCCAGTGGTGACGAATACAAGTTGGCACAGAAGCTAGGAAGGGGCATGGAGAAGGAATCTGAAGGTAAATAGAGAATAAATCCTTGTGTCTTCTAAAACTCCTAATACCAGACAAAAAGATCATCCCGGAATGGTCCGGAATTTCATGGACACACTCCGGAAGACACGCAAAAAGACTGACAGTAATGTACAGAGGACCTTGACACACCAGGCGATGCAGCCACCGCCAAAGCGAGAAGACAGCAGGGGTATGGGCCCGGCTCTGATGTCGGGGCTTAATTCAACATGGGGGGGAAAATTGGAAAGGAAGCGTTGAAAAACATGAAATCTCGGTATGATGCAGGCGGGAGAGCAGTTTATTGAGAGGGGGAAGAAGAGTCGGAGGAAGTGGTTTGTGGCGGGTTGGGAAGGTCGTTGGTTCCGAGGGGAGGGTTTCTGCGGGCACGCTTGAGGGAGTCGAGAGTGACGCCGTTACCGAGCTTTGTGATTCCAACCACAGGAGGATCGTCCTTCTTGACGAATTCCCAAAGGCCTGTGGAATATTAGTATAAAATGAAGCAATAATGATTATGGAATTCGCTGTTTGAGATACTGTTTCAAAACATACCGGGTAGCTTGTGACCAGCCAGACGGAAGGCCTCGCGGGCGACCTTCTCGTGAATGTCACCCTTCAACTCGAAGACAATTCGACTCACGGGCAATCGAACAGTCCAGTAGTCAAATTTACCCTTACCCTTACCCATACGTTGCTCGTTACCCTTGGTGTACACACCGATGTTGGCGCTAACACGCTTGTAGAGCTTGTAGTTCATTCCTCTCAGTCGTCGCTTGATAGTCTCCTCTGCAATCTTCAAGGCGGAAGAGGGCATGCGGCGGTCGTGATCCTTCATCCGAATGCCGTAGTCTCCCCACACGACTGTTGTTCCGCGGGTTGATCCGCCGGTAGCGACATGGGGGCGGCCCTTGGGCGATTTGGACCTCTCGGCGAACTTGGGTGTGAGCCAATTGAAGGTGGACGAAGTGGTTGAGAAGGACCGAGCCAGGGAAAAGGTAGCTAGTGGACTCGACAAGCCTGCATGGAACGGATTAGTTTCAAATTGTGGTGACATTTTGGCGGGGAAAGCTAATTCGTACAGGATGGCCGAGTGAATCCCAATAGGGGCCCCGCAAACATCTTCATCTGAGGACCCATTATGACCGTAGAGGGCTGTTTGATACCGAGCGCGGACGATGTTTCTTGACGAGGCCAGCGGCACTTTTCGATGTCCAGATCCACTAACCCGATCGGGACCAAATTGGCACGTGACCGTGTTCCTTAGTCAGCTGCCGTCACGGCGCGTCCAGTCGCTCCGGCCGCGGGCGCGACTGGAGAACCCGGAGCTTCTGCCTTGTCCCCCGATCGCCTTCTGCCTCGGATTTCACTTCTCTGAGACTTTACACGGATAGGTCTGTGTGTTTGTGTCACTATGCCGCCAGATATCAGAAGCTTTTTTGGTGGCAAGCCAAGCCAAGCCAACACCGAGGCTCCCAAGTCTGCGAAAAATGAAGTAAGTTCTGGTGCCTGGATGCGAGTCAGCTCTATAAAGAGCCCTATCACCCTCGGGGGTTCCTCAATTAAAGCAGAGTACTGATATTTATGTTCAAATGAAGGATCCATCAGCCGCGAGAAAGAAACGTACGATTACCTGCTTCATATCCATCACCCATTCACCGATCTAATGACATGACAGGTAGCAGAAAGGTGGTTGATGATAGCGATGACGATGATGTCGCACCTGTGAAGCCCGCTACCCCTAAGGCGAAGCCAAAGAGCAAACCGTATGCTTACCCTTTGCTTGATGTTCGAGTCGCGCTAATCATACACCCGGAATAGTCAGCCGGAAGAGCCCAAGGGAGAAGTAACGACAACGTCGGATTATTTTGCGTCCAGCAAGAAACGGGATCAGACAACTAAGAGCTCCAGCACGACCAAAAAGGCTCCCGAGAAGACCGCCAACCCTCAGAAAGCCAAGAGCGTTGAAATTACCCCGAAGCCGTCACGCACCTCGAAGAAGGCCACAACTCTCATTGACGACGACGGCCTTGGAGGTGATGACATTTTTGCTTCCGAATATACGAAGGCCGGCAAGGGCGAAGATGCCTACGTTGCCGAAGGTGACAGCGATGACGATGACGACGATTTCGAAGTGCTCGAGGTCAAGCCAGCCGCAGCCAGAGCCAGGAGAACGCAAAACAAGCGACAAATCGAGGATGACGAAGACGATGATGTAGTGATGGAAGATTTGCCAAAGATTACACCGAAGCCGCGTGCAAGTCGCAAGCGGAAGTCGGAAGCTCTCACTGACGAGGACGAAGAGCCTCCTCAGGAAAAAAAGAAGCGAGCTCCGGCTAAAGCAGCCGCATCCCCAGCTGCGAAGAAGACGAAGGCCGCCCCGAAAAAGAAGGACCCCGAGCCCGAGAACCCAGAGATTCAGGCCATTTTTGACAGCATCCCCTTGATTAAAGCACCTTCACCACCTCCACCTGAGGACGGGCCGCCCAAGAAGTGGACTTTCGGTGGCCAGCGCTCTCGTACACCACCAGTCTCCGGGACCAAGGATATACCTACAGGTGCAGAAAACTGCCTTGCGGGGTTGACCTTTGTATTCACTGGCGTGCTTGAAACACTAGGCCGCGAAGAAGGTGCAGAATTGGTCAAACGATACGGTGGCAAGGTTACTGGCGCGCCTAGCAGGAAAACAAGTTATGTTGTGCTGGGCGGCGAGGCTGGACCATCGAAGCTCAAGACCATACAGAATTTCCAGCTAAAAACCATCAACGAAGATGGCCTTTTTGAGTTAATTCGACGTTTGCCTGCAAATGGTGGCTCAGGGCAAGCCGCAGAAGCATTCAGCGCCAAACAGAAGGCTGAAGAAGAGAAGGTCAAGGCTTTGGCAGCTGAAATTGATGCAGAAGAGAAGAAGCAGAAAGCAGCAATGGAGAAGAAGTCAACTCCCCAACAGACTCCCAGCAAAGGAAAAGCCACAGTATCTTCGCAGGAATCCCCAGTGAACGATCAGCTCTGGACCACCAAATATGCGCCAACAGCTGCCAGCATGATCTGTGGTAACAAGGCGGCCGTTGAGAAGATCCAGACATGGTTACGCAACTGGCACAACAATGCCAAAAAGGGATTCAAGGTTGGTGGGAAAGATGGATCTGGCATCTATCGCGCGGTCATGATCCACGGACCTCCAGGAATCGGCAAAACCACAGCCGCACACCTAATGGCTAAACTTGAAGGGTTCGATATCGTTGAAACCAACGCGAGTGACACGAGAAGCAAAAAGCTCGTTGAAACTGGGCTACTAGGTGTTCTCGACACAACATCTCTTCAAGGTTATTTTGCTGGAGACGGCAAGAAGGTGGACAGTGGGAAACGAAATCTTGTCTTGATCATGGATGAGGTTGACGGCATGTCTGCCGGTGACCGAGGAGGTGTTGGAGCAGTGGCAGCCATCGTCAAGAAGACCAATATCCCCATCATTCTCATCTGCAACGAGCGAAGGCTGCCGAAGATGAAGCCATTCGACCATGTCACTTTTGATATTCCATTCCGCCGCCCGACTGTGGAGCAGATCCGCGCCAGATTGTCCACCATCTGCTTCAGGGAAGGTATCCAGATGCCTCGCCCTGTGCTAGACAGCTTGATCGAAGGAACGCATGCAGACATTCGGCAAGTCATCAACATGCTGTCCACTGCGAAGCTCGATCAGTCCACTATGGACTTTGATAAGGGCAAGCAGATGTCCAAGGCATGGGAGAAGCACATTATTCTCAAGCCCTGGGACATTGTTAGCAAGATCCTGAGTGCCCAGATGTTTTCACCAAGCTCAAGTAGCACCTTGGAAGACAAAGCTCAGCTTTATTTCAACGATCACGAATTCAGTTATCTTATGCTCCAAGAGCATTATCTCAAAACAAAGCCTACTCTCGCAAGCAATTGCATGGATCCGAGAGAAAAGAGACTGAAGGAGCTTGAGTTGATCGACAATGCTGCCTCTAGCATTAGTGATGGCGATCTCGTTGATCGAATGATCCACGGGACTCAGCAACAATGGAGTCTTATGCCAACTCATGCCATGTTCAGCTTTGTTCGCCCCGCCAGCTTTGTCTACGGCAATAGCCAAGAACGGCCCGCGTTCACTTCCTGGCTTGGAAACAACAGCAAACAAGGTCAGTAATACCCAAGTCTCTGCATTTTCTTTATTCTAACCGTGAAACTCTAGGCAAATTGACTCGTTTCGTCAAGGAGATTCAAGGCCACATGCGCCTTCGAACTTCCGGCAACCGGGACGAGATTCGGCAGCAGTATCTGCCTATGGTATGGGATAAATCGGTTCGACAACTCCAAGATGTCGGCAAAGAAAGCGTAGATGATGTGATTGATTTTATGGACTCCTACTTCTTGACACGCGATGACTTCGACGCCATTATGGAACTGGGACTTGGACCCATGGATCAGTCTAAGGTCAAATTGGAAACACAGACCAAGGCAACTTTCACTCGTCTCTACAACCAACGCTCACACCCTCTGCCATTCATGAAGGCTAGCAATGTTGTGGCGCCGAAGGCAGCCCCCAAGGAAAAGCCGGATATCGAAGATGCCATTGAAGAGTCCGACGAAGAGGAGGTCGTGGAAGAGGTCAAGGACGAAGATGATGAATTGGATTTGAAGAAGGATAAATACGTGAGCCAGCCAAAGAAGAAGGCAGCCCCTAAGAAGAAAGGGAAGAAGGCCGCTGAGGATGATGGCGAAGAAAAGCCAAAGAAGGGTCGGAAAGCGAAGGCCAAAGCTTAGATGCAATTTGTATAATACAACGTTCCTCTTTCACTGCAGACTCGTCAAATCGACACTGCAGTTGCATATTACCAAGAAGCCTTTTCTTTCACCAATGTGAGCCGTCGTCACATGTTTCGAATTACAAGTAACTATCTTGATAATTACAACGTTGGAACATGGAGCTACAAGTTTTCGAACAAAATATAAGATCAGTATTGCATAGATGTGGAAATTAGATGCCCGCCTCATTTACTCTCCAACTTCGCGGTCATCATCCCATCGTACCCACTTCATCACAGACCAACTGAGGGTAGTTTGGCGAATCGTTTTGCCCCAAATGAAGAACGGAATCCAGCAGATAAGAACGCCTCCACAGATGGCAGCCATCTCGCCGTATGCGATATTGTAACCGTGGATTTCCACCCAGGGGTTTGTGTAGAAGCCGAGCAGGAAGCCGAAGGCAGACTTGAAAGCTAGTTGGGTAACGACAATTTCTCCAGCAATGGGGCGATAACTGTCGATGGTGTACACAAGGGAGACATTGGTAGCTTGAGTGATAGTGAAATTGACTAAACAAAATTAGCATCTCGATCAAGAGGGGGTCGAAGAAGGACAGCAAATTCAAAGACTTACTCAAGCCAATACCAATGGTAGGAACTATCCAGTGCATCTGCCACTTGATACCACATCCATATAGAGCTAGAGCCAAAGGGCCGGTAATAGCACCGACCATGATGGCTGGAAGACGCATCTCCGGCTCACGAATACCGCCATTGCGGCGGGTGAAGTAATCGGCAACCCAATCAGAGAAGTTTCCACCGAGAAGAATACCGAAAGCACAGCCGATGATCGCAGAAACGAAGCAAAGTCCGGATTGCCATGCCTCAAAGCCGTAAGCGGTTGAAAACGCGGAAGAAACATTTGAGGTAATGGCTGTGATGAAGCCGATAGTTACAGACATGACAAGTGTAGCCCACAACACTGGGGGTAGAATCAACAGCCCCACTGGTCGGATAATCATTTTCCAAAGGGATTCATGGGTAAATTTGCCATGATAGAGCCTCAGGCCCTGCTTAAAGCCTGGGCTACTATCAACATTGGCATCTTGAGGTGCAACCTCGATTTCCGCAGTCTCACCCACGCCGGCTTCTTCACCCTTGACACTGCGTCGGATGCGATTACCAGAGGGACTCAAGGTTGTAACGGTGCCTGTTGGTGCGAAATTGCGGTTATAAGCCGTCTCTGGGAAAGTGGCATAGACCACGAGAGTAACAAAGCCAATCAAGGCAATGGCGACGTAGTAGATGTAGCGCCATGGGTATGATTTGACAATGAACCCATCGACGATGGCACCACTTGCAACACCGAAATTTAGGGAGGCATTATATAGTCTAGAGCATATTAGAAAAGGATGAGCAGAGTTTCAGCAATCAACTTACGCTGTAATGGTTCCACGCTCGTGTAGGAAGAAGATGTCGGCAATAGTAATCGGGGCCAAACATTCACCCGCGCCGGCAGCGATTCCCATGACGATTCGAGCAACTAGGAAATTCGCATACTCCTTCGCCACAGCACACCAGATAGCAGTGATAGTGTAGAGGGTGAACGCAGTCACGTATATCGGTCGTCGACCGTATTTGTTGATGAGAGGCATCCAGATCAGGTTTCCAAGACCTTGGAACAAAGCCGTGCAATTGAAAAAGTAGGCTGTTTTCGCGATCGCCGCCGACATACCGGTCTGTTGCCAATCAGGGAAAAAGTCTTGTGCAGTCTGGAGAATGGCGAGCGTGGGACCGGCTGCTAGGAAGTTGCAAAGAACCATGGCGAGGCACACAGCCACTGCGGTGTATAGCTTGAACCATCTTGGCCTGTAGGAATTGGGATATCAGAGTCAGATGCAAGTCATTGCAGAATGCCCAAGAAATCACCATAGGGGTTTTTTACCAGTTAAGGGGATCTTTAGGATCATCAGAAGGCGTAGGAACCAGAATCACCTCGTTGGTTTCCTCATCGCGGAGACGGAGATGGCCAAGTGTTTTAAGCTGAGCACTCTCAGACTTCTCATCAAATTTGGCGCCGGAGCGCTCTCTTACTTGCATCTTCGTGATCAACCCTTCAGAAAGCTTGCCAGTGTGCTGGATTCTACTAGAAGAGGTCAGGCCAGCAGCTCGATATATACCCTCATCTTCCCAAACAGCTAGAGTCGTGGCTTGTGAGTAGCTGCGGGGCCCCACGCCTTCAGTGAATCTGGGGAAACAAAGTGAGGCCCACTTCCCGGAGGACCCAAGGGATGCCAGGGACAGCTGTATCTCAGCGCGGTGCCACTTGGACACCTGATCCTCTCCTTTGTTTTTCCGAAGCCTTGCTCCGACTATAGAGCAAAAAGACCCTACTATCCTGGAAAAGGGAGAGTAGACCACCATTCACAAGCTAGAACCATGCACCTCGCAGCAGACACGCAGAACACGAAAATTTGAACCAGTAGCCCATTTTCTCCCAGAAGAAAAGGATGTGGAGGGTCTGAGCCGATATTGCGCGTCAAGAACGCCCTGTGGCTGCCAAGGCCCAATCAAGATCAGCCACTGCTATCCCGCGGATGCGGCCACCTTCCAAAGCTTTTTCAAGGATACGCTTTGCTGCTCGAGAATTCGGCCCCAGAGCGGGCATCCGTACTGGTTAATGATCGTTGAGCCGATATTGATAGTTTGAGTAGACTGTGATGAGAGATTCACGTCTTTTATTCCCACCAAGGTTTTAAATTTGTGAAATTGAAAAGCGGGTCGAGCAGAAACTGAGCATCGACGGAGTGCGGAGAACGGTGCACTAGATAATGTTTCGTAACGCTTGGCACTTTCCTAGTACTTTCCCCCTTTCTGCTTCTATTGAGCAGAATGACTGTCTAGACTCTACTCTGCTCCAGGCCTTTTTTTGCCCGTAATAAATGGATATATTAGTGGCCCGTTTCTTTTCGTGAGCATCTTCAAGTTTATGAGCATCAAGTTGACGATGGCATTATCTCGCTCAGCATGTGATACCAGTAACCTGGAGGGTCCTAAATTAAAACAACTGTAGATCACATGAGCTTGTTCATTTCTTAACCTTGTCTTGTCCTATTCCTAGGGCTTTTTGTGATCTACTGCCTTCCATACCTAGTAGTAGTATCTTTTCATCCTGAGGCAATTGATGCAATTAATAAACTTGAAGGTTAAGCTAGTCAACCCTCCTGTGTATACTAACAAGTTATAACTTGGGAATCTGGACTCGTTGTCTCAATCTTGAAGATTGAGGCAAGCCTTACATACCTACTAGTAGGTCGCCAGATGCCCAGGCGAAGGAATATCCATACCTAGGTACCTACTAACTAGTAGAGGCTTTACATGCGTAAGAAGCTGCTGTTATATACCTTGCTAGATCCTGTCACTTGACATTCTTTCCCTCCAATGGTAGTAACAATGAGGTGGCCACCGTAGGGGTAGGGTAGTCCTGTGTCACGGTGACATTCAACAGGAATGGCACACCTAATGACTGCCCTTCCACTTGCTGATCTATACTTTACTGTAGCAGTCTTCCAATCCATCGAGGTAGTAATGTCTGAGAGTTCTCTTATTACTAGCCAACTAGTTCAGTTTGATTTATTGGTAGTGCAGGTTGGGAAAGAAATGTCTTTGGCATTGAAGTTTCTCGCAATGGTGTGTTTTGCCACTACAGTCATCTTTAACAGTGCCTCATCGAACTAGTACTTTGACTGTAGCTTATATTTAGCTTTTTTTGCATGCTTATCTGAAAAGATGTTCTGACACTGACTCCTGTGGCTCTATCAATTTTTCTCTCGCATCTTCCCTGCTTCTCGTCCCACCCTCTCCACATTGTCTGGCTGTGGTCCTCAATCCTCTACGCCGTACCAGATGACTTCCTCACCGATTGATATATCAAGCGCCATATTACCCACTAGTACTTCTCTCAATGTGAAGTCCTACGACAGTCGTGTCAATGATACAAAAGAGAAGGTGTCGCTTCAGCACCAGGAGAATCTGGCTGTATCCGAGGGTGGGCGTGATGACATTCAGCTTCAACGTCTTGGAAAGAAGCCCGTACTCAAGGTGCGTGAAATCTTCCATGGTTATCGAGCTATCACTTCCTAACTTTCATCCAGCGTGACTGGGGGGGGTTCTCTCGGTTCTTGGCCTTGCCTGTACGATTTTAGGGACCTGGGAAGGATTACTCGCGTAATGACCACTGGGAAAGCACTGTTCACGCCTATGTTAACATTGGAACAGAACTTTTATCCTCTCTTTGACCAAGTCTGCTCCCGCTCTCTATCTCCTCTCCTATATATGACCCCGTTAACACAAATAGTGGTGGCCCGGCCGGAGCCGTTTATGGCTTCATTTTCGTATGGATTGGCACGGCGTGCTATTTCGTGGTTCTGGCGGAACTTGCTTCAATGTAAACTGCAATTCAACTTCAATATCCAAGCACTAATTTCTTGATAGGGCCCCGACATCCGGTGGACAATACCACTGGTGTGCAATGCTTGCTCCGAAAGAATATAGAAATATCCTCAGCTATATCACAGGTATGGTCCCATACTACCCAATACTATTCACACTGTTATTTACTTATTTCCATGACCAGGTTGGCTCTCTGTGGTCGGCTGGCAAGCCGCTTTTGCCTCGGGCGCTTTTCTTATCGGAACCCAGATCCAAGGAGCAGTAAGCCTGGCATACGACAGCTACAATTCTAAAGCATACCAAGGAACTCTGATGATGTGGGCATTTCTATGTATTGTGTTCGCTACGAACATAGTAGGCGGCAAGTTCCTCCCGCGACTTGAGAGCGGACTGTTGTGCTACCATATCCTCGGCTTTTTTGGAATTATGATACCTTTGGTTATCAAAGCCGCCCACAAATCAAAGGACCAGGTTTTCGAGGAGTTTCTGAATGGCGGAAACTTCCCTAGTCAGGGTCTTTCTTGGTTCGTGGGGCTCAGTGGTGCTGCTTTCGCATTCGCTGGTGGTGATGCCGCCGTACATGTAAGTGCGGAGTGCAAATATAGCTGACTTGAATATTAACCGAGAATCATAGATGTCCGAGGAATGTGCAAATGCAGCTGCAGCAATTCCGAAAGCGATGATGCTGACAGTCGTGATAAACGGTTGTCTTGGATTCGGGATGCTTTTGACAATGTTGTTTTGTAGCGGCAATATACAAGATGCATTGAGCTCGCGGAGTGGATACCCTTTCATGGAGATATTTCTTCAAGGAACAGGTTCGAAGGGTGGCGCGCTTGCAATGATCTCTGTGTTCCTTTTTGCCGCTGGCTGCTCGATATTCGGGATGTTGGCCGCGACATCTCGACAATTCTGGTCTTTTTCTCGAGACAGGGGGGGTTCCTGGTTGGGCTTTGTGGTCAAAGGTAGAACATCTTCCAGAGATTTGAAGAATATCCTACTGATTAAAAGTTCGTCTTCTCAGGTCAACTCCCGACATCTACCAGTTTCCTCCATCGTGTTGACCGTCATTATCGCCGCCGTCCTGGGACTGATCAATATAGGCTCCAAGCTGGCATTGGAAGACATTCTGTCAATGGCAGTGGCTGGTCTGTATTCTTCCTATCTGATGGTTAGCATACTGCTCCTATATCGACGGTGCAATGGGGATATTTCTCGTTTTGGCGATGCGACGAGCATGCAGACCAACGTACCTGGAGCCAGGCTGACTTGGGGTCCCTTCCATGTGCCTGGAATTTTCGGTATCCTTGTCAATGGCTTCACTGTAATGTATATGGTCATCATCATATTCTTCAGTTTCTGGCCGTCGAAGATGCATACCACAGCAAGTACGATGAACTACAGCGTTGTGGGAACTTGCGGCGTCGTGGCTCTCGCAATTGCATACTACGCTGTGCGTGCACGACACGTCTATCAAGGCCCAATAATGGAAGTGAGAGAACAGGAATGAGTAGCTCGGGATTTCTTACTATGGTAAACTGTACCCTGGGGCTTGGTTACTTCTATAGCTATTAGCTTCTTTGGCTTACGTCAAATTGGCCGGCTCGAGGTTAAGAGAGATTGAAAGCGAACTTGAAGTTGAAACATATGCATTTATGCTTTAATCAAAATTGTCCATCGTTTTTTTTAGGGGTTCTGGAGCACTATGCTCGTCGTAGTATGTGGCTCAAATTGGGTATGATAGTTACTAGTGAGTAGTTACTAGTTAACACCAGAGACAATCGCCTCGAAGGTAGAAAAAGAAAGAAAGAAAGAAAGAAAGAAACAGATGGACAAATTCAAAGGGAATTCCGAATATATAGGAGTTATAAAGCATACTCTATAGGCATTGTATAAGTATGCCGTAAGTATTCCAAGTTGTTGTCCACGCAAGGTTGACTCGACGGCGGGGAAATGATCGGCGATCAACTTCCACTTGCCCTGCCGCATCCACTCCGCTATTTCCCTTCAACTTCCCTCCCCCTCTGCTTCTGCTTCTGCTTCTGCTAGGCTGGTCCTGCTTAACACATTCCCTTTCTCATTCCTACTCATCTTTCTGTTGAGCATGCGCCTTAGCCCCTGTCGACTTCCGCCCACGAGTTTGACACCGCTATCAACACTATCCTCTCCCCTCCTGGCGACCAGCTCCTCCCCTCGTTTGGAGTCGGGGAAACATGTCGCTCCTTCATAATGAAGAGTAGGTTCTCCCATGCTATCTCTGATTCTACCTCTCTACTCGCCCCTCCTCGTGATCCCCCCTGACACCATGACGCCCGGCTGACAAGTACTCAGCTTCGCCATCTGGCAACTCCGCTCCTCATACCTCTCGACCATTAAAGACGGCATCGGCGACCGCTTGATCAACGTCAACAACTCTATCCTCAATACTCCAGGCTTCCGCGCTGCTGGTTGGTCGGCCGTTGCTACCAACGGCACCAGTGCCAGCAGCATCAAGCGCACCTACTCCCCTCCGATCCCAACCACAGCGGCCGTCTCCTCCGAATATTATCGTCTAGCCGTACGAGATGCAAATGCTGCGCGGGATGAGCTACAAGGCCTTGGACTGGAGGGGGGCGAGGAAGATGAAGGGGGCATGGTGACCGGCAAAAGCAACATAGATTACACAGGCCGAAGGAATCATGCTCGAGGAAAGAAGAAAGGCCGACGCGACCATAACCAAGAGACACAACCGCCCGTAGTCCCCGAGGACGACGATAGCAGTGACTTGAGTGATGACAGCGACGAGGAGATCGAGAATCCACAAAGGTATGCTATTAGGCCACCCGTCGATCGCATCGCATATCACGATTTCGGTTGAGATTCTGACAGTTCTAGATCGGCCGACGCGATCAAATTTAACAAGATGCCCATAAGCCGAGACCGAGCCGATTCCTCTCCTATTCGCTCGATTGAACACCGAGAACGACCAGAGGTCATGATCACCTCCCCCTCGACACGGAATGTGGCTAGCCATTACCGCACCGGGTCGTTGGGAACTGCAGTTTCCGGCAAAGAACAACAACGTCCGCGACGAGATACAACTACGAGCAGTGACTACTTGTCAACAGACAACGAGGTCGATACCCAGAGCTACAAGCCGGGGCAGGTCCAATTCTCGACGGCTGATCATGTAGTCGATCGTCCTCGCAGACGACGGGAACGTACTGGTAGTCGTGGCGCGGACAGCATTGTCCTCGAGGATTTACATGAGCAGGATGAGGACTCTGGTGCAGAGTCCGTGGGATCTGCCATGTCCTCCGAATTTGACGCCACGGCCGGTTCTGGCTCACTGCTGCTGGCTGGGGTCGGCATTAATGGTACCTTGAACGCGTCCTCCCCGATGGTCCTAATGCACAAGCTTCCCGCAAATACTGGGCCCAGTCAAAGCAACTCTCCGCGTAAATCCAAAACGCCAGCGCCCGAGCTACATGAACTTCCACCACCGCGGCCTATCAGCACATTTAAGCCAGTCAGCTTGCTCACAAAACAGCTCAAGTCTAGGAAACGAGCGCCGAGCAACCCTGTGGAGAAGTTCATCGTTCTCTCTGGCAAAGACCAAGCTGATCCACTACATCTCAAGATCTATGTTCCCTTTTCATCTGATCCTGAAGATCCTCTGGATCTGCCCCTCATGAGAGAGTCCAAACTTGCAGAGCAGCCTGCGATAGTCACTGTTGCCGAGACGATTGGACTTGCACTGTGGAAATACTCCGAAGAGGCGCGTGATCCATCTATCGACCGAGAGAAACTGACAGTCAACCGATGGACTCTGCGCATGGTCGACGATGGTGAAGTCGAGTACGACTTCCCGGCGCTTGGACGAACACTTCCGATGACAGACTTCACATCGAACAATAACAATGCGGCAAAGATGCGTGGCCGGTCACGCGGCAAACCGTACGACGAGTTCGCACTTGTCGAAGCAACCGATACAGAGTTCGAGGAGAATGAACGACTGCATCCGCAATTCAGCCAAAGCCTTGGGTCTGATGAGGTTGAACCCCCCGCCAACCTAGCGGTTCCGGGTGCCCCAGGCGCCTCTCAGCCTGCTCCGCCAGTCAAGCCCTTAATTGGACGACAGAATCCGATTCTCGGCCACCCATTCTCCTCCGCGCTGAACGACAACACGCTGACGCCAGCGGACCGACCAATGGTTCCTGTCTCGCATGCTACCCCACGCATGGGCGTGACCAAGACCTTGAAGATTCGTTTCATTAACCTGGAGGCCGCTGCGCATACGATGACACTCAATCCCTCTACGGACAGCTACATTGCAGAGCTCCTGGACTCGGTATGTAAACGCTGGGGTCTCGACAAGGGCAACTATCTCCTCAAGGTGATGGGTTCAAACACCGTTGCGCCACTTGATCGTACCGTGGAGGCATTGGGCAATATCACAGAATTAGACTTGGTCCGCCGACGCTTCGGGGCTGGTCCTCTCTCACTGGGCGGCTCACCTGGTAGTTCTTCACCCAATGCCCCGCTCCAGGTAGACAGCAACCCTCAAGCAACTTTGAAAAAGGGCAAGAAGGGCGGGAAACCCATGCTGCCCTCATTCTCACAGAAGCAAGATCTTATCGCCGGCTATTATCGTCGGTACCATGTCTTCCGCAAACAACCTATGACATTCACTGCTTCGAACCACAAAATCTTAACATTTGATAACGACTATATGCACATGGTGCCTGGCGACACAGGAAAAACCGTGGACACAAAAACACGCTCGATCAATTTCAACGATGTCGTGGGATGTAAGGTCAGCCGCCGTCATCCAAAGACTTTCCGGGTCGTGGTGCTCCGCGGGAACGAGGCGAACGAACAAAAACGTTACGATTTTGAGGCGCGCAATGCTTCGGAGGCAGTCGAGATCGTGGATGAGATTAAGAAGAACATGGCACAATATCGTTTATGATCCAGGGCGGCTTTGCTGAAGCGGACTCGCTAGTCCTTGTTTGTTTTCAATTGCACCGGATCAATCATGGGGGAACGGGGGAATACCACATCGTATCTGTATCTGGGCGGCTGGTCTGGCGTTATGTATCTTTTATCCATGGTGACAGTCAATTCGAGTCTTGAAGATTTCGACTTCTCTCACTTCACTGCTCCTTTCTAGCTCACATTTTGATCCTTTGCTTCTACTAATACCTACCTAGGTAGGTAGTAGGATAATAGTAGATTCAAGTTGAGGCACTAAGGCCCATTTCCCAAGGTTGGCCTTCCGAATTAATGGCATAGGTCAAATACTAACGATATGAAGGAAGGATTCGCAGATGATTTCACATATATTCGAAGGTTTTCATACTAGTATTGAAGCACCGCACTAATTCACATCGTGTAAAAAGTCGCTTTCGTAGCTTTAGATCCATGGATTGAAAAGGCAAAATCAACTATTTGAACGAATCATCATTCCAAAGGCTTCTTCGCCTCGTCCTCAAAATGCTTAACCTCTTCTTCAGCATGGCCATAACGATCCCGTAATTCTCTGAGTTTACAAGTTCTGAACTTTTATTCTCCAACAGGGGTAGGTTTCAGGTGGCTTCCTGATTTTGGGTCGTGCATTCACAGTGTCTCAATCGTACATGATTTATTGCGTGATGTTTGGCCAGACACTGCAAGTTTTCAGCTCTTCAGCGGCCAAGCTTCGCTGAAATGTAACCATACCCTAATTCTAGCTGCTGCCCTGAGTGATTCTAGACCTTTGGCCAGTCTCGCAGAATTCAAACTCAATGCATAGCCGGCAACTGCGAAATGCATTGTTATACATAGTATCTCGCGGCTATTATGAACCATGTTCGTCGCTTCTTTTGCCCTGGAAACATCTCCAGTGTGCGGGGGCCGTCATGCCACTACTAAATCAGCCATACGGCCCGCACCGACCGGCTAAAGCCTAACCATAAAGGGTGGTTCTTCGGGTAGAATAGCCAATATACGGTCAAGCCGAAAGACTCTGAGGATGCTGCTTTGAGATGAGAGAGAAATCATGGCTCGTGCTCGCCCCGAGATGGTGGCGAGACCAGAATATCATTCCAATCGGCTTATTTAACTGTCTCGCTAGGTGTTTGTCTCAATTCACGGTGGTCGGTCTGCAATATTTCCACGGAAGACTACATGTAAATAGACCCGAGTCCCTTGCCCAAGAGACTGAATGTAAATTGAAATCAAATATTCGACCCTCCAGTTTTCAGGATAAATCTGCCTCCTTGGTGCCATATTTTTCAAATGTCTTCCTCAATCGGTATTCTCGAGAGTGACATACTCGTTGGGCAAGGTTACAATTCGTACATCCAAAGGAAATGTTTCCAAAATGCCGTTGTCGTTGAGCCAGCTTGGGCACCAAGAACCCCTAAAACTCAAGAGGCTTACTTTAATTGGGACTATGTGCGTACGATGAGCGATATTTCCAGATCTATTGGTGTCTCCGCTGCCCTTGCCATCAACTGTGGGGGATTTTCCGGCACGGGAAAAGGCGCCTTTATCAATGAGGATATTGTAGGTTCAAAGTTATGATGATAGCTCCCGATCTTTCGATTGCCAAAGAACCGTGACAGTATTAACATTTGCGGTGCTCATATAAGGTTCAAAACTCCGACATATCTTTCATTGTCAGATCTAAGGTTATCAACCGTTACGATCCCATTAAAAGAAAATTCAAATTCAACAGTAAAGCTGGAATCACCAAAGAAAACTTCTTAGCAAATTATGGAGACTGTTTTGTCTCTAACTTCGAAGAAGGAGGCGAATTTTTGGCCTTGGTCAATGTTAGCATATCAGACTCAGTGGATAAGAAGTCGATCGAAGGTGAAATTGAAGCAGGCTTGAGAGCTATAGAAGTAAAAGGCAGTGGGGATTTTACTTCAGACCTCCGTTCGAAGGCCAAATTCTCTATATCAGTTTATGCAATTGGAGGCAAGCCTCTGAAGCCAGGTAGGTACAAGGAACATTTGCCCGTTTGGCCTATGGGAGAAATAATCATTCTAAAAGGTGCTGAATAGATGGAGGTGCATGGAACATAACGTCAATGCTGAAGGCTGCAACCGACTTCCCTCAGCAAGTTTCGACAAATTCTGCAATTCTAAGCGTAACCCTCGACCCCTACACAACGGCAGATGGTTTTTTCGAGGCCATGAAGGGATACGAACCAGCTTCGTATACTGTTGCATTGAGACTGACTGCCTCGTGGCTAGACGATTTTACAAGCTTCAAGAAAATCATCTCAGATATCTCCAAGATGAAAGAAAATCTGGATGGCTACATTAAAGCACCAAATAAGACCGACGCTTATGAGCTAAATTTGGAGTCGCTGGACAATGCAGTTGACGAGTGCAACGCTCAGCGGTCCCTGATAACTAAGAACGTGGACACAGTGACACGCGACCCAAAGCTCGCCATTGCTTCAAGGTCAGACAAAGACGACAAGTTCAAATATACCAAACCAGGCCAGATTCGAGATCGTCTGCCTGCCAAGAAGAATGTCACACAGTCCACTCTCGCAAGCCTTTCGGGTAGTTCAATTGTATGCTGCAATGTTTTGGAAGGGGAGACAAAGTGCACAAAACTATACTGGCAACATGAGAATGGTTCCATCATGGAGTCTACATGTAAGAATTTGGAGTGGAGTCTGGAGCAGACCATGGTGGCTACCGGTGCGATGCCAAACACTCCGCTGGCGGCAGTTTTTGATCCTACGTCTACAAAGGTATGGTTTGGTGAATATAAGCCCTTTTGATCTGATTAGTCGCTAACAAGGATTGAAAGACTCGTGTGTTTTACATGAGCAAGGGTCGCATATGCGAACTTGTTCGTGCGGTGAACCACGCCGTGTGGATAGACGGCGAGTTTGTTAATCCTACAGCGACAAACTCTCCCATTACGAATCTTGCTGTATATCGACAACCAAGTGGGCGGCTGCATCTCTTTTACCAGGACCAAAAACACAAGTTGATACACGAGGTTTTCGAGCCGGGTGCTACCGAATGGGCGGCGCCTTCTGGGATTCCAGAAGATCAATACACCATGGTGCCTGGAAGCTCACTGACTGTTCTACCCGGCGTTGATGATTGGTTTTCGGTAGTTTTTCAGGGGTCTGATGCGAACTGGATCGAGCTGGTCTTTGACCCTACTACAGAAGACGCTGCACAAAAATGGAAAAAAGGTGAGTTGACATGCCATGCCATCATTGAATACCTGAATACTAATGACATGGCATAGCTGAAATCGGTCTTACGCTCCGCCTCTGTCGTCCTGGTAATGGTCTAAGTTCAACATTTTTAGAAAGCACCAAGACAAAAGAACTCGTTGCAATCTACCCTTCCAATGAAATCTGGATGACCAAGTATGAAAATGATAAATGGTCCGATCCAGCGCATGTTGGTACAGTATCAGCTTCAGGCAAAGTTGCCATAAACCATGGCTCTAGCGGTGACTGTCGGATCTATGCTTCGAAGAATAGAGGCGTCGTTGAAATGACCTGGGATGACAGCAAGAAAGTTTGCAAGGTCACTCGCGAGGCTGGGATGCCAATCCTCCCAGCTTGATTGCTTTTATATCAGAGTCTCAATTTCAAGTTCCAACCTTGGAATACGTGGAGAGTTTCTTTGTGGAGTTGCCTTATTTGAGATATTCATTTAGAAGTAAGGTTGGAGACGAACAGTTCTTTACGATTATAAAACAGGTTTGCTGCCCTTGGGGGCCACGTATCCATTTGAGCACCTGGGTACCCTGAGGAACCTGGGTACTTTTGCCGATACCTAAGCCTTTAGAGTTCCTGATAGGCTTCTTCATTTCTCGGCCCCCGAAGTATTAAGGAGAGTACGGTTGGTCTGCCCCCGTGAGCTTATCCTACTCGTTGGGGTGATTGTAAGCCTAAGCCACCACATATCATCTCGTAGCCTGAAGATCCTAACGATCCTTGCACTAAACACACACTTACTGCTACTTTGACCCTCCATCGCAACACTGCAACCCGCCACAAGATGACCACCAACAAAGAAGAGCGCCCAGTGCAACCAAGCCTCTTCTTCCAATCTCACAACGAAAAGGGGCCAGAAACAATCCTTCTCATCCACGGCGCATGCGGCAGCAGCAAAGAATGGGACAAAGTAATCCCCCACCTAACCGACCAAAACTACCACGTCCTCGCCCCAGACCTCCCAATGCACGGCCAATCCGTCTCAATCAAGCCCTTCAACCTCGACACAGCCACATCAGCCATCTTACACATCATATCCGCACACGCGAAGAACGGCACCGTGCATCTAGTCGGTCTCAGTCTCAGGCGCTCACATCGGCGCATGTATCGCCGAACGCGCGGCTCCGGGCCAAATATCCTCAGCAATATTGTCAGGATATAATACCCTGTCGCCGCCAAAGATGCTAATGCCGCTGATCATGCCGTCGATTTTCATGCTGCACCATACGGTCCAGATGCTCACGGAGTTTCCAACGGAGATGAGGCATTTGCGGACTGGGCAGTCGTCTTATGGACTAATATATGAGGTGATTCGGACGCTTTGTGAGCCGCGGCCGCTTGGGAAGATTCCCGTGCGGACGTTGGTGGTTGCAGCGCAGAAGGACTCGCTCTTGCAGAGGGATAGCCTTGATTCTGCGAAGAAGTTGTTTGCGGCTGTGGATGGGGGTAGAGAGGGTGGGAGTCGGGTGGTGCTGCATCGGGGGATTCTACATGCGTGGCATATGTTTGAGCCGGTGTTATTTGGGGAAATGGTTGTTCAGTGGGTTGGAGGGAAGGATGTCAGCAGTGATTTTAAGGATATCGAGTGAATCGGAACTATTTCCCAGGTGCTTATTGGCATGACCTATGGTATTGATCAGACATCCCCTGCCATGGGTCTGCCCAGGCAAGAGGTATTACTCCATAACAAGAGCTTGTCCATCTCCGAGCCATTGGGGCGTATATTTCAAGTTGGATAGTCTAATACAATTTGAACTCAACCGAACCACTTTCAACTACGAGTAAGCGTGAAAGAATGAGGGAAATGTTTTGCTTCAAGTTGGTGAGGCCAGTGGAATCAATATCAAGATTACTGTTTACTACCTATGTAAAGCGTGTTCATACACTGTATAATTCTATTTTAACCTCAAAGTTGAACGTTGTAACAGAATCGGGACTGTTATCTTTTTTTTATCTACTAGTGGTATATATTGAATGGAGGTTTATCCTCGGAAGGAAATGATGTAGCAGTTGTATCCAAATCTGTAGGATAGTGGGCAAGGCATCGGTTACAATTGGGAAAAGAGTCCATCCTGGCATCGTAGCTCCGAAGGGTCTAGGCCCTACCCGTTTGAGGGGAAGAGTGGTTAGGTTGATTAATGAAGCGCTAATAGCTGCCTTGAACCGCCTTTTTGCTGTTTTGGTTGTTTGTCCAGGTCAGAAGATCGGTTCCAGGACTCGGCATTCTTTTGTTTGTTTCTTTTTCCTTGCTTCTGTTTGTTGTTGTTGTTGCCTTTTGCCTTCGGTGAATCGTGCCTTTCAAATGCATTCGTTTGTTGTCGTTTACTGTTTACTAGTAGTATCAAGTGTCACTAGATACCAACTTGGATCCAACTTACTAGGTTAAGGTTTCTTAATGCTAGGATATTTTACCTAGGTAGTTTGAAGTATCCCGGAATTCCTTGGGTATATGAACACTAGTAGTACTGGAGCAAGGGCGCGGGAAATTTGGACATCGAGAATTGAATTATCATGCTCAACATATTGCTGATTCAATTCCCTGAATGTAAGAATCGACTTCTTTGAAATCGACAGATATAGCTTTTGCTTGTCTTGTACCTGGGAAGCTTGAAGGTTTGGGTTATATTGACGCTGTGGACCTTGCTAGGAGGTACTAGTATCGCATGCTACAACCTGGGAAGTAGCTTAGATGGTACCCGAGAAGCCTCAAAAAGGTAAAAATAACTTAGGCAGAAATTCGCACATTTGTCTTAAATCATCATCGATAGAGGGGGCGTAGGAACGTGTCTTATGAATATATAAAACCCGTATTAGAGGCCGCATCTCGTCCATCTCAAGGTATGAGCCTCAACAGCAGTTCAATTATACTATTATTCTTAGAACCCCGTAAGGCGCTGACACTTAAAATCATGTAGCAATATAAGACAAGGACTCTGCTGGTCTAGACAGAGACGAATGGAAGAAACGACTCAGCACCCCCGAATGCAGGTAACGGCCTCAAGTCGCGCGTGAAACTTGAGGTACAAGGTATATCAAAGATCAAAATCTATAGCCCGACAACAAAGCTTCATTTCATGCGTTCTCCGCGGAGATGGTTTGCTGCAGAAGTTCTGATTAGTATGCAAGATCAGGCCTGACATTAGACGGAGAGGGGAGGGACGGGGAAAACATACCACCAGCCAGTCCATGCCTTCATTAATACCCTTGCCATCAATGGCAGAGCAAGCGACAATGCTCCAGTTACGATCGCGTAGCTCTCCCAGTTTCAATGCCTCCGAGATCTCGCCCGCGCCCTTGGCACCCGGCTGGTCTTGCTTGTTGGCAAATACTAGTAGGGCCGCTTCACGGAGCTCATCCTCGTTCAGCATGGCTGCCAGTTCATCTGCGGCCGTTCCTAGGCGCTCAATATCTGTAGAGTCGATGACGAAAACGACGGCAGCAGTGTTTGCGTAATAGCACCGCCAGTAAGGGCGAATGGATGTTTGACCACCGAGATCCTGTGACCATGGTGATTAGTGGGGGTGTCCAAGAATCCAAGAAAATGCGGCATCGCCCCAGAGAGGAGATCACCTACCCAAACATTCAAATTTAGATTCCGATATGTGACCGATTCAACGTTGAATCCGATAGTGGGAATTGTGGTGACCACCTCGCCGATCTGGAAACGCGAGTTGTTAGCACTCAAAAGTTGCCAACGCCTTCAGTAGGTGAAAGTGCTTCGATGTCGTAACTATACCTTTAGCCTGTAGAGAAGAGTTGTCTTTCCGGCATTATCCTATGAGACAAAAGAGCTTGTCAGTCTTTGAGCTTTGTGGTTGCTTGGTTGCATGCGGGCGTGTTCTCGCCGCACCGCGCAGGAGTGATTCCACGTACGAGGCCAAGGATGAGGATTCGGATCTCCTTCTTGGCCCAGACCAAAGACCAGAGACGCGATAATGAAGCTCCCATGATTGTGTGTATGTGGTATGTGGCGGGGAGGTTGGAGTAAGAGTCGCTGGGTATTTCTCAGCAGCAAGTATGGAAAGTCGGGGGGGGTGCTGAAGATGGGTGGATACAGGTGGCGTGGAGGGGCGGAGAAGTAAAAGAGTATTCAGACAAGGATGCGATAATTATGATTATGATACAATCCAAATCCAAGGTCGTGTAGCAAGGGAGAGGGAGAAGGTGAATGAAAGGAGGGACTCATTTGGTGGCAACCGCATTGGAGGGCGCGATCGGCCTGTGCGGCTGCCCGTGGGCGGTCAATCGGTGATGTGAATGGCCTTCACGACGAATCCGCGCCAGCTCGGGTCCTTCTCACCTGTTGTGTCTCTTTTGACATTCAACACACTCTTTCAATTGTCTTCTACCGACACATTTTATCTATCTGACGGAGCCAATCCCTCAAGCCGCTTGATCCCAGCTACGGTGTACCCCAACCAGCTTGCGCGCTCCCTAGATCCATCCCGCGCTTCATTATCGGCTCAGAATTGATCGACTCGACTACTCGCGAGAGCCTGCGAATCGTTCATAATGGTGGGCAAGAAATCAGGAAAGGCCCTTCGGGATGAAGGTAAGCCCCGAGATCGATCTATGGCCTGGCAAAGCAAGCTGCGGAACGAATATCTGATAACACATCATTAGGCCTGGAGCGAACAGACAATAATATGGACCTATCCAGCTGGCCTCAAATCCCGGCGATCAACCAGAAAAACTATTACACGTAAGATACCTCAGTGTGCTCATTCTCGGGAATCGGGCAAGCTTCATGAAGATTCCCTGTGCTGATTGCGCATTGCTCGCTTTAGTGATTACCTCAAGAGAGATGACCAGAATTTGGCCTTCAGACTCCAAAATGAGGAGGCGCGAACCAAGATGACCAAAACCGCGAAGGATCGGGACCGTGCCCTCGCCATGGCTAAGCCTGAAGCGACAGAGGCCGAGGTGGAGGCCGACGGCGATGCCAACATGGAGGATGTGGACGAGACACCCGCGGAAACGGTGGGCTCCAAGGTCATTGTCATTCATGTCGGAAGCCAGAATTTGCGCATCGGTCTCTCAAGCGACGCTCTGCCGAAGACCGTACCGATGGTCATTGCCCGCAAGTCAAAAACAAATGAAAGTGAAGACCATGATGAACCCAGGCCGAAGCGGGTAAAACGGGAGGATGGTACCGAGGAGGAGCCAGAGAATCAATTCGGACCTGAGGTATGTCCTACGAACTATAGACTAGACAAAACTACATGGACGTCGCTAATTGAGAACTAGTGGTCTGCCGACTTCAACCGGATGTCATCAGAACTCAAAGTACGCATGCGACAGAATAAGCGACGCATGCTACCCAACTCCAAGGACATGGTTGTCAATTACAACCGAAGGCAGAGGCCAGAAATAATCTCCGAGCATAACGACCCCTCGCGTGTCGAATGGACTGAATTGTCCAACCCCCCCACCCGAATACATTGTCGGACAAGACGCACTGAGGATTCCTGACTCTTCAAAGCCCCGATACAAGCTATATTGGCCCATTCGAAATGGATGTTGCAACGAATCGGACTACCAAAGCAAGACGATGCTCTATTTGGACATTTCGCTGATTCTTGAGGATGCGATCAAAACTCAATTGGGCCTGACCTCCAAGAAAGACTGGCTTCAATATTCATGCGTGTTCGTCATCCCCGACTTGTACGACAAGACCTATATCACTCAGGTCCTGGAGATGTTGATGCGCGAGTTCTCCTTCGCTCGAGTGTGTTTCATCCAAGAGAGTCTGGCGGCGACCTTTGGTGCTGGCTTCACCTCCGCCTGTGTGGTCGATATCGGAGCGCAGAAGACATCAATCTGCTGTGTAGAGGAGGGTATGTGCGTGGAAAATTCAAGAGTGAACCTGAAAATGGGTGGCCAAGATGTAACCCAGGCCTTTGTCAAAATGATGCTGCACGACCATTTCCCTTACTCAGATATCAACTTGTGGAGACGCTACGACTTCTTGTTGGCTGAAGAGTTGAAGAAGAACCTTTGCACGATGACCGAGGCGAACGTTTCCCCTCAAGTGTTCGACTTCCACCTTCGCGTGTCTGGCGAGGACACCCAAAAACACACATTCAGGGCCTTCGATGAGGTTCACTTGGCGCCTATGGGATTTTTCGAGCCCACTATATTTGACAATGATCACAAGCTCGACGGTCGACGACGGCTGATTGAACGATCTGTTGATATCTATGATGGTTCAGCCAATGATCCTACTTCTGGCGCCCAGTCAGAGATCATGACAGCTCTTGCGCCTGCACTTCCACCAAACGGAACGGCTGATGCGGAACCACAGACAGCGCCGGTTGATGTGCAAGCAACTCCCAGCCGCCCTCCGACATCCAACCCACTAGGCCGGGTCCAGGAGCAAGAGGCCACTCCCCACTCTTCAGTTGCTGGTTCCCCAGCACCCGAGGTTGGGGTAACTCCACAAGCAGCTGGGGCTAATACTCCTGCTGCCGTTGCTCCAACTACACAGCCTGCTCGCCAGGCGGTGGAACATCGAGACGATATTCTGCCAGTTTATGCGCTGGACAATGCAATCCTCACCTCAATTGCTCATGCTGCTCGCTCCGATGAGAAGAAGATGCGTGATTTCATTGGAGGCATCATGATTGTTGGCGGTGGTAGTTTGACCAGTGGGCTTAACCTCTTCCTGGAAGAACGGCTACAACTCCTCCGTCCGGGGTTCGCCAAAGAAATTATGATCGGAGTGCCGCCCAGAGACCTAGACCCGCAGGTTGTCGTTTGGAAGGGCGCCAGTATCTTTGGTAAGCTGAATGCAACTAACGATAGCTGGATCGGGAAGCTAGAGTATGACCGCTTAGGGCACCGCCTGATGGCTTACAAGTGCATGTGGGCATACTGATTTGGGATTTGAGTTTCTTTAATTTTCTTTTAATTTTTCATCCGTCTGGGGGATTGGTGTTTAGGATACAAGGGCTATGGTGTGACTCATTCAAAAGCATTAGTCAATAATGGAAATATGCCTCTCCTACGTGAAGGGTTAGTAACTTGAAGTTGATTGTCCAATCAAAATGCACGTGACCTATGCTAGAGCGGAGGCGGTTATATCCGGCAAAATAGCTGTGCTTGCCCGTGAATACAGCAAAGAGGAGATCACCGAAAGCTTCTTGAGTTGCCAAAAGTCCCGCGCCCATCTGCATTGACTGCTGTCTCTGCCCGCCTTTAATCTTCCATATACTGCTCCCCAACGCGGTATGTACACCCTCTGATCTTTCTTCGCGCGCGGTCCCCAATACTGATTGCGACTAGGCCTTTTCCTCCCTTCACCACCGACCCTCTGGGCCACAACTATACAACAGGACCTCACAATGTCAAAGTCCAAGGACTCCCAGTCCTCTGGGAACTTTCACCAGGAGTACATTGCATCCCTGCGCTACCGCAATGACCTCCCTCCGCCAGATATGCCCCCGAAGCTGCTCGACATTCCGCATGAAGGTCTCAGCCGCTTCGTGACGCCGGGCTTCGCTTCGAACTTGGCTCGGCGCGAAGAACCCAATATCGACGTTGATGCAGAGGGTGGTATGCCCATTGACCTTGTCGGTATTCCTGGCTTGCATTTGGGCGATGAGAGTGGTATGTGATTGAATGCTTGAACACAAGTCCGAGTCCAAGTTCGCTTTGAAGATGAAATCGCTAATGGGATGACAGCAATCATGGCCCCCGAGAACCCACAGACCATCGATACCGCTGACCTCCCGCTCCTGATGACCCTCGATCAACTGCGAAACCCGGCCCCGAAGAATACAAATGTCAGTTTCCTTCGACGCACTCAACATATCTCCGTGGACCGCGCCGCTGCGGCCACGGCCACTGGCGCCCCTGCTAGGCCGCAGGCACGCTCGATGAAGAAGGGGAAAACATCAGTGGACGACCCCAAACACGTCAAGAAGTACATACAGAAGGGATTCGACATCGCACACCCCGAGAGCAAGCACACTGGCGAAGATACTGAAAGCAGCATCCGTGGTCTGCCTGCCACAAAGACAGAAAGCGATGCGTGGGCCAAACCCGTTCACCCCGACAACCCGAAACTCAAGCCCGTCGGTTTCTTCCCAATTCTCCCCGATCTCCAAGGTTTCACCGACCCGGGCGGTTTCCTGCAATTCAAGTTCGATAAGGCGCCAATTCCCACCGCAGGCGGTAGACGCGACAAGCGTCTCGACGTGGCTATTCTTCGCCCAATTGCACCCGAAGAACGTATTTGCCAGGAACATGCGTCTAAAGTGGCACTCCACAAAGCCGGTCCTGACCTGTACGCCGACCCCGGCGCCGTGCCGTGGGACTATGATCTACTTCTGCCGGAGAAGCGCGAGTCTGCGAAGAATGTCCGCATAAGCATGAACCTGAACCACCCGAACCGCGATGATGAAGAGCTCTACACCAACGACGCACCGGACGGAAGCAAATACCACCGCTACGACCGCGTCCGCACCTTCGCCACAAGCGGCCAGGTCATCAACAACGACAAGCTGAGCGACATCGCCATCTCACTCAATTCCGGCGACGGCACTGACAGGCAGCGCGCGGCGTTTTACTATCCCATCGTCGCAAAGACCCGTCTTAAGCCTGAGCGTGCCCGCACAATTGCCCAGGCTGGTTTGGCTCCCGGCGCGTCCCAGGTCGAGGAGGAACGAGTCGATCAGATGCAGGTTACTATTCGTGATCCCGATGAGTCAGAGGTGTACAAGCGTGCCATGCACCGCGCCAATATTGACCCCAAGTTTGGGTCGACTCTTCCTCCTCCCCCCGAGCCTCCTGTTGATGAGGCCGACGACGAACAGCCTGTCGAGGATGACGAGGATACCCGGATGAGCGATGAGTAGAGAGCAGGAGCGGCGGGGTGACGAGGCTTATGCTTTGGATGGATGGGCTTTTTCTTTCTTGCACATTGCAACTTTGGAGTAGTATGTTGGGCCTGGCGTCTAGGGAGCGAGACTAAAAGGCGTTTGTATTCTAGAATTTACTATAAGATGGATCGGATCTACCGCTGAATGGTACCAATTCAATCGAAGCTGTCCTTGGGTTTCTAGTAATAGTAGTAGTACCTTACTAGTACTAGTAGTAAAGACAAGATGCTGCGCAAATAATCAATCAGCATGTACTAATCATTTCACATATACATTTATCACAATGCATATAATACTCTTCAAGTCGTTATGCCCAGGCCATGTCTCAACAAATTCTCAAGCATCATCCATAAACGCATCCTCAGGCTGTGCATCACCCGACGGGGTTCCATATTTATACTGTTCCAAAGAACGATTGATACCCACGATACCCCAAGCAAAGACCGCCACATCGCGAATTGTATCCATAAGTTGGCTGGCATGGGGGCCCGTGGGGCCACTTTGCTGCTTGTCCGTCTGGAATGGAGAGTTTGCAAAACTGAATGCACCACTAGATCCATATCCAGACCCGATCCCCGAGCCTGAGCCTGTGCCTGAATTTGTGCCCAAGGCGGACCCAGATCCAGACCCAGATCCAGACCCAGATCCAGATCCCGAAGCTGATCCCGAAGCTGATCCCGACGCCACGCTAGACATAGAATCGTCTCTGCAAAGAGTTTTCTTGTCTTCGGGATATGTCAAGCCATGCGAAGGCGCAGGTTGAGAATATGACGAGGGCCCATATGAAAGAACAGGCTCCAAAGCCCAAGGCGCCGCAAAGAGACCATTGGAATAAGCCGGGACAGGTTTTGGTGGAAGAGGGCCACCAGGAATGGGAGCTCGGGCACGGCGAAGAATAACCACAAGCCCATCGGAGGTGCAAGAAACGACAGCTTCCAGCTCAACAGGTGGGGGGGGGCGACGTAGTGAGCGCGGTCAGACGAATCGGTCGTTACACCAGCGGACGAATAACCATCGTACTCGGGCATTTCTGCCTCTGTGTTATCCTCTTGCAATGGATTGCGGAACCAGAAGCGCAGATATGCAATCGAGTCGTTTGCTTTCGCACCCTCTAGACACCGAACTGCATCTCTCAAACATTCTTCCTGAATACAGTAGAAGAAACTCTTCGACACGAGTTGTCGCGGGCTCAGGCCTAGGATCTCTTGCACGCCGCTGGTAGCATACATGATCGTGGCAGTGCGAGTGAAGCGATTAACGAAAAGAGCCGCGCGCGGCTCGTGAAGTGGTTCGATCAGCCGCCGTGAAAATTTATCAGAGATAAAAGTCAACATGTGATATCGCGGATCATTGGGCGAGGAGTCGAAGAGCTGGCGGACGATGGGAGCATCGACAGCGCGCTCTGTGTGAATGGCGTTAATACAATACCCTCACCTAACGGCAGCAACGCGAATAAAAGGGCTGGCACGAAGCTTGAGCTTGAGATTCAACTTACTTTGAGTTCCTTTCCCCCTTCCATAAACCGTGGTACTCGCGATCAACACATCGTACACAACGGTAAACACACACTCACAACCAACCCAGGATCCATCCCGATGCCGAATAGAACAATAATTCAACACGGCAGCCTTGTCCAATCGCACGCCGCGACCATGCACACTGCGCGCGAAAGACAGTTCCTCAGGATGGAAGTAATCCCAACAAGAACGATTCAACACCTCATGGGGCTGGTAACCCAGCACGACCTGAATGCTGTCCGAGGCATAGAGAACCGAGGCATCGCGCGATAGGTCTGCAAAGCATGTCAGTCATACATATACGACGTTTCATCAAATCATAACCCTGCAGGCGCAGGCGCTCCGCCAACGTGAGATGCTCAAGGGCCAAAACTCACCGTGAATTGTGATGAAAGTCGTGTCCATTGCGCCCTGCAGAAGAGTGGAACCCAGCGCTACCCCGCGTCGTTAAAGGATCGTGGAATGCTGGGCGAGTCGGAGGACAAGGAAAGAGGGGCCCGATGCGTCGAGGGTGCAAACCTCCAAGGTTGAGGAAGGATTCTGGAGGGTAAAAAGAATTCCAAGATTGAATGGGTCTCTCGCACTGACAGCGGCTCGGCTTCGGCTTGGTGGACACTCGTCACTTTCAACTGGTTCCCAACGGCTGTCAACCGTGGATCGTGGGGCTTAAGGAGGACAGGAACAAAACTGTATAGACAGCAGTATGTTTGTATAGGAGGTAGATTTGTATATTATTTATTCAATTAGTAAATCTATGTAGTAGAAATATAGTTCTATGGTCATGGTTATTTACATCTAACTTTGAAGGCGGGTCGTAATTGTGAACGTGGGACTCATCGGCTTGTACCGTATTAGTTCTTCTCGACCTCACCAGGCTCCGTCCGGGGTGCATTCTTCTGATCTGCATAGTTGTCGATGACTTCGGTCTCGACGTGCTCGCCAAATACATCCACTTGTGTATCGGCAAACTTGCGAGCACTGGTCTTCTGCTCAAAGAGCATATCCAACTCAGCGAACGAGCGGCCCATAGGTTCGGGGACACGGAAGTACGTGTAAATGATACACAGGAAGCAGATACCACCCCAGAAGAAGCCAGTATAGTTGCCCCAGTCCCAAGCGGTGGGGTTGAGCATATAAGGTGTGAGGACTCCACAGACAACGGCGACAAGGTTGTACAGGCAGCGACCAAGAACGACTGTCTTGATTTGCAGCCGACGAGTTGACATCTCAGCCACAATGGAGTAACAGACAGTTCCGACGGTGAGTTGGTAGAACAGAGCCCAGCATAGCATCAGAGAGCCCGTGGCAAGCGAGGCCTGGTCGCGGTGCGCCTCAGGTACCAGTCCAAGGAAACCCATAACCAACAACATGGCGCAAAGTCCGCACAATCCATACAGACAAAGAGTTCGACGGCCAATACCAAGAGTCATCAAGAACCAGGCCCCAAAAACACCAACCATGTTGATGCCGTACTGTCCCATAGCGAAGGAGTAAGAGTTGGAGGAACTGAGTCCGGCTTGTTCAAGGAAATACGTCGAGTAGTTGGAGAACGAGTTTCCACTCAGGTTTTGAATCGCCCAGACCATGCAGACGATCTCCGTTCGGCGCCGATCGGTACCCCGGAAACAATCCAAGTAACTCGCCCCGCTGGTGATCTTGGCCTCGAGGGCAGTCGTATGCACCATCATGGCAATTGTCTCGTCCGCATCGAAATCCTCCTGCAGGTCCTTGTTCGTCAACCGTTCCAATGACCGCTTCGCGTCGTCCGTGCGTCCACGGCGAACCAACCACCAAGGCGACTCGGGTGCCAACGTGATTGCAACGAAGAGAGGCAGAGGCCACATCCACTGCAGTCCGTAAGGAATACGGTACGCCCACTCATCATTGCGATTGAGCATACCCTTAATCACACCGATTCCAATGAGTTGGCCCAATCCCCAGCAGAAGTTGACGTATGTGGTCAGATAGCCTCGCAGAGAGACCGGGCAGACCTCCGAGGCATATGTGATAGTCAATGTCTGGAACACACCCCAGGGGATACCGCATAGGATCTCGGCTGCTAGCAGAGACTGCACGTTCTGAGCCGTGAAAAAGATCGCCGTCCACGCAGTCACCAAGACCAGACAAGCCATGAGTGTGTATCGATATCCAAATCGTTCCGAGGCGTAGCCGTTGATGAATAGACCGATGATTTCGCCGACGTAGGCACCATTGCTCAATCCAGATTGCCACTGTAAGATATTCGCATTAGCATTGTGATGTTTATTACTATGGCTGTTCGAGTGGTGGACCCATATCTTCGCTACGTTTGCGTAGCAAAATGGTGGAAGGAAAGCCGGAGAGAACAGAACAGAACATCTATGTATAACCTACCCGTGCTGGCACCTGGTATGACCCGTCACTCTGGAGCTCGCCGTATTTCCGATTGAATTGAGGGAAGGCGTAGAAGTTGTTCACCAAGCTGATATCGTACCCCTCCATGGCAATGCAGGTTGAAATCAGAATACTCCACGCAACCGCCTTGGGATAAATCTTCATGCCCTTCCAGATACCCATCTTGCGTTCCTTCTCCGTTGCGGCCCGAGCTTTCTGGATAATTTTTGCCATGGCGTTATCGGAGTTGGGACCATCGGTGGAGGGGTAGCGCCCCAGATGATCGTCCGCAGGGGCAATGGCATCGTGCGCCTTGGAGTCAGCCATGCTGGATCGAACGGAGCGAGCCAATTGAGGAATTGGGAGGAAGGAGGAATGTGTTCTCAGGTCGAGAGTGTCCAGCCTCGGGGGTGGGCGGAGAAGAGAGTCTTTAAGGGGGGAAAAAAAGATGCGTGGGGTACCCACCGAGTACGGAGATCGGCCCATCGGAGTATCCACTGGGGGCAGCGGTGACCAAGCTGTCGCAAATTTCATGAGGATTCGCCACTAGTCTTTATTCTATCTGTGCATATAGTTATATACTGTACATAAGTGCAGACACCTCGATCTTGCCGGATAGAACCTTATCTTGCCAAGTCAATGTAAGCTTCTAGTTAATTCGCCGGGAGGCGCCCCTTGCAGGAAGTGGAATGTGCCATATCCGCATCAGGTTAGAATCATGGAATGTTATGTTGCACCCGTGCTTCGACACCATAAGCGGCTCTGGAAAATCAGATGGGCATATGTATGTAGTTCAATTACATCCTGACTATGCACTAGTATAAACTATTTACTCCGTTCTCCGCTTCTTCATGGCAGCAGGAGTGGATCCCGGATCAAGCGATCCATATCTTCGGCCCGGATGTGAATTGAGACATCAACCCCATCATCCGTCCAAGCCCTCCGATCCGAGATACTCCTCGACCGGTCCGAGGGCGGTGCATCTTTAATCAAAATATCTCCATCCAGATCCGGAATCACCCCCTCAGCGTACCGAATTGGAGCCTTGAGTCCAAAATCCACATCGTAGATACCAACTCGCGCCCAACTCGTCACAATAAGGTGTCGAGACCCTAGAAATGCCTGCCAGATACGCTGAGGAGCCTTTTCAAACGCCACGCTATGCAGGTGGGCGGCGACTGCTCCGGGCTGGCTCATGTGGCCAATCGTTTTGCGAATACATTGCGCAATGCCTCTGGTTCTCGCTTCCACGGGGATCTCTGCCGAAGCTAGCTCCTTACCACTCATCTCGATGTTGATGTTTATGACGGGCGATCCGATAAAGTCGTCTCCAAGTTGGAAAGTTGAACGTGTACCATATGCCAGATTGCAATGCACCAAACCTGTATCTTCTTGTTGCTTTCGAGCACGGGTGATACACGACCAGATGTGAGCCAGGACAGCGTCATGTCGGCTGATTCGCTCGGCTGTCGGGTTTCCGGGGTCTTCATTCGATATTCTGTTCCAGATAGACTCGATTTGATCGCCAGTCAGATGGACAGTGTAATGCGACACGGGGGCGGCAAAATCCCATTCTGTCCACGGCATCGCCTTGCCGATAACTGCTAAATCTTGACTTCGGAATGGTTCTGGGATCTCTTGGGGCCAGGGGCATTGAGCTGGGGCTGCCCACCAGTCATATCGATGCAAAGGTAGACCTTCAATTCTCTCGAGAACTTCTGGATTAGCACCCTCTCCATTAATATCTCCCGCCGCCATCGAGTCGAGTCGTTCTGGCTCGAAAACCGGTTGAAGGGTGGGCTTAAGGCCATTCGGGTCTCCTAAGTGCTGGCAGCGGCTGATCTTTGCCCAGTCCTTGACAAAGTAGACAAGTGATTGTATATCGGCAAGAGGATGCGCAATTTTAGCTCCCAGTGCAAATCCACCGCAGGTTAATCTTGTCAACTGAATGACAAATGCCGGTGGCAAAAGACCTGCCACATCTTTTTTGACAGATGTAATTGCACTAGACAAGCGACCTGAAGGAATTAGACTGTCGAGTCGTATATTCTGATGATCGAAAAGCGGTTTTTCTTTGGTTCTTAATGCGGGACACAGTGTTTCAATAGTTGCGGTGGAAGTCGCGGTAATGAATTCGACTCCAGGATCCTGTGGCAATCCATAGTGGACATAGACTCGGCCGAAACGACGAGCATGCGGTGGAAACTGAAGGGTTTCTTTCTCATGTCTAGCCAGATCGAGGGTTGTGATGCTTTTGAGGAGGCCAGTCCACTGCGGGTAGTCATTCAATGTGACCCGAAGTGACTGGCGAAAGTGATCGAACAAATCAAACCCATCCTTTAGAGTCTCTTCAGGCCGCTCGAATAACCAAATAGCAGTTGTCGAAGAAAAGTCGGCGGTCGTTGCATCTAGTAGCGATAGAGGCACTGCCCTTTCTGTGGGCTTTATGCTAGGACATAGTCGTTCAGACTGGATCACTGTGGTTTCGACACCCATGGCTCTCCAGTTTGGTCAATGAGTTTGTCCTGGTATCGTACCAAAGAATGAAAACGGCCGATGTGCCTTAAATATAGCAAGCCTTAAATTAACACTGTAACGTCCACAGACCCCTAGGAACCAGACGAGTCAGAGTCTCACAGATAGCGGCGCTCTTGGCGACATTCTCGTTGGCGCCCGCTAATCCCAAACAAGAGCCCGCGGGGTAGTGTCAATCGAAGATTGGACCGTCACCTTAAATGAAGCTAAAACTAAGGCGTGCGATTGAATCACAATGAATCATCAATACTCTTGCTGCGTTTGTATGCATTCCTTCGAACCTCCCGAAATCGCCATCGACGGGGTCGCCGTGGAGCAAGGAAGTCAAGATGATATCATAGTCGCCAGAGCCACAACTATGAAGAGAATCCCAAGGCAAATTTTTAGTTTCTCCCACTTTTCTCTTACAATTGACTAGATACCAAAAGAAATTACACGCATCTTTGGCCTAGCTCTTTTTATCAGTTTACTCGCAAAGTTTCTCATCATGTCTTCCAACGAGAGCCAGAACAACGGTACGTGGCATTCACTCGCCTCTCCTAAATGAAAATTGATGAATTACCACACCCGTGATGATTCCCGGATACCTTCAATACTGGCTTCTATTGATACTGACTCAAACATCATTCTAAATAGCAAGCTTCTTTGGCGGTCTCGGGGAAGCCGTCGGAAAGACGGCTAGCGGCGCTACAAATACAGTGGGAAATACGCTAAGTGGTCTAGGCGGTGCTGCAGGGGGCGCGACTCAGGGTCTTGGACAAACCGTGGGCGGTGCCACTGAAGGTCTTGGAAATGCGGCCAGGGGCCTGGGGCAGTCTGTCAACAAGGCCGTGGGTGCCTATCCCGAAGCACAGCGCACAGGCGCGGGAGAAGCAAAGAAAACCGGGGATCCGTGAACTATGATAGAAAGCCTCTTTAGACGGCTTCTTTAGACGGCAAGCACTCTGGAAATGGCTCTGGTCAAAGTGAGAATTATTCGCGTTTCAAAATTGATATTCATTCCGTCCTATGGGTTTTTTTCAGTTCAAGTTCATCGTATCTGTCCAGGTGCTCTCAAGATGCCTCAGCCTTTTCTGACGGGTGCCAGTGGTATACAAGCTTGGAACTCACTACTCAAACTAAAAGTTCCTGCAAAAGAAATAAAATGTTAGTGTTGAGTCTCCTTCACAATTTTCGACGATCTCATCGGATGATCATCGGATCGACCTGCTCGATTCGAATAGCTTGTGTTTTGGCCTTCCCAAAGCGAACTGATCACAACAATGTCGTACTTTCTAATTACTACACACAAACACTATCGACTGAATAAATCAAACTCCTAATTTTTACTTATCAATCCTGCCACAGCATGGTCTGATTTCCATTGCTGAAACACAGCGCGGCTGACATCCACTCGTTTCTGATTGGCCGTTGATATGAGCTCCAATGTTCCAACAGGGCAGATTTGAATAAATTAGATAGACTTGTGCTTGATTATTGCCGGATATTATTCATTCTGTATCATATTTTCAATGAAGATTAGCCTACATAAATCATGATTTTCTTTCACGCTCGCTTCATCATAATGTAGACATTTGTTGGAAAACGGCCGATTGGCAACAAAAAGTCAACGTTTGACATGAGTGGGTCCCATAGCTTCATGTTTTTTTTTCTTGCAAACTCCCCGCTAAACAGATTTCTTTGCGATATTCAAATAAAGGCCCGTCTCGTATCTTATAACTCCCCTTCGCCATTCGGCAAAGAGCTGCACATTATCACCATGGGTCACGGTGACGAGCCTAGTATGTCTATAACTTTCAATACCTTTCCTCTCCAGCATATTTCAATATTTCATCCTAATTTCTTCTGCCAGAGACTTACCGATACAATGAGACTCCGGTCTATACTGCATCCAATGGCTGCCCTGTACATATCCCCTATTTGTCTAGGGTATCTCGGGCCTATTAGCTAATTCGAATATTCCCTAGGTCATGGATCCCCAGGCGGCTCAACGTGTTGGAGCCAACGGTCCACTACTCCTCCAGGATTTCCACCTGATTGATCTGCTAGCGCACTTCGATCGTGAACGTATTCCAGAACGTGTTGTTCATGCCAAGGGTGCCGGTGCTTATGGCGAGTTCGAAGTAACTGACGACATTAGCGATATTGTTAGTACACCCATGATGTGATATTTCAGTGCTCTAGCCAATAAAGCTAATTTCATTCTATAGACCATCGTCGACATGCTGAAGGAAGTTGGAAAGAAGACCAACCTTCTGACTCGATTCTCAACCGTTGGTGGTGAAAAGGGCTCTCCAGATAGTGCTCGCGACCCCCGAGGCTTTGCCATTAAGTTTTACACGGAAGAAGGCAACTGGGATTGGGTTTTCAACAACACTCCAGTCTTCTTCCTCCGTGACCCGGCCAAATTCCCCGTCTTTATTCATACTCAGAAGCGAAACCCTCAGACCAACCTCAAGGATGCCACCATGTTCTGGGACTATCTCTCTACTCACCATGAGGCAGTCCACCAAGTGATGCATCTGTTCAGTGACCGGGGTACCCCATACTCGTATCGACACATGAACGCCTATTCTGGCCACACCTACAAGTGGATCAAGCCCGACGGCACCTTCAACTATGTGCAGATCCACTGCAAGACTGATCAGGGCAACAAAACCTTCACCAACGAGGAGGCCACTAAGCTATCCGCCAAGAACCCTGACTGGCACACCCAGGACCTTTTCAACGCCATTGAGCGGGGCGAGAACCCATCCTGGACCTGCTACGTACAAGTCCTCAGCCCAGAACAGGCAGAGAAGTTCCGCTGGAGCGTCTTTGATCTGACAAAGGTGTGGCCGCAGAGTGAAGTGCCTCTTCGTCGCTTCGGCCGCTTCACCCTTAACAAGAACCCGCAGAACTACTTCGCCGAGATCGAGCAGGCCGCATTTTCTCCCTCGCATATGGTCCCTGGTGCCGAGCCCTCCGCCGATCCTGTCTTGCAATCGCGTCTGTTTTTCCTACCCCGACACCCACCGCCACCGTCTGGGCGGCAACTACGAACAAATCCCCGTCAACTGTCCTCTCAAGTCATTCAACCCTACCCATCGCGATGGTTACATGAACGTCCACGGAAACTACGGCGCCAATCCCAACTACCCATCTACCTTCCGTCCACTGAACTACAAGCCTGTGAAGGCCAATCAGGAACACGAGAAGTGGACTGGCGCCGTTCTCGCTGAGCAGATCCCTGTTACCAGCGAAGATTACGTGCAGGCCAACGACCTCTGGCAAGTTCTCGGCCGCCAGCCCGGCCAACAGGAGAATTTCGTGAAGAATATCTCGGGCCACCTGTGCGGTGCCCATGAACGTGTGCGCAAAGCCACTTACCAGATGTTCACCCGTGTGAACAAGGACCTCGGAGCTCGTATTGAGATTGCAACTGAAGCCAATGTGGCTCCTTCGGCTCGTCTGTAAAATTTATTTGGTTGCGTTCTAGATTGAATATAAATCTTGTCGAAATTAGATGTTCTGTTTGGGCCAATCATAATGCTTTGAAATGCCACATGGTGTTCCTGACGTTACCTTATGTGGTGATGGTGAAAGCTAAGCAACTGCCTAGTTCGTTTTAGTAGCGGTTGGTGCCGCCAAGCCCCTCCACGTCTTTTCGGCAATTGCTTGATTTCAATAATTGTTCCTAGTTATAGTATGAGTATGTATATTGTTGGGGGGGGATCTGGTGCATAGTCTCTTGCCGAAACTAGCGCTTAGCTACAAGTTGTAGCCGACATCCGACGTTTCATCATACTTAAACAAGCCCCTCGTGGGCACTTGAGTTGATGCCATTGGAGACAATTAATAGCTATAGTCGCGTTTACTTTGGGTACGGAGTACGGAGTATTCGATAAACAACCAAGAAGATTCAAGATCGAAATGAAGCTCGTTTGGATATTTGTCCCGGGTAAATACGACGATGCCCACGTGGGCTTAGTACTCTACCCAGATCAAATCAGATTACTACTAGTACAAGGTACCTACTGTGGTGTTATAAAAAGGACGAAATAACATCTTCAAGTTATGCCCATGTGCGAACAATACTACAGAGATAGTATACAAAAGAATTGATTTCGTCACATTATCAAAATGCACGCTAGCGCTCTTGTCGGCCTTTTGGCTTTCGCTGCTGCGGCGTCAGCCATTCCTTCCAACCCTCAACAAGCCCATTCGACTTCTTCAATTCGCAATCTCAGGTCGAAGATCAAGAATGTTGTTGTTCTCTGCATGGAAAACCGCTCACTTGACAACCTGCTTGGTGGTCAGAGGATCCACGGCCTAGATAACCCAATCAACAACGGACCTTTCTGCAACCCATACAATGTGACCGATCCTTCCCAAGGATATCACTGCACCGAGGCTAGAGATTATGACTCTGTTACCGATGACCCAAGTCACGCAGTCACCGGCAATACCATGGAGTTCTACAGTAACTGGACCCCGGACAATGATTTGATTGCCAAGGGAAAGTTGCTCCCCGACAACAAGGGTTTCATCCATGAGCAGATTCATAACTATGGATCTTCTGCCAACAAATCTGTCTTGGCTCATCAGGTCATGAACTACTACACCGAAGATCAAGTTCCTGTTTTGACTTCACTGGTCAAGAATTATCTGACATTCAACCACTGGCACTCTGATATTGCAGGCGTAAGTAAAGCAGTAAAATTTCTCCTCGTGTTTGGACATAAATTGACTGTGGTCAATATAGCCTACCTGTCCAAATCGATTTGCTCTTGTTGCCGGTACATCTGGTGGCCATGGAAAGAACGATGATAGCTTTGGAACCTATGCCTTCGACCAGCGCTCGATTTTCCAGCAGTTAGGAGAGACCAATCACACTTGGCTCAACTACTGGGATACAGCTGGTGGTACCGGTCCTGAAGCTGAGTGGTTCTCCTGGACCAAATCAAGCAACAATACCGACAAGGTTGTGCCAATCACTCAATTCTACACCGATGCCGCCAAGGGAGCTTTGCCGGAATTCTCCTACTTGAACCCATCGTGCTGTGGCGTTGGAACTACTTCTATGCACGATAGTGGTCTGATTTCGGATGGCGAGGCCTTCATCAAAAAGGTCTATGAATCTCTACGTTCTGGCCCTCAGTGGAAGGAAACTCTTTTCGTTCTCACTTTCGACGAGACCGGTGGATTCCACGATCACGTCCCCCCTCCTCTTGCAACCCGTCCCGATGATCTTACCTACACCGAGAAAGCCGCAAATGGAGAAGAGTATACCTACGAGTTCAACCGCCTGGGAGGCCGTATTCCCACTCTTCTCATCTCCCCCTGGGTTGGCCAGGGATTTGTTGAGCAAAAGGGTACTAGCAACGAGGGCCAGACTGTCTCTTACTCTGCTAGCTCCCTTCTTCGTACCCTTGGTTATCTTTGGGACTTTGAGCCATTCACCCCCCGTGTTGATGATGCTGCATCATTCGAGCATTTGATCCAGAGCAGTGCTCGCAAGAACACCCCTGCAAAGCTTCCTACCCCTGCTGCATTTTAGGGACAATTCCTAATGATACTACAGCGTCCAATTTTGGACGCATGTCTTGGGCTTCCTATGGGTAGTAATTGGGTGTACTAGTAGTATATGATGTTCTTTGTACCCTTAGAGAAATAGATAATACATAGTAGTACACATATCACGATGTTCATTTACCATATCTTTTCACAAATCCTTAAGAGCTTGAATTTTCTTTTTCCAAAAAAAAAAACCTTGGAATGAACATCGAGAAGCACAGGATATTAGTAAAATGATCAGCAAGTATGAATGGGGGTTCAAGCATTCAACTTCAAGTTCTGTGTTTAGAAATATACCGGGGGGTCCCGTGACGTTGCCTTTGGTACACGTGGAGCTGTTCGTCACGGTTCCACCCACGACAGCTTCCGGAGCCGTTATTTGGACCGAGTCCGAGTCGTGTTAAGAGCAGCTGATTTCGAATTGTTAGATTTGGATCATTTGGCGGGGCTTGTTTGAGTTTCCGCCGACAACTGGTCTTAACTTGTGGAGCTCAGACGCCGATCTGCGTGAGCCTATCAGCTGGACCTGGCGGAGTCACTCACGATTTAGTGCCTCGTAGGCCCGGCTTGCTCATGTCTGGCCCCTCTGGCGATGGCCCTGGCCAACATTTGACATCGACGCGCTCATTCACCAGAATGGCGAATACAGACACCCAGCCTTCCGGATCGAACCCAGCGACCGACTCAACAAACGTCCCCGCCCAGCCGCTAACGTCAGCGATCGATATCGAGGGGCAGGCAAAGGGTCCCGATGTGTTCGAGCGACGAGGCTCTGCTGAGTCGAGTGGCGAGGGTGATGGGCAGGGGGATGAAGGCTTTGTGCTTTCACGAAGCTTGAAAGATCCTTCCGAAGAGCTTCCCATCGAGCTGGTTAGCTTAACGGACCGGTAAGTCTGCAGACTAGCCTTCAATACATCTGCATGCGGCATAACTAATATGAATAGATTCATCAACTCCCTCAGTGCCAAAGTCCATAACTCGCCCCCTACAATCGACAAAATATCCTCACTTTTCCAAGTATTTTACAGCCGCTCAGAGTCACACATCGCCACCCATATCTCAGCGCTTGCGTCCCGCATCAACCGCGACCCAACACCCCAAGTACAGTCCAAGCCGCGAGGAGGTGCGTTCTTGAAGCTAGGAAGTAAACCCTCTCAAGAAGATGTTCGAGGTGGGTCTGGTCGGCAAATGTTGACTGCGGAAGAGGTTGCGGAGAGACGGAAAGCACGCAAAGCTCTGGAGCTGAAACGAGCTGCACTTGAGGAAGCTGCCGAGCGTAGAGTGTGTGAGCTTGTTTATGATAAAGTCTGGAGGCACAAAACCACCCTGGATGATGTCAGGGATGAGAAGTTGCGTTCGAAAACCGCGGCTTTGCTCTTGGTGGGTATCGATTTGAAAGACCTCGGTATCGATCTTGACATGTCGACCATTGCCGATGAGAAACAGCAAGAAGCAAATGACTGCCTCGCTCAGGCTCGAGAATGTCTTGCAAACATGAATGACCAGCACTATCCTCTCGGCAAATTGCAACAACTCGCAGCTGCCCACAAAGCTATTGTTGATGCTTTGACAAAGCTGCTCCCGTCTACTTCATCAGCAGACGAAATTCTGCCCACTTTGATCTACACACTTGTTACATGCCCACCCGAGGGAATAAATATCATCAGCAACCTCCTTTTCATCCAGCGGTTTAGATCTTCCACTAAGATCGATGGCGAAACTGCTTATTGCTTGACTAACCTTGAAGCCGCGATCAGCTTTCTGGAAAATGTTGAATTGTCGAGTCTTCGCGCAGATGAACCACAAGAAGGACCACCCAAGACACCCAGTATATCTACAACTCCTTCCTCGGAGCGAGTTGATCCTCTTCGACCAACAAAAGAAGCAACAACTTCTTCTGTCGCCACAGTATCTGCATCACCTGAGATAGCTAAACCAGAAGTCAAGGAGTCAGCGGCTACTCTACCTCGCCCTCGTCCTTCTGTAACGCCGCAGCAGCGTCGACTGAGTAATCTTTTCCAGCCTCCAACCAAGGTCCTTGAAGCGGCCAACGACGCTGTCCGAAACACAGCAGACCAAAGCCTAAAAAATATCGGCGCGACTTTAGACAACAGTTTTAACTTCCTTTTCGGGCGTTTGAAAGAGCTCCAAACAAATCAAGCGGCCAGTTCACCAGGTAGTGGAACCATGTTACCAAAGACACTAGCCGATGCTCGACGATTTGTCGCCGAGACGGCTGCGAGCAAGAGTCTCACGCCGGAGGAGGTGGCCACAATCAATGCTCTCTCCAGCGAACAGAACTCGCAGTTACGCCCCACTGCTAGAGATGCAGAAACCGCTAGTGGTGGCCGAACACCTCGAGACCGCAGCACCGACAGTGCAAGGACTCAGGCCAGCAGCAAGAAATCCATTTATAACGAAAACGTCCAAACACCATCGTCGGTGGCTAGCCCCAACCCCTTGGAATCAATGAGGAACTTCGGCAATACACTGAATCCTCTCAACCATATTCCTGGTATGATCAGGGGATTCGGTCGTGCTGGACCCGAAACTCCGACTGGACGGTCAGTATCACCCGCAGCTTTGAACCGGGTCAAAACTTCCCCTGCTTTAGGGGAGGTAAATAGTAGCAGTGCAATCTCTCTCCATGTATCGTCGGCGAGAGTGGAACCTCCCATTCAGCGATTTATCGAAACACAAAATGCAAGTGATCTTCGCCTTGGGGATGTTGCTCTTCTATTGGAGGATTACAAGCGACTCGCTGCCGCACTCTCCAAGGTTGGTCCAGCATCTTGATACTACTATACACCAAGCGATCATCCTGTTTTTCAACCGTTCCTTTGGCGCGACTCTGTTGCATTTCTGCGTCGTCATGGTGTTTTGGGGATTTGATGATTTTTACTGGGATCTTGTATGTGGATTTTAGATGGCATAGGCTGTGCTATTGTGCATATCATACATTCTTTATTAGATCAATATTTGTATTGGGTAATGACTTCATAGTCATAGAAGATGCTCTCCGCGTAAACAAAAAAACATTGATGGTTACCAATGGAGGCTGAGAATGCTAGGGATAGGGTATTGAGTATGGCCGGAAATGAAATATCCCGATCCGTGATCGGGCCTTGAAACAATAGTCTCCACGGATATCGTAGGTGATGCATCTCGAAACAAAAATAGAAGGGGGTGAGGCCTAGCATAGGCAAGGGGAAAAAAAAAGAAATATTCATCAGCTCATGAGCTTCGTCCGCGCAGAACCTCAACACCTCCGGATCTCATTTCATTCAGTTTCATCGAAAGCTCTGAATCTTGTTTCTCGACTTGGTCATGGCGGCGCAGAATCTCGTTCTCGAAAATAGCAGCAGTGCGTCGACGGGCCCGGCGCAACTGCTTCATCTCAGTGAGCAGGTGACTAAATCGGTCGATTAGCTGGTCGCCACAATCTTCCCATTCATCGACAGACATCCGCGACAGATATGTCTGGCGATCTTGCTCTGACAGGCCCAGAAGCTGGGAAGCGGCGCCATTTGTAGATTGCATGCCGGCAAGAAGGGCAGGGTTTGGTGGCAACGGTGGAGATTTCATAGGAGGAGGCGTCGGGGTTGGAGCTCTTTCGAAAGGCTCTGCTTGTAGGTCGGCAAAAGACTTTTGATAGAGAACTTGTGGGGGATAGTCCCCTTCTAGTTGGCGTTTGTTGTTCGTGCGAATGACTGTGTTTCGTCGCTCACGCGTGGCAGTGGAGCGTGACATGAAAGGGTCGCGCATCAAGTCGTCGTCATCGCGCTCCAAGTCGCTGATGTTGGTGATGTCGAAGGGATGGACCGAATGTTCGCTAGCTCGGCTACTGCCAATGCGAATAGTTTCATCTAGATCGTGAATGCTTCCATCGTCGCTATGGTCTGGTTCCTGGAAGGACATCATGTTGAGAGTCCGTCCAGTTTCGGGGGGCGGCTCAGAACCATGGCGGGTTGGTGAGATATCTAGACGATCAAAAAGTGATTGCTTCGGAGGGCTAAAGCGTGTCCTTGTCCTCGGTGTTCCTGTTCCTGACATGGTATGGGGCAAGATGATCTTCCGAGCTGAGGTAGGAGGAAGCATGTGGCCCAATTTCCGTGCCGGTACCTGAGTTTCAGGAGCCATGTTCTCATGGCGAGGCGACTGTGGCTGTGACTCTACTGCCACCGTGCCCATTGGCTTTGCGGACGTTTTTCTGCTTGCAGACCAAAAGTTTTCGAGACGTTTGCTTAAAGGCTCCTCTGTTGAGCGATGCTTATGCGACGCCTGCCACGGCAAAGGGTCGATGTTGGTATTAGGCTCTTCACTCTTCTCGTCGTCGCCTCCAGTTGATGATGTTGCTTGGCTGGTCGTGTCTCCAATATCATCAGTATCAAATCCGGCTTTCTTCATGATTTGATCACCGAGGCCAAGGCCTCCATCATACCAGGAGTTTCGGTGCCCACGGGCAGGTCGAGGCAAGTAAGATGGCCGCGGCGAGGTCGTTGTCTCGCCAACATTTGCATTTGCATTTGCATTTGACGATATATGTGGCTGTTGCGGGCTATCCTCATAACCAAAAACGCTGGTACCAGCAATGGTCGAATCGTCCACACCCTCAACGTCGGTGTCAAACGGGTCCCTTTGCTCTCCATTTTGGGCATGCGGGTTCTCCGAAGGTGGCCTAGTCTGGTCAGGGGCCGCATTTAATGGCTGAAAAGACCGTGGCACAGCATTGTTGATCGAGCTCGGTGCATCCAGGTATGAGGTTGGCAGCCCCATCTTAGCCTGCTCGGCCCGTAGTTTGCGCTGTAATGGACCTAAGTCGGCGGGGGCACGAGGCTGCCCAGCTTCTCTGGAGTGGATATAATCGCCCACCCCCATGGCGAATCAAGTTTTTGCGCCGGGTGACTGTTGGTTGCATAAGAGGGAAGACAGATCGGGCTTCTATAATCCCACTCCAACTAGCGTCGAGATGATGGGGAATTCGTGTCTGTCAAAGCTGTCCGACGCGGTCATGTCGCGTGGTCACGTGCAGCAGAGCTTCTCAAAGCAATGGCAAAAAAGGGTTTATTTTCTTAGTATTTTAAAAATAACTTAGTGATTTCTTCGTTTGGTACATATTTTAAAGCTCTGTGGCTTTTGATTATAATTATTATTTGAAACGATCATTCTTACTGCTACACAGATCGGCTTGGAAGAGCCTTGACATCAAGCCAGTCCAATATAGTATGATATCAGTTAGGTCTATCTCAGTATCAAATCTGGGTTTCAAAAGGGCGAGGGAGATGCTGGAGCTGATGGACTTTCAATACGTAGATGTTCCATATTGTATGAGACACCCCGTCTGCGCTTCCTCGCCTTGTCCAGAAACTCTTCTGACTTTTGTATTTCGACTTTGCGTTGTTCCATAGCAAGTGTTTGTTCGCGTCTAACCTCGAATGGTTCATCTGTTCCATCCGTATCCATTGCATCATAGCCATATTCATCCAGGAATTCGGGAGGGGGCTTCTCCAGTGAAAGAGCAAGCAAATCGCCAATCCAGAGTGATACCATGCCTCGAAGCTCGAGAATCTCCGGGGAATCGGTGTACGGGGGTGATCCGAGAAGCGAGTCGATTCGTGTTGCGATTTGCTGAGCTTGTTCGAGTTCCTGACCGCGAACTTTTGCAACAAGTGCCTGCTTCCTGTTTGACTCGCGATGTTCTCCGTATTCGTCTATCATGTCCTCATCGGAAATTTCATCGGACTCTTCGTCGTCGATTCTATCCCTTTCAAATTGACTTTCTTCTTGTGCAACGTAGACCCACAAGCCAAACATGGCAGGATAAAAGTGCAAGGATGAGATCGAATGCGGGTGAGTTTTCGAGTAAGGGTGGTTCAGTATCAGTCGCTCATAGTACTCCTTTGCCTCTGCAAAGCCCTTGTGAGTGAATGGTAGAGGCTTTCGGCCACCGGTAGCTGCATCCGTAGGCGCAATGTGATCAATTGACGGGGCTGGTTGTTGATCTCGCCGGAGCAGAATCTCAGCACCAATCCCCCACCGAGTTTCCGAGCGGACATCTGTCGGCCTCCCTCTAAATTGCTCTCGCATAATAAGCCCCCATGCCCTTCCAGCTCGAGTGAAGTCTCCCTGGAGCAAACAGCGATGAAGGATCGTGGTCAATGCTGCTAGGTGCTGCAGTCGAAGGCTACCGGTATGCGCGGGTGACTGAGGAGGGTATAAGGGAGTCGACATCGTGGCCAGGTCGTGGGATAGTTGAGTCGGTAGTCTACCTCTGTTGTATTCATCCTTCTTGGGTGGCGCATGAGGGAAACGCCCCTGCGGTAATTCTTGATCAAGAGGTAGTCCAGCGATTCGGTATTGGTGTGATTCATTCGGCGTGAGAACGAGGGGCGGTCCAGCAGGAGCCGAGTCCCTCATGGAGGTGCCATCGCTGGCATCTGTAGTATCTCCATCGACATCTTCACCATCGCTCCATGGGTTGGTCTCCCTATGGCGTTTGCGACGATCATATTGGGCAACTCGAGGACTCGTCGGCTGCAGCCAGCGAGGTAGTGGCAAGGCAAAGGACGAGGCCGACACGGCAGGCGCCATATACTCAGAAGGAGACGAGTTCCATCAAGCAGGAAGAAACAGAGAACGATTTGATTCCAGGTGGGGTGGGGTGGGGTGGGGGGAGGGGAGGTTCAAGGTTGAAAAAGTCCCGGAGATGTGAAAGCTACTCGGAGGAAGGGAAGCAAAACAGGCAAACATCTTCACAGCACTTACACTTATCGCGCTATCAACCCCAACCCCAACCCCATCCTTCCACGTTGGACTGGACCTCCCCTTACCTTCTGTTTCGCCTCCCCTCTTTCTTCTCCTCCACCTCCTCCTTTCACTCGGTGCTCGTTTGTTTGATCCACGTCCCCTGGGCGTCGTCACGGAATCCGCCGGACACCACCCCCTCTATCTCCTCGCATCGGTGGGTTATCTTGGGTACGTGTGGGCGTGGGCTTGTCAGACAAGTCGACCTTCCCCCATCGCAATACTTGGTGTTGGACAGTCAACTTGTCTCACATAGCACATATCACATATCTGCTTCCCATTGAAGTTCACCCATAACCGCCTCGCCGATTCCTTGTTGCTTTGTTTCAACGCTCTTTCATCCCTCGGTTACTATCGTTCGCTCCGCCTAGTCCGACTCCGACCTGCCTGCCGAGCGTCTCCGAATCATATCTTTCGTCAACTACGCCCGGAAAACGCCAAAAAAATTTCCCACCAGACCGGAATAAGTTGACAGGGAAGAGATACACCCGTAACAGACACGAAACGATCATCATAAGTTGCTTGGGAATACCTATGGCAGTCGACGGTCTTTGACATTGCACATACTCTCCTGTCATCGGCGACCTGCTACTATGGGACAGTCTTCCTCTACGGCTCGAGATCCTCCCGACACCATCTACCCGGATTACTTGGCACCTCACTCGATACAGCGCGGCCACAGTGCAAGGAATGAAGATATGAACAATCGACCACCAGTTGAACAGAACGGGCAGGCCGGATCCTCAAGTAGAGAGGGGATGTCTCACTCTAATGGGCAAGAAACAGGCTCAGGTGAAGCGAATGACCCTACGGAGACCTGGCAACAACCTACTCTATACTCCGGAGGAAGTCCACATCAGATGCGCAGTATCGAGGAAGAAGGAAACGCCGAAATAGAAGATGACGATGATCGAGCTTACCGTTCCGCGGCCATTGCTCGGATGGTTAGAAGACAATCTACCATGTCCAGGCTGGGATCTAGATTCCTGCCCAACTCGGTTATTCGTGGGCTTCTAAATAGCCAAGAAGAGACGCCTGCAGAGGGCCATGCACACCGCCATGGACTAGTCTCGAGAACCCCCCCCCAAGGTCCGAGACAGGCCACAGCAGTGGTCGCTTTAGCCCCTTTAGTGCGTTGGGATCAAGAGGAGTGACCCGCCGGAGGTCTACAAGAGGGCCTTACTTCATTCCCTCGCGCGAGGACCCATCGGGCACCCCTGATGCTCCCAATAACGAGCGGCGACTCCCTGAGCCCAATCGGGCTTCTTGGCGACGAAGCGCACGCCTCAATCGCGTGCGCCATTCGATATCGACCCCAATATCTCACATGTTTGGCCAGCCACATTCTGACATATCTCCACCTCATGAATATCCGCCACATCTGTCAGCAGACCAGCATCTTAATGACTTACCGCAAGAAATGGACACTCGCTTGGACTGGAGAGAATCAATTGGGGATCCATTACCCGATATGGGGGGGATGGAGCCACCGTCTTTGACTGCAGGCCTGCCCGCTTCCGATCAACCAAACGCTGGAATCATGGGAATGCGTCGACTCCCTGGCCTCCTCCGTGCGCGATCATCTCGGGCATTGCGACCACAAGAACAGACCCCTCTTTCTCGAGTTCTACAACTCGCGGCAGCTGCCATTGCTGCTCAACTTTCCGGTACTACAGGCCCTGCTATGCCGAACATACAGGCCTTGGGCAATGACGGAATTGAGGGCTCGCTTGAGAATTTCATCCAGAGCTTACAGCATGCTACCTCTCCCCAAGGACAACCTTCTCCGGTTGGCGGAGAGGGGCCTAGTAACCCTCCCAGTGATCGACAAACACCTCCAGTCAATTTCTTGCGAGTCTTCAGATTTGCCAATTCAGATTCAGCCACTGGCTCTAATCCCCTTGGGTCAAGCTCGGAGAACTCGGAGAACCTCAGGACCCCAAATGAGGGGATATCTGCAGACGAGCCACCAGAGGGAGGCGAGGGACGACTTGTCACACTGGTTGTAGTGGGTGTTCGATCCGTCCCATCGGGTAACGGTGCCAATAGTGAACAAGGCCCACCAGCCCCCGGTGGTGCAGGTCTCGATGCTCTCCTCGGGTTGCCATTCCTCCCACCGAGCCTCCCACGACCCCAGGATGCTCAAGGTGATCTAGGACAAGGCACAGAAGGCCAGCCGAGAATGCATGCTCCACGTCCTGCAGGCCTCGCCGGGGTCCCACCATCCAGAGCCCCGGACTTCTTACGCCAAGCAGGTCTTATTCCTTCACGCAGAATGTCTGATGTTGGACATCAAACTGCGAACCCGGCTTACCCCCCCATCAGCGCTGTCCGAAAGTCCTCCTGGACCTCATCCTCCACCCTCCACCCCTGCCGAACAAGGCTTGTCTGCTGTTTCTTCCGGCACTTCAACCCCAAGCCGCAGGCCGTCGTCTGCATCTGCGTTGTCACCCGCGCTTCTACCTCACTTACATGAAGGGCAGTCCATGCAGCCTCCCGCGGGACCGTCTGAGGACTCTGTTCCGTTGAATGCCGCTCGCCAAAGACGACGAAGTGATTCCGAATTCGCCCGTCATCGAGCTCTTGGGTCAGGGTCTGTTCGCCGCAATGGCGTGGTTGAGCCTGACCAGCCTCCCCTAGCGGGGGCAGAAGTTGGCTCATCTACGTGGTCGGGACAAACTTATCCGAGAACCACCCAGCTCTAACGACGCCGAGTCTCTTCACTGATGTATGTCTCTATCATTCCCTTTCTAATGGAAGTTTTACTAATGTCGTATTTTAGAACCCCACATACGAGGACATGATTCTGCTATCGTCTCTTTTGGGGCCAGCCAAGCCTCCTGTCGCAAGTCAAGACGATGTCAATTCCGCGGGTGGTCTTTTCCGTCTTGTCGAGTACGGTGGTTCGTTGGTCGCAGAGTCTGTGGATGGTACGGGTGTCATTCAGATCTCAGATGGAGAGCGCTGCTTAATCTGTCTGAGTGACTACGAAGTAGCCGAAGAAGTTCGTGAGTTGAACAAATGCAAACACGTCTTCCATAGAGACTGCATTGATCAGGTAAGCCCTTACATATTCCAACTGCCTGGCTTTTGCCGTGTCTCAGAATGCTAACTAAACCGGCAGTGGCTTACCACGGGTCGAAACTCATGCCCTCTCTGTCGGGGCCAAGGCGTCCACGAAACTTCCAATGGCGACGAGCCAGCAACCTCCGAGCAACCTCCTGCATTTCCAGGCACAGCCATCTAATGCGCTGTGTCTTCAACCCTCATCGTCAGATCTCCCCATTGTCATTTGGCCTTTATCTCTCTCCCCGTTGAACTTTAGCATCCAGCGTCTTCTTAGAGCCTTTTTACGAGTTTTCTTCATGGATATCCCCTCGGCATTCTGTCTTTGTTGCGCCGTCTTTGGGCGCTTTTCATACTTTTGTCTCCCATTTATTCTCTTGGCCAAGAGATGGCGCATTTTTTCTGTCCCTTCTCTTTGTTTGGAAAACAGCTATCTTTCAAGGTCTCGGTTGGTTTTTGTCTGTATTTTTCTTAGCCTACTGTTCTCTTTTGACTTGTTGGCAATAGTAGTTGCCCGGGCGTGAATCGGCATCTAGGACAACTATGTTCGAGTGGCGGTGCAAGAGTGAAAAGATTGACTAAGAGACCCGCATCATAATCAGCATAGTTTATCAACCAAGTTGTACAGTTTATTTCTCGGATTTTCTTCAAGTTCTGCTATTCATCCAGGCTGTGCCTCATAATTCTAGTAAATCAAAGTAGATCGCTGCCCCGCTGCCCCTCGATCACGTAAGCGAAAATATTTCCGCGGCGAGCTTCAGCGATACCGGCTTGACTTTTTGTTCTTCAATTTGTGCCGTTTGCACTCTACGATCTCACCAATTGACATTACCTTGTTCGAATCTTCAAAATTCACGGGGAAGCTTTGCAGGCAATCGCGGTCCATCTTACAACCCCTCCGACCCGCGACGACGAGCCCGCGCGACCGAAACCCCACCAAGCCACACCTACTTCGCTTCAAGGAAACCTCCTACAACCCAATCGAACCCACACGATGTCTTCCCCAATCCGTGCCACAGTCCTAATTTCAGGCAATGGGTCCAACCTCCAAGCCGTGATCGACAAAATCGCCGAGGGCCAGCTGAACACCACCCTTGTCCGCGTGCTATCGAATCGCAAGGACGCCTTCGGCCTCGAGCGTGCCAGCAAGGCCAACATCCCAACACTATACCATAATCTCGTCAAGTACAAGAAGCAGCATCCTGCGACGACGGAGGGCGTGCAGGCTGCGCGCGAGGAATACGATGCTGAGCTTGCACGCTTGATTCTGGCCGACGGGCCGGAACTGGTCATTTGTCTCGGATTCATGCATATTCTCTCGCCGCAGTTCCTGGAGCCGTTGGAGAAGGCGAATGTTCGCATTATTAATTTGCACCCTGCGCTGCCTGGTCAATTCAATGGTGTGGTGAGTAGTTTCCAAACGAGAGCTTTCCCCTGCACACTAAGGTTGAGGGATGTCTTTTCTGACTTCGCATTTAGAATGCAATTGAGCGGGCTCATGCTGCATGGATGGAAGGAAAGATCGATAAGACTGGTGTCATGATTCATGACGTGATTTCCGAGGTGGATATGGGTAAGCCGATCTTGGTCAAGGAGATTCCTTTCCAGAAGGGACGGGACGAGGACGTCGATGCCTTTGGGACTCGGGTTCATGAAATCGAATGGGGAACTGTTATTGAGGGTGTCGGGATGGTGCTGAAGGAATTGCAAGGCCAGAAACAATGATTTGGTGAATGGACCCGCTGTTGGCAATGAAAGGGTAGGGATTTGCCAATTATCGGGAGATTGTTTCCCAAGATGGAAGTATATCACCCGGCCATTGACGATTAATGACTATAAATATCTGAAAACTTAGATGTACGGAGTACCTAGGTGTGGAATTAGAAAGTGAATAACAATCATCTCACAATAGAAAATCTACTTACTACAACTCCGTATCTCCGTAATATCCCATGCCCGCCCACTGGCAGTGTTATCGGTCCAAGCTTGGGCCAAGACCCAAGGACAACCTCAAGGCTTGCCGGGCAATGCCGAGGGGGCCAAGAGAACGTATCCATAGTTCAAATTATTGCAACTGGGCCATCAAAACTCGGTTCAGAACTTTTAGAACGCGGAAAGAAAAAGAAAGAAAAGGTGTAATTTGGATCAAGGTTCCCACTATACTCCCGTCTGCATAGTGCGAAATGAACGGAGCGCCACGAATTGAACGAGAACGGTCCAACAATACGCAATCAGATCGCTGGGAATTCCAGGACTTGCAGGACTGACAGGGATGTGAAATTGCACCCACCTCACCGGTCATGGTCTCATCACATGCTTGGTGGTATCTTCCAAACTCCCGATGCGCCTAGTGCGCCCCTCCGAGGCAAATCACCCGGAGCCACGCGACATGCATCAAATTTGACAAGGGGGATGGACAATGGAAGGCCCAGAAAAATCCGCGGATGTTACAGTGCAGCCCAGCTAGAGTCAAAGGATCAGCAACCAGACCATCCCCCTGGGCAATATCCCGCCGTTGGGATCTTCCATCGTGGCCGCCACTCCGGCACTCACGGCATTCCCCAAGGACCACAAAGTGACAGATCCCACTGCGCCGCCCCCCGCTAGCTCCTGTGCTAGGGGCTGGGTCGCTCGTCCCCTCCATGGGATAATCCTTGAAGAGCGTACTAGTGTGTTTACTCCGTAATCAGGGGTGCAAAAAGTACCATGTGGGTTTGCGTGACAGCATGTCCTAGGGCGCCTATCCAGTTCTCCGTATGGAGTACGGAGTTACTACGTAGTAATTGACCAGTTGGAAAGGGGGAGCCACATTTGCGCCCCCAATCTCTTCTATTCCACACCATATTCTCTCTCAAACTGCCGGCGTTAACTCAATTTCAATTGTTCTTGCGTTGAGGCAGTCGTATCCGATGGACCTCTTGGAATCGGCCGATCTCTGCACACCTTCTGCGCCTCGTGTCGGAGCGTAATGATTTCCGGTGCGTGGTCTTTTGGGGTTGTGCTCGTGGCTTTTCGTACTATTAACACTCGATTCAATGGCCATTTCCAGGAGACCAGTGTAGTCTTGTAAATGACAAGAGTCTCCGTATGTTGGGATTTTGCTTAGGTTCTTTGAATACTTTTGTTGCTAACCTACTGGATATGGGATTCTAGCCTCTCACTGGCATGTTTACGTCTAACTCTCAATTGTAACCTAACTATAGATTTCTTTGAAAAATCCATGTCTACCAAGCTCCTCTTCATTTATCTTGCCCTGTATTACTAGTCCTATGTTTTTGTCGGACAGCCAGTGGAGAAAAATAGAGAAATAAGTTTTTGATCGATTGGACTTCAATGCACAGCTGAAGTCTAAAGCCACCACTTGTTGGAATAGCTAGCTAGGTCACTACACATTTTGAAATCAATGAAGATAATTATCCTTGTTGACAATTCTATTCACAGCGCGATAACTATGCCCCGTCTTATATTGGTATGAATTTCTACCCCTTGTTTCCCAATTTCTACTATACATATTGCAGATATGTGAAATTCTGTACTAGGCCTTGCGCAGAGACTACTAGTAGTAGGGCTTATTATCCGCAGCCTATACTGCGACACCCATCTATCGGCCGTAAGAAGGGCTAAGCATAATTGATTTTGTACGCATGACCTTACAGGGGGCTTCTTAGCCCTTGGATCGCGCGACTCCGCTCCATCAAAGTTATCTAGCTTCCAAAATTGACATATTCCTCTCCTTTGAGTATCGTCCGATCCTCAAACTTGCCAATATTTGCAAATGGATCCGGCTGATATAGATCCGGTCTAAGTATGTGGAGCTGAGTGGATTTCCTGCTACCTGCCATCAATTGATGGTCCTTTGTTCCGCCGGATCATGGCCAAGGTGGACCTGATCGTGGAGTCTCATCTTTGCAAGCACTCGTAAGACACTTTGCTTGGAACTCCTAGGCTTTTTCTCAAAGAAAAAAAAAAGCGCATTAACCCAATGGTGCTATATCTTTAATTTTAATTCTTTGGCATAGTATGTAGATTTGGAGTCGAGCATGCTTCATCTTGTGTGATCAATATTTTCCGTCCAGATGAGGCTGACTTGCGACCCGCTAGCCACACATTTAATGCGTTTCCGTATCCGTAAATGACTACACCATACCCTGGAAGATGCCGATCATGTCCAGGATTGTCATGTGGAATCAGATCGAGCTGTGGCAAGTTGAGTATGCGGGTCTACGGTTTTGAGCATTGCGGGTCTCTTTTCCCTCAGCTATCCGCCTGGGGGATTGATATTTTGAAATCCCGGTGGAATCGGTCGTTTTGTACACCATGAATCTGACACATAGATCATTTCAGACACAGAATTCAATGACTATGCCGCTTGCGAGCATTCAAACGCCTCTCACCGTGCCTTTTTCGCCATAAAATGGAGGTTCAATTCTCCGTGTCGGTCGACGTATACGAATATACGAGCCTGGCCCCACGCACTCTTCCATTCTTCTGCCTGCTGCTGCCGTCGTCCTTGAAATGTTTCTAGGGATAGGTTTGGTAGTACGGAGTACTCTCTCACGACCAACCAAAATAGGCATAGGGTGCAGTAAGTCCAGTAACGCATAAGTGGAGACATCAACCGGTCTTCCCCAAGTCCCGGTAGCAGCTATGGCCATGATGGGGAAGGGCATGAGATCTAGGACGGAGATGTTACCCAGTTCGGCCCAGTGCAGTTGCTAGACTTAACATGGACAAGGATCGACTTCGAGAGCGTCCATAGCATAGGATCAAGAACAGTGCGGCGTGGTGGAACCTAGCAAGGGCATTGTGGACCAAGAGGCCCACAGTCTGTCAAGGAGCGCACCATTCAGCGTTTGACCGGCTCACCTTTCACCCACATGGCGAGAAATGTCGGAAGGTCGGTGCACTGTGCAGGTCCCGTCGTCAATAGTGAGGTGTCTAAGGCTGTTAGGGCTTGCGACGGACTGTTCCTTAGCCCTTCCTGGGTGTGGTTGGGCTAATGTTCCCCTCTGACGTGGGCGAATAGGGACAAAAAACCGCCACTGGCGTGATGATCTACCATTGTTCCTTGCCCCTGCAATCATTGATCACTGATCATGATCGTACTGGAGCTGGAGAGCTCAAGTCCGATGGAGTCGATCCCAGTGCACCTGTCGTTAGCGTCTTTTTGATCTACGGAGGACTCGGCCCACCCCTTTTTTTTTTTTTCTCTCTTTTTCAATAATGATTTCTCTGCGCACCTGTCAAATTCTGCCCAGGTGGTCGATCAGGCACCGTCGATTCCAGCTGGGCATATCCATTGTTCCATCGTCCCGAGGAGGAGAGATGAAGAGGAGGAGAGGGGAAATATGAAGAAAACTTGGAAGCCTTCAGCTGAGAGCCCTGGAGATATCGTTCCAATCTCCATCCCTGCAATGACCATGGGAGGCCAGAGACCACGCATATTGCCCCCATCGGAAGCTGGGATCAAGTTCCCCCGTCTCGCTCACCTCCACACCCTCCCCGGCTCGTCCTTCCCAATCATGAATCATAAATCCATTCATGAGCTCAGTGGCTCCACTTCTCTAGTCCCTTAGTTACAACCCGGGCTCCACTTAGGAATCTCCGTCATGAACAGAACGTTTTCGGCATATTCTCGATGCGCCCCTTGAGGTTTCAGATTTGCCGACTGCGCCAGTCACCTGGTGCGGAATGCGCCGTTCTATCAGACCGAGCCTGTCATTTCGGGCCCCAATCTTCCGAATCTTGAACCATCACCGAGGTGTCTCCTCCATCTTATTTCCCCTAGGCCCACGCTATTGATCTCTTCTCGGCAGGTTCCACTTTGTACCAGAGGGTGCGCAATCAATTTGATCAGACGAGAAATTTCCGACAGCTGGTTCGGGGTGCTTCCGACGGGTTCTTGTTCAATCTGTTCAACCTTTTCAACCTACCAGGTACTCCGTAATCCGTCCGTACGGAGTAGAGGGCGGTTAAATTGAAGCTGAAGCTGGAGAAAGAGCGTAGAAAAGGCATGGATTATGCATGTCTCAGATGCTCTGATCATGCCAGGATCGGCCCCCCTCCCTTCTCGTTCGTTCGGGCGTGCATCACAGGCTTGCATGGACCCAGCAAATTGGGGCTCGGGCCCGTTCTCAAAGCCCTAGGAAATTGAATTCGCTGATATCATCGCCCTGTGGCTTGCGAGGATCGTCCAGCAAGACTTTCCCCCTTTCAAGTTCACCGAGACCCGAGGCTCGTGGGGATCTTCTGACTAAGGATTAAGGATAAAAATAAGCCCAGAGGACGATCCTCAACTAGAGTGGGGAAGAAAGGGGGCCATCCAGTGCTACTGTACATCAATGATCTGTAAATACTACGTGGATTTGGCATTTTGGTTTTCTGCTAATCCTCATCCCACTTCCTACTTCTCTTCTGGGGTGAGTGACGAGTCCCATACGAGCTGTCTAATATGCAGGCCCGGTTGGAATTCAATTCCACTCTTCTCCGTGAGAGAGGCAGTTGCTCACTTAGCCCATGAACCATCCCTAACTCGTTGAGTCATGAATATAAGGGAGAAATAGAGAAATGGAGACATGGAGATACAAAATCCAATGTGGACCGGAGTCGGCCCCGAGATGGCAGAGAATTATTTTATGCAAATCTAAAGGAAAATAAAAAAAAGGAAAAAGAAAAAGAAAGTAAAAACAAAAAAAGGTTCTCTCAGGCTTCTTTTAATCTCCGCACATCACAACTGTCCAACTGTCCAACAGTCCAATAGTCTGGGTCAACCTCACCCCACCCCCTACACTTCCACTTCCACTTCCACTTCCACTTCTTCCAAAGTTGTGTGCTCTTGTTCTCTCTCTCCTCTTTTCCTTTCTCTCCCTCTATTTATCTTGCTTTCCCTGGTCCCACTTGTTCTCTCGCCTTCTCTCGTCACAGTCCGCATCGTCATCCTCTACGATGCAATCTCCCATTCGAAATACATGAGCTGAAGGGGGAATCCGCACTTGGAACCACAACCATCATGGCGCAGTCATATCATCAACCACAGGCCGCTCTGGGTGGCTTCTTAGATTCAATGCAGCAGGACTCGGGCATGTCGGCGTATTCGCTCTTTGGGCCCACGCAGTATCCCGACAGCGTTGCGTTTTGGCATGATCCCTCCGCCGCCCCGGCGATGGCCGTACCCGCTCCGCCATATCCGCCCAAGCAACCAACCTTGCTCCAAGCCATCCCGGATCAAAAGAAACACAAACGTACCCGAAGCGGCTGTTTCACCTGTCGTGCTCGTCGTATCAAATGCGATGAATCTCGTCCTCTTTGTGAGCGTTGCAGAAAAGGTAGTCGAGAATGTGTCTATCCGTCCCCCGCGGCATCATCCGCCTCCAAGCTCGGAGGCCGGGCCGTGGGGAAATCTCGTGGTTCTCGCCCGGCCTCACAAGGAAGTGACTCTTCTGCTGGAAAGCCAGATGGTGAACTAGTCAGTCCTCTAGAGCCCATCATCGATGAAGAAGAACCCGGAAGCTCCGGCCTGGTATCGCGGCCATCGCCACCAGCCAGTGGCAGCAAGTCTCGCCCCGAAATGAACAGGACACAGAGCGGACAGTCGATGAACAGACACATGAGACAGACGCCCGAGTCTGAAAACTTCAACAATCTGGACCCAAGTAGTTCGCCTTCAACGGAGTCATCTTCACGCTTTGAGTCAATGAGCGTGCGATCGGCTAGCATTAGCCATACTACGCTTGACCTATTGAACTCCTCCCGCCTCTCAGAGGACTTGCGTTTTTACCTGAATTATCATCAAGAATTCATCTCCCACGAACATTTCTTCTTGAGATCCAGCAGCGACCGCTTCATCCATGACAGCATCATTGAACTTGCGATGGGCTATGATCCTTTGTTATATGCATTAGTGGGGTTTGCCGCCTATCTCCATACCCTCAACGTGCCAGGAGGAAAGCTCTATAGCTTTCTGAAATACTATAATAAAGCCCTGGTTCTTTTGCGGAAATCACTGGGCTCCGGGGAGGAACATACGGAAGCAACATTGTGCACCGTTCTTGTCTTGACGACTTTCGAGGTACTATTCCTTTTGAAAACTCCAGGCTAGAGCCGTAAATCTTTCGCTGACTCTTATCGTCTAATCATAGGAATACATTGGAGACTGGGTGAACCTGATCGATCATCACCAGGCATCTCACGCACTGGTGCGAGAAATACTGACGCCAGAATCCTCCAACACCGTTGAACTACACACAAATATCTTCCTGTGGTACGCGCGCTTCGACATCGTAGTCGGAATCGTCGCTGGCACCGAGGCGGTTCTCCCTCGGGACTGGTACATCGGCAAGGAACAATACGACGCAGAGCAAGCGGCTCTATACCCCAACGACCCTGCGAAGCAGCTCGCATTGGTTGCGTCAATCAACCGCCGGTTCGGTTTGGAAATGGCCTCGTTGTATGCCCGATTGTCGCGTGGTCTGATTCCGATGGACCAGTTCATCATCCAAAACCAGCAACTCGGCCAAACGATGGAGCGGGCGAAAAACATCATCAGAGAGTTCGATGATTCCGAATACACTGTCAGGTCCTATCCAAATCAACAACCCTTGACCGAGGATGATATCGTGGATCCTTACGTTCCAGGCGTTCTTCATACGGGGCCATTGTGGGATGCAAACTACGCTTGGATCGACCTTCTCTCGACAGAATTGATGTTCAAGTATCAAACAATGCTCGCCTTGAAGCAGCCCTTACTCCCAGAACTGCAAAGCCTGGCATTCGAACAATGCCGACTGCTCGAAACTATTGACCGCTGGCCGAACAAGGGTTATGGGCATTGCATTGGGTACAAGAATAGCATCGGTCTCGCCAGCATGTTCCTCATCAAGGATACCAAGCACCAAATGTGGTCTCGGCGGAAATTGGCCATCATGGAGCAAAACGGGTGAGTGTAATAGACCGCCGTCATCATGTTTATCCCGAGAATGGATCTAAATGCTAATCGTTCATCTCCTTAGCTACATCATCCCCCCGAAATTCCGCGAAGCCTTAGGCGCTATCTGGCAACTTCCCGAACTTCAACACTGGTGGCTGCCAAACGACGAAGGATATTTTGACATTATCCGCGAAATCCGCGCCCTCTCCGCTGAACGGATGAGCCAGCCACGGGACGAGTTCCGCGAAAATGTGCGAGATATGAAGTCGATGTTTTGGAAGCTGAATATGGATGATCAGGATGAAGAGCACAGCCCTTCAAGTAGCCACAGTGGGCTTTATTGAGAGTCTCTGTTATCGATGATATCCATATGAAATCATTTGGGGTATGGTCTGTCTTACACACCAGACCATACCACCACAAACGCCATACCCGTATGCAAGCGTGCCAGACCTTCCTTTGAGAACCATGTCGGCTGTCCATTTTAACATGGACTTGGGGCATTATCGACTTGTGGCTCCCATACCCAGTTGATAGACATATTGGCGCAAAACAATCCCTACCAGCATCATGCGCGCACTTCGTCTCATGCCTGTGTGTGCTTTATATCCACCAAAATCCGCATCATTCTCACTGGCAGGCTCCAGGGCTTTCTTTCTGGTTTCCTTCCCATCTACCCAGTTGCCTATCTACCCAGTTGCTCCAGCATCCTCCAGCATTTATCTTTCTTCTCTCTCTGTCATCTCCACTGCCATATTCCCCATCTCTGAGTTTTGCATGGTTTTCTGCAGTCATGACTTGATGTGTACATTTATTATACCCAACTGCTCGGATCCATATCATTGAAAAAATACTAATATCATCCCCCTTGGGCCTCTCTCTATACCCGGGAACCTTCTCGCTGGGACACTCACTGCCCAACAAACTTCGGGATTTCAAGTGCAAGACATAGAAGCGGCATCATATTTTGTTTAACTTGCATATCCTATACATCTCTCACATGTGACTTATGATTCACGACATTTTTCCACTATCAACATTTACACGATCCCCGGGTCCATTGTCGGGACGGCAACCATTTTTCCACGGCACATCCCCTGCCTTAATGACCGTCTCCAAACCACCGGCCAGTTCCCCAGCGCCAAATGCCTCCCCATCTAATTCCTCGCCCCACGGCAAAGCATCAACATCAACCTCCCACCCAAGCAAACATCTCAAAATAACACCAGCACCAGCCTTACTCATAACAACATTCATCTCCTTGCACCGCTCATCACAGCAACATTCAACACACCCCTGCGGCGAAACACAATCGCAAGCCTCAATCCGCGCCACAGCACGTCGTAAAAGCAGCCCGATAAACTCAAACGCTTTACTCGCAATCCCAGAACCACACGACCCGCCCTTGGCATCGTAGAACGTAAGACGAGCGGGCCGCTGCCGCTTCGGCGGCTGAAGACTTTTTCTCATCTTCTCTTGCTCGGCGTCGTTGGCGCGGTGCAGCGAACGGCGGAGTTCTTTCTTGGCGACTTTGCATTCTGTCCGCACGTCGCCCGGTGAGGAAACGACGAAGGAAGGGAGTAGGGCGAGGACCGCATGTTCGGCTGCGTGGATCGCGGCGGCAATGTTGAGCTGGTGCGACTCTAGGATCTCGATTGCGAGAGAAGGCACATCGAGCCACATCCCCTTGGTGAAGATGTCGATGGGCGGGTTGTCGACGGCGACGGCGTCGAGGATGCGGCCTCTTTTGTCGACTTTGAAGAATCCGTAGACGACGGCGTGGATCTGGACGGCGCCGAAAAATGCGCGGGATCCGGAGGTGTCGGTGCTGACTAGGCGCATCGTTTCTGTCTCGATCGGGTCGATGTCGGTGAAATCGCGCTGCATCGTGCTCCAGTCTACGTTGACGCGGAGGACGCGCGCGAAGAACTTTTCGGTGTTGAGTTCTTTGACGAGGTAGGTTTGGCCTTGGTGGAGGAATATGCCGCCTTCGTAGATGGTGAAGAAGGCGCGGGAGGCTTCTACTTCTTCGAGGACGACGTTGCGGTTATTGGTTGTGTCTATTACCGCGAAATGCTGGTCTTCTGTGTCGCGGATTGAAACGCATCGTGAAGGATGGGGACGGAATCGTTCATGGCAATGATAGAATCCCATACTATCCTTAGTTAATCGCGTGGCTGCGAGGGCAAAAAGCTGTTGACCAAAGTAAATGCAGTCCTCATCCGGACGGATGGGCATTTCGAATGCCGCGCACTGGACGTGTCCTTCTTGGATAAGCTCGTTAGTCAGATCAATCTGTAGCTCGCAATTCGGTCGAGTGAAAATTTCATCGGGATTTTGCATATAATGCTGATCTGTTGGATATCTGTCTCCGACAAGCACAGACAGTGAGTCCTTGTTACGTCGTCCGGCTCGACCGCTTTGCTGGCGCAGGTTGGAAATTGAGTAAGGAAAGCCCATGGTAATAACCGCATCAAGGGAGCCAATGTCAACGCCTAATTCCAAGGCATTGGTTGCCACGATACCCATGAGCTTTCCTTCGAACATTTCCTTCTCGATGCGGCGGCGATCTTGAGGGCTATAGCCACCTCGATATCCCATGACCATGTTGCCAACCTCTGTTCTTTCAAGAGCTCGGAACTCGTTGCGTACAGCCTGCAAGAGGACTTCGCAAAAGTGTCTGATTCGGCAAAATGCAATCACCCTGACACCCCGAAGAACCAGCTGGCAAAACAATCTCGCAGTCTCAGTAACGCTATCACCGCGTCCTGAAGTGGGGTCTGTCGGGTCTTTGAATGGTGTGTTCCAGCAGAGAAACTCTTTGCGGCCGGAGGGAGATCCATCAAAGTCGATCAGTCTCACATCATCCACTCCGAAGATAGATTTCATGTGCTGCTCGGGATTCGCAACTGTGGCAGAGCAGGAAATAAACTTGACATGTCGGTTGCCCACCGCCGCACATGTCCGGCGAAGACGTCGCATGATGAACGCAACGTGCGAGCCAAATAATCCGTTGTAAACATGCAATTCGTCTACCACAACAAATTTGAGATTCTTCAAGAAAGTGCGCCAGGCGCTTTCTTGCGGCAAGATAGTGATGTGGAGCATATCGGGATTGGTGAAAATGATCCGCGCCTCGTCACGGATAAGGTCACGACTGCTCATGGGCGTGTCTCCGTCAAATGTGTCGACCATTGCATGTTGCAAACCAGTCATGTATTGCAGTAGATCGGTCATACTGCGCCGCTGATCTTGAGCCAGGGCCTTTGTAGGAAAAATGTACATACCCCTGCTGTCTGGGTCTTTTTCTAATTCGTGTAACATTGGGATTTGGTATATCAGTGACTTGCCAGAGCTCGTTGAGGTGGAAACAATGACATTGTGGCCATCGTACAAATGATTGATAGCCTCTGCTTGGTGAGAGTAGAGCTGGGTAATGCCCCTCGTATTGTAGAGGGCATTGACCATGTCCTGTGAAAGCTGGAAATTCAAATCACCGAAAACAGGTGACTGGGCATCGAATACACGATGGCCTTCCGGCACAATCTGGGCATGGTACCACTCCATCTCTCGTATCTCGGCGATGATTTCCGCAATAGACTTGCGCTCTTTCGGTATGGTGGCTGGGATCTTTGATGCTGAAGGAGTATTCCCACCGCTACCCCAAGGCGTTGGCAGAAAGACATTTTTCTCGTCTTCGAGTATCAGAGCGGGATCTATACCTTTGTCTTCACATTTAACGAGGAATGCGTCAATGGCGTCCGAGAACTTCGTGTTGCGTTTTTCAATCAGAGAAAGCATTTGCTTCTGGCTGTAAACCGGCATTTTCAAATCTTCGTCTTTCATCCGGCGGACTGGTTTCGACGGCTCGCCAGTTTTCGGATGCGGGACTTCTCGCTTGAGGTCTCCGTCGACAAATTCGAAGAGCAAAACATTTCTTCCAAACTCGTGGTTTTGGAAAGCATCCGAGCTAGCGAGATCCTCCGCGTTCAGGGAGCCGTGACGTTTATGCAACCCATATTCAATCGTCTCTCTATCCCCGACCGTCATGACCTCGAGACTTGCTTCGTCGACGTATTCGAAGCGCACTGCCTGGGGGACGATCGCCTTAACTCTAGCCACATCCTCGACGGTGAGGTCTTTCCCTTTCCCCAGTTGGGCCTGAACTGCCTTTCTGATATTATCGAATGTGGTTGCGAAGTGCTTGCGCGTACAGCAGAAGGTATACACCAAATTCAAGGCACGATGTGTCTGCGAAAGTTGCTTGAAGGCATCCGGCCATGGTGCGGACGGGGATCTCTTCTTCGGAGCCTTGGATTTCCCATTTGATGCTGACTGTTTTCCCTGTTCTGTTTTCCGCTTTTTCTGCTGGCCGTTTCCCAGCTGTTGGGAGTCTCGTGCGTTAAGAGACTCGATCACAGGGGACGCGTTTGCTGCGGCCTTGCCGGTGATCGGAGGGGGTTCATTGTGGTCTTGTTTTCGTTTTAGGGTCTTGTGGGCTGCTTCTGGGAAATCCGCCATTCTGGCGGTCCATATCGATCTTCCACCAAGGCGGTATTGAATGGGTGGGAGTGTCCAGCTGGAAGATGCAGATGCGAGGTGAAAAGCGCCTTAGACGCGTGGTCACGTGCAACATATCTCTATAACCTGATTTGGCACAATTCACAGCTCGCCATTGTAAAAGAGATGAACGGAGCTGGTCGAAATTACGACATTATGGCTATATTGAATTGAAACAGCTATTTCAGAACGGTTGCACATTATCATTACCCAGATGGGGGTCCATCATGACGAAGCTCCCCCTCCCATCTATACAACTTGGTGAATTCCAAGTGCATGTGAATTAAGCACCAACGACACCTTGTATCAAGCTTTCCAAGCGACCCATGAAAAGAGCATATGCAAACCAGGAGTATTCTATTCAGCCTTGCTAATTTCGGACCGATAATAATATCCACAATAGGTTCGGCATTCCATCCGAATTGAACATTCTTTGCCTTCTACAGCTCTTCATGCCGATTATCGGCAGTTTTGCTACCCACGAATTTTCTCTTACAATGCGACTCTGTGATTATTGGAACGAATCTCAGTCATTACTTTGGATTATGAAAACCTTTCCGTCGTAATCATTTGCAGAACATTTGCCGATTCAGGAGCTTGTGTTCTTCCTCGTCTGCCATTGCCTCAGCGATCGGCACTAGACCTCCATTCCCCCAGTTCCGATGACGCGGGCTTATATACTCTGCGTTTCCACTTATCAACCCTTCAATTGATTCTTTCCAGTCATTCAAAACAGGAGTCTTCGAGACGATGTCCTACTTTATCCGATCCCCCTCCAGAAGACTATTTCATCTCTCCCAAAAAGCCTTCAACTCCGGAATCCCACTCCGCCACAGACCAATGTCCACTGCATCATCAGGGGCCAAAGCCCTCAACGACTGGAGCGCAGCCCAATACCTCAAATTCGAGGATGAGCGAACCCTTCCGGCACGCGACCTTCTCGCTCGAGTGCCCCTCACATCCCCAAAGCGAGTGGTAGATCTGGGCTGTGGCCCAGCCAACTCAACCGCCGTCATAGAGTCGCGCTACCCCGACGCCGAACTGGTGGGGATCGATTCTTCCCCAGACATGATCCGCAAAGCCAAGGCGACACTTCCCCATCTTGACTTTACCGTGGAAGATCTAACCTCCTACTCGCCATCCGGAGAAGTTGACCTCTTCTACTCAAATGCCGTATTCCAATGGCTGAAGAAGGAAGAACGCTTCGAGATCGTTAAAAAACTCATGGCTAGCCAACCATCCGGCGGTGTTTTCGCCCTCCAAGTCCCCGATAACCTCGCAGAGCCGTCGCACGTTCTGATGCGGGAAACTGCTACTTCGGGCCCGTGGGCTGAGAAGCTTGCGAGTGTTGGGAGGGATACGTTTCAGACTCCTCAGGAGATCTATGATCAGCTCATCCCTGTCTCCTCTCAGGTAAATATCTTTCACACCAGCTACTATCATGCTCTTGAGAACCATGCTGCTATTATTGAGTGGGTCAAGGGCACTGGACTGCGGCCTTTCTTGGATCCCCTGCAGCCTGAGGAGAAAGAAGGTTTCTTGAAAGAATATCTCAAGCGCTTGCAACAAGCGTATCCCGTCTGTGCAGATAGCCGCGTGTTACTGCGCTATCCGCGTTTGTTTGTGGTTGCTGTTAAGAAGTAAGGATGGTCGATGTATGTATGTAGCATTGAATCTAATAAATTTCACCTTCAAGTTCCAACTTTTCATTCAGATGCTTTCATGGTTGACCGAGTAGACCTGAAGGAAGATCACTACAAGAACGACGGATAGTTATAACTGTCTGCAACATATGAAATTCATAATCGCTAATAATCAGGTATCGGTCACCGTAGTGATCGCGCGAACTCCAGATGTAACTCCAGATGCACCGAAGCCTAGTTTACTCTTTCTCTTCCAGGTTTTAATAACAGACCCCCGCGACTTCTAAAACTTCATGCATCTTCATCGTCACTCTCATCCTCGTCTTCCCCGGTCAACAACTTCCTAATAGCCCTGTACAAATCCTGTGCGTAAGACTCATTTGGAGTCTACGAGAGATGATTAGTGAATGAGACACATGGGCGAAAGTGAAAGCGACAGGCATGGAAACTTACCCGAAGCAGGAGAGGAACAGTGCGGTTCTCTTCTGTACTGGCCAGGAAAATTTGCTTGTTGGTAGGGGCCTTATTCTTAGCATCTCCATAATTCATACCCTCGAAGACGGGGCTGTTTAGCATGACGCGAAGGGCACCATCAGCTCGCATGATCATGCGGCCAACCTTCTTCCCACCAACATCCCGAGCATTAACCTTGAAAGTGCCAATACCCCGTTCCTTCCACTCGCCATCAGTGAAGGAGAAAAGTTTGGCCTTGCATACGAAAATTGTCTTCTCTTCTTCTTCGCCAGTTTCAACTGTAAAGCCATGTTAGTTGGTCTGGGCATGAAGTGCCAGGGAGCGGAGTGAGCATACTGGTTTGTTCGAAGAATCGCTCATCGGTCTTAGCCGCCTCGAATGTATTGTTTTCCTCTGCACCCTCGCCTTCGCCTTCATCTTCCTCGTTATCAGATTCTTCAGCGCCTAAGGGCTTGGCCGCCTTGGTCTCACCAAACGTGGAGGAGACATTGGGAGATGCGAAGCTAGTTTTACCAGCAGGAGCAGCAGACCCAAATCCGCCTCCAATTCCACCAAATCCAACAGCACTAGGCGTAGCGGAGAAGGGACTGGCTGATTTGAAGACAGATGACGTTGTTGATCCGAGGGTGCCAAACGGAGACTTTTCAGAGCCAGCAAATCCACCCAACGCAGATCCTGCAAATGCGGAACTAGAGGCGGGCTTGTCTTCTGTGGTAGCGGGTGAATCGGTCGAGAATGGCGATTTGGCGCCGGCGAGTTTGGCAAACGGCGAATCAGCTGCGCTAGCGAAAGCACTAGCAGAAAAGAGCTGAAATATGATTAGTCAGAGCAAGAGGTTGGAATGAGATGTACATCGAACGAACGGACCTTATTAGTGGTTTGATCGCGCTCCTCAGAATCGTCGCGGTGTCGTTTTTTCTCCCTTTCGTTCTTAGCAGAGTCGGACTCCTGCGCGAGATCAGACATCGTCTCCGACTTCTTAGGTGATTCCTTTTCTAGTTGTTCCCGGCTTCGCTTCTTTGTTAGACCCTTGGCGGATTCGATGGTTGCGGAGTTCGAGAATTCCTGTGACGAGGGGTCTGTGTTAACGCGGTTCTCGTTCCTAGATTCTGACTCGATGGATCTCGAGTTTTGGGGGTTGAAAGAGGCTTTGGGTCGGGCATTATATTCCGATGGTTTCTCTTGGAGCAAAGTGGGATCTTCAGGGTGGTCAATGTCCTGTAGATGATTCATAGCTTTCCCAGAATCCGAATTTCGAGTATTATAAACAGCCGTTTCAGCCTCTTGGCTACCAACAGACTCAATATATTGACTCGGTAAATTGCAGACATGGGAATCGCTAGAATCATCCGACTGCGACTTTGGGTGATCCTCAAATTCATCCGGCTCGATCGAGGAAGCCTTGAGTGCCGGATGATCTTCATAGGATTCTGAGCCTGCGGACATGTTGGATTCCTTTGGTTGTGGGTTTATATCCAATGGACGGGGTTCCTGGGACTCTATGCTTGCCGAGGGTTCAGGGTTAGAAACTTCTGCGAGCATCCTTGGATCGCTGGGGCTACCGGTCTGCTCAAAAAGCTGGGAAGCAGAAGGTTCGGTTCTCTTGGTCTTATTATAATGGTCACGGGAGTTCCTAGCTTCCGACTTCTTCGGTTCTTCAAGCCCAGAGCTAAAATCACCTTCATCGGTCCCGGCAGAGAGCTCATCGGATGCCTCCCACGCAGAATCGGTGCCCAGCTCTTCTTTATCTGCGGGCCTCGGGTAACTCGCAGAAGTATCCAGTTGTGTCTCCGGAATTTCCGTCTGGGGCACTTCGGTGATAAAATCTTCCTTGGCTAGGTCCTTTGGGGTGGCCGGGAGGAGGTGCTCGGGATTATGTTCGTGGTCACTCACATTTGAGGAGGTAGCAGCACCGGTAGACTGTCCGTTGTTGGGCGTGGTTTCCCGTGATCGCTTTCTTCTGCTGTCATCGGGGGAATCATTCGGACCGTCTCGTGATTCTTCAAAGGATCGCTTCCTTCCGTTCTCCTTGGATGGGGTAGACTCGATGGTGGTCTCCCTTAGCTGCTTGCGAACGGGGCGCTCGCCACCGTCATTGTCGGAGGGTGGGGACTGGGGATCTTGGGTGGTCACTGCGCGGATGATAAACTCTGTCAGAACTCTAGAAGGCTCCAAATGCGCAAGTGAAGATCGAAATGGATCCAGATTGACGAGGAATAGAGTAGAACCGCAGGGGAGACACCGGATGAAAGCGCAACGCCCAAAGAGGGGTACGATGGAACTCGCTCGCCAGGGCGCTTACCCGCCGGCTCTGCCATGTTGCTCTGCTCATTCTCCGAGTCTTCCCTGCGACACCAGCTGGGATCCTAGCAATACCCTCATGCTCTTGAAATAATGCGCTTTAGTCCGAAACACTTACCACCGGTCGAAGGCTTCGGCTCGTCCGAAACAGAGGCCATTGCGTATGGTCGTCGCCGAAAACGGAGCTGTGGGCGAAGTTGTTTTGTTGCAGATGCAAAGTAGTAGATGAGTTAAGAGAAGCGCAGGGCTGGATCGAAGCGATTATCGAAGGAACGACCGTAGCAGCCTAGACAAGCCTAGCCAAGGTCAAAGGTTTTGCGGATGGGAGAAAAACAGGGAGGTTGAAAGGAGGAAGTCATGAAGTGTTGTTGTCCGGTCACCGCTCCGCCCCGCAGCAAACGCTTTGAATTGGTACTCGACAACAATTTGACTTAGTCCTCGGTTTCTTGCTTTTTAATTTTGTTTTTTTTTTTAGCAAACAGACTTGCAGTATGGAAGAGTCAGCCACCCTCTCAAAAAAAAAAAAAGTCAGAAAACTTCCCCCAATTTAAGGGCTTAATTTCCTCTAAATGCTGAGTGGGGTGTTTTTGCTGCAAGCCCAGAGCCTCCAATTTGACTTGCCAAGCTGTTTGCCCCTTTGTATATAGATCTGTACCAGTATTTATGCACGTCTGTGATTGCTAAGACCAAGGCCACACATCAATAAACACTTCAAGTTGGACCTTGTTCGAGTCGAGTACGCAGTCATATACTATATTTTAAAGATCAACATCCGTAGTACTATCCGTAGTACTAGTAGTAAACTTATGGCTGACTCGAGAAAGCCTTTAGCCAAAGGTCCACGACGTATGGTAATAGCCACTTTCACAAGCAGTTGAAATTGGCAATAACATTTGATTGAATATGTGTACAAGTGCTAATCGCAATTTAACTCGGGAATCCTTGGTGGGAGGTGACCATTGGAGTTAGTTCTTCAATCTCACAACGAGAAACAAAAAGCTCCTCTTGACTTTGAGAGTATGGCACATCTTGTCCTCTAACTAATGAAACAAAGGCATCCGATCGCAATATAGAACATGAATAGCGGATACACCGCAATGCCGACGCGGTTACGGACGATTCCAGATCCGCCCAATATGCTGACACCTGCTGCCAGAGACCACGCTACAAGCACGAGGTAGACGGGAATTCGGGCGATCGTAGGAAGTCCGAGGGCACTAAGGAGAGCGGCAATGACGAGGGGGAATAGTGTATAGCCGATAATGCAGATTGACTGGAAGAAGGAGCTAGACGGAGGTATATCGCATTAGCATCGTTTGGGCACATCAGATGTAGGTGACAATCGAATCCAACATACATTTTACCACCGAGGAGTTTAATCTGAAGGGTAACAGCGGCTTCTCCAAGCCACACGATGCAGAAAACTCCCGAGAAGACCACTGACGACTGGTCTCCGTGCGCGACAGAGAGGAAAAGACTCAGAACCAAGCAGAAAATCAGAGGGCCCCTGCACAGATATAAATCGTCAGTTTATAATCCAGTACCATGCGCAAGCAGAGGTGTAGGCCCACGTACCAGAGATCCCAATCACGCAATCCATCACTCATTCCACCCTGCAGGACGACATCGGCATCCGGCCAGCGTCCCACGAGCCCGCGCAGGTTACGACCAAATCCAGTTGCCTCGCCTCTCTCGGCAGCATCGTTGATACCACCGCCACCACGCTGCATAATTCCACCAAGCAGATATTTAGGCCACAGCACTTGGCGCATCTTCTCACCAACGCCGATCAAGTCTCGCGACAGGGTGGCCCAGACACTCTCATCAATAGTGTTCTGGGTCGCGCGGCGGTCCTCACCCGGAATCGAAGTGGTCAGGTAGTTGCCATATCCAGAGGCCCGTCCACCTCTCGAGCCATTGTCCGCTTCAATGTTGCCTCGTAGAGGGGCTGTGTCGGAGGTATCATGTAGGGGGTCATCGGCATCGATAGCTACAGGGCGCGTGGCGGGTTAGTAAAGAAGGCTAAGTCGAATAGAGAGACAACTAGTTCAGCGACTGGCTTTGAAGCACTCACCATCGTCTGCCTCGATCAGATCGTCATCTAGGAGCGAGTCGTCGTCGTGTAGGTCGCCATGTGAATGGCCCGGTTGTACACTAGCCATAATTTGCACGAGGGTACTTTTGACGAAAATTGAGAGATATTCAGTATATGAGCATGACCTCTGTAACGAGGGGATCCAAAGAAGCAAAGCCCGGAGGAATGAGAGAGTTGAAGCAATGTTGATGGTCCAGCTGTCCCGGAAAGGCTAGAGTGGCATTACGTCGCCCGCGGGTGGATGGTCACCGCCTGTAATATTACCAGGGCCCGTGCCTTTTCCCATACAAATATGTGGTAATGTATTTACACTCTACTTGGTACTGCCTTCTGTCTTGGGAATATCAATATGCATTTCTTCCCCTTTCTCATCTTCCCCAGTCACATTTAGGCATTCTCTGTACCATCAACATAAGGTGCTTCCTCCTGATACACATCGTACTTATACCGAGTCGCCGGGTGATCATCACGAAGCTCCTTTTGACCACGTCCATACACCTTTTCACGAGCCGTGAGCGGCTCATCTGAAGGCGAAGGAAGCTCTGGGTAAAGCCCACGCTTTCTCAACTCCGGTATGACCAGTTCTATCAGGTCCTCAAACGTCCCTGGCGTAGATACATGACCAATATTAAATCCATCAATACCGGCCTCTCGAACCCAGCGTTCCATCTCATCTGCGACAGTCGTAGGACTTCCAATAGCTACAGGGCCAAGTCCACCTATAGCCGCTTTTTCGGCAACAATCCGAGGCGTCCAGCGCGGTATGTCCTTGCTCGTTTGGACCAATGAATCCAGGAGACTTGTTACCCTGTTCGCTTCCAGAGAATCTGCCGCTGTGATCTCTTGGTCCAGAGGAATCTTGGATATATCAATGCCAGTCCACCCGCTGAAGAGCACCAGACCCCCAACCACTGAAGCATATTTCTTCAGCTCTTCATAGTTCTCTTGGGCCTCTTCGTCGGTTCGTCCCACGATGGGCGTGAAAGTGGCAAAGAACTTGATTGACTGCGGATCGCGACCTTTCTCGGCTGCTAGCTGGCGGATCTTTTCGATCTTTGGTCGCAGGACTTCCGGTGAGTGTGAAGAGACAAAGATTGCCTCCGCATGGTTCGACGCGAACTCTGAGCCTGCTGGTGAAGTACCTGCTTGAAAGAGAAATGGAGTTCTCTGCGGCGATGGATCGACAATATGGCGTGTATTCAGTGAGTAATACTTTCCCTTGTGATTGATCTGACGGACCTTGTCAGGGTCAACGTATGAATCCTCATCTGGGTTAGGTGAAAGCGCATCTGGCGCCCAGGATCCTTCCCAAAGTCTGCGATAACCACTGGTTAGCCTGGGAATGCCCGATCTCAGAAGAAGAGCGCCGATACGTACTTATAAAGTACCCTTAGAAACTCGTCGGCCTGTGCGTAACGCTCGTCATGTTCAATCGGGGTGTCAAGACCAATTGCTTTAAAAGCTGCTTTCTTGTACGAGGTGACGATGTTCCAACCCAATCGACCCTTGGTCAAATGGTCCAATGTCGAAAAACGCTTTGCTAGCAGAAAAGGTTGCTCAAATGAAGTAGAAGCTGTGATACCGAAAGCTAGGTTCTTGGTCACGGCGGCCATTGCGGAGATGGGCTAGTGGGAACAAATAAGTCTTGAGATCTATGTGGTTGCACTTTTGCAACTCACAATAGTTGGGTCCGTAACGGGCCATTGTGCAGCTCGTCGGATACACTCGTCAATCTTCCCCTCGTAGGTATCATAGCCCCCGGTTGTATCTGCGAGGAAAAGGGCGTTGATTCCACCGCGCTCCAACAGCTTTGCCAGATCAATCCAGTACTCCAGTGTCCGTTTTGTAGCCGATTTATCTTTGGGGTTCTACGTCTATCAGAAAATTGCCATGCGTTCCTAATAGGGTGGCTTCTTGAACCTTGGAATAGACATACCTTCCACTGACCTGGAGACAAATGTCCAACCGTGGACATATCAAAGGCGTTGATCAAAATATGCTTTTTGTTACCAGCGCCATTCTGGCCGCTGGACACATTGATATCTCCCATCTCTCGACTCGGAATGATACCTTTTGGGCGATCCGCGATATTCCACTGATTTGAATGCTACAACTTGACAGTTTTCTGCTATCGTCAGACTTCGTGACTAAGTATGAGTAATTCTATCTGTAAAGGGCTGAGGATAAAGAAAGAAGTCTTGGCTGATCACCACATCGCTCGGACATTTAATCATAAACCCCGTATCTCACGCCATTCACGATCAAACAACTACCCGGAAATCATCCGAATCATTAGAAGGGCAACATTCAAGCAATTCGAATTTTCCCGCTCGCCGATGGTATCTAATGTGAACCTGAGGTATTCGCAATAATCTCCGCTGAGAACGCAACAGCTTCCGAATCTGCCCTCTGAGTTAGCTATTCCGGTCGTAGGAAATGGATCGCATGGGCACTATCCTAAATCTAGCTAGAATAACTCAGGTGGGTATTGGAGTACGGAAATAAAATGAGGGGTTCAAACCCTCCGACTCACTAGAGCTATTTCACCATCCACAATGGGATGGCGTGACCTAGTATCGGTCGTATCCGTTTTGTAAATTTTTGAAATTGGCATTCTCATTTATGTTAATTGGTATCAAGTAAAAATAGGACCAGAAATAAGAAAGAAGTAAGCACACGCGCTTTGTGTGTACTTATAGATCCAAGGGTATAGATTGTTGCCAATTAAATGCAACCGAGCTCCGCTGGATATGAAAAACAATAATGCACTAACTAGGTACCACTAGTAGTAGTAGTAGTAGTAGTAGTAGTAGTAGTAGTATTTAAACAGCGATCTCAGTCTACGAAAGAGATCTGAAAGATAGTAACGAAGTGCTAGCTTCCAAGGTTTGCTTCAAGGAAACGGAAACTATTTTCTATTGGGAATAAACAATATGGATAATGGGCACCACCGGTCAACGGCCCCATCCCGCCGACCAAGGACTCGGAATCATAGTTGATGATTGTCCTTTCCAATTTCTAGGTTCTGCTGAGCGCCAGTTTTTAAATCGCTTGAACCATCCG